TGTACACTTACATTTATGTATGTACTTTAGAATTTGTCTTAGTAATGTATAAACACACTGTATGTAGCATGGTTGTATGCCAGCATGTTTGCTGAATCAGTAAATAAATTGAATTGAAATTGAATATTCCTTTTTAGTGGCCCCGTCCTATCCCTGGGATCATGATTTGAGTAAACCTGAATCTACACTACCTGGGGATGCTTCCATATATAAATAGGACCAATCATGGTTTTGCTGTTCTTGAGAAGATATTTCCTATATAATCCTATGTAAAACCTTGATCCCCCATTGTTACCCCCCCTTGTTACCCCCCCCTTACCTGTGGATCATGATTTGAACAGACTTGAATCCACACTACCTGAGAATGTTTCCACATAATTTTTATCTTTCCTGACCCAGTGGTTCTTAAGAAAATGATTTTTAAAAAATGTCATAAATTTTTCACTAATTTGCAATTATCTCCACTTGGAAGAAAGCATAGCTCTTCATTTTTACAAACTTGAATCCCTTCACCCAAGGATACTCTTTGGCAAGTTTGGGTGAAATTGGCTTATAGTTGTTCTTGAGAAGAAGTCGAAAATGTGAAAAGTTTACAGACGGACGCCGGATAAAATATGATCAGAAAAGCCATCATGCGCGTTCGGCTCAGGTGAGCTAATAAAAACATCCTGCTCAAAGTACTCTCATCTCTTCATGGCGAGCAGGGAAAGCAGCTCTGATGCACGTACAATTATTTTCTTTAACTTTAAATCAACCTTTACATTCATAAGCCGCTGACTAACAAAAGAGGCAATGTAGCGGTAATGTATACTTTTAAATGTTGCGGCAATGAAAACTTTTTTGTAGCGGTAATGATACGCACACGTTTTAAAGGTCGCCCACTGGCTGCAATGGTTAGATTGGCGGGTCTGTTTCCTTCTCTAAGAAAAACCAATTATCGCGTAGATAGTTAGAGACTTACAGCAAACAAACAATTAACAACAATTTTAATCAATATCTAATATTTTCTCCACAGGCACCTGACGTTACTTATTTTTCTTTTCATAAAAAAAATATACCCACACCTAATACAGGTATTAAAAGAAGAATAAGTAACGTCAGGTGCCTGTGATTTTCTCCTATAAAATTATTTTATTCATAGTAATTATTTCATCATATTAAGTATAGACATAAATGACCAGACACACTTGTTAAACAACACACCTGTCATTAAATAACAATATCTGATAAGACCTTTCTGTGGATAGCAGTGTTTGACCCCATGACATTTAATTTGGTGTACCACATTATTTTTAGGAAACTTAAGCTATCCATGCATGGTCTAAATAATTTCTGTATCCATGCATGGTCTAAATAATTTCTGAATAATTGGTGCAAGGGTACGGAAGCCCGTTGGTGCCGCATACGAAAAATATTTTATCTGGCGGCCGCCAGATAATTATGTGACGGCCGCCACTTATATATCTGGCGGCCGCCACATAATTTATATGGCGGCCGCCAAATATTTATCTAGCGGCCGCTATTTAATATCTGGCGGCCGCTATATAATATTTGGCGGCCGCCACATAATTTATCTGGCGTCCGCCAGATAACACCTGGCTTCCTGATGCACGCGCATGTTTCAACGGGTGATTTCGGAGGTGGATACAGTGTGAAAATTAGCGACATCAATCAACCAAACTTGTAAGAGAATTATTAGGACCCGACACTCCAAACCACACTTCTAGTAGATATGTTTTTGCATAGAGCAGATTAATATCTAATTTGAATTATGCAAGTATTTGTAGAGTGTTTTGGCTAATGGCTATGAAGAAGCCTCATCAGGGGTCACGGACATAAATCATGGTGTTAGTTTTAGGTGAGACCGGATTATCTAGTCACCTATATTCTTGTGTTTGCTGTAAGCTATGATTGGTTGAGAAATAAATAAAGTTTTGCATTCTGGATTTCTAAGAATTGTGTTCCAATATTTCAGAATTCGTTTTTATATATCATTAACTTTTTCAACACCCATCTTCCTAACCCAATAGATACAATAACGCTCACCTTTTGCAAAATAATTTATGAGGCGGCCGCCAGAAATACATCTGGCGGCCGCCATATAAACTATGTGGCGGCCGCCAGATAAAATATTTTTCGTACGTGGCACCAACGGGCTTCCGTACAAGGGTTTTTATATATGGTTTTTCAAAAATTGTGCTAATCTTTGTCATAACCTTTTTACTAAACATAAGGCTGAAATATTACAATTTAATTTGAATGATTTACTTTTAGACTTTTAGTAAATTTTGATATATTTTAAATCAATCCAATATTTAAAACTGTGATATTTTTTTTTTACAAACAATGCACTTGATACTATCTATTGTTAAGACTGTATAGCATGTACTCCTCAGGCACGTAGCATCGTTTTTGAAAGTGGAGGGGCCAACCAGAGAAAAAAAAATTTACCTACATGTAAAAGTTGATAAGCAAAAAAAAAAAAAAACGTGGGAGGGAATTGCCCAAACTCGAAAATCCTATTTCGTTGGGGGTGGGAGGGGGAGGGTAGTGCCAAACTCTTTTTAAGGCCAACTTCCTTTCAATTCCGTTTTTTTCCCCACACAATACTAAAATTCCTTCATATCGCTATACTGTGGTAAGAAGTGGGGGGGGGGGGGGGGGGGGGGCAACCTACCTTTCAATGGACATTTTCAATAGTAAAGGTATTGTTGGGAAAAAAAGTAGGGGGGCAGGCCCCCCTGTTGCTACGTGCCTGCTCCTTAATGAACAAAAAGCGTGAAAAAAGAAATATTTATGTTTGATCTTTTATTGTGCTCCCCCTGGGACTCAACAGGGTTCATGAGTTCAGTGTGTTGTAAGTGGTAGTGTTTGAAAAAAAATGTACTGAAAGAAGTTCGATCCAACCCTAACCCCCTAACCCCCCAACCCCAAACCCTCACGAAATTGGATTTTTTTTCTCTCTTTCAATTAGCCCCTCCCCCCTTTCAATTTGCTTCTGACGCCATTGATATATGTATTAATATAACTAATCATAGCTTAGTCCGAAGTATCTGACGTTTTCCAGACTTTTTTTTTTTGAAGGGCCAGGAAAGTGGAGGGGCCAACCAGAGAAAAAAAAATTATTTACCTACCTGTAAAAGTTGATAAGCAAAAAAAAAGGGGGGGGGGGGGGGGAATTGCCCAAAATCGAAAATCCTATTTCGTTGGGGGTGGGAGGGGGGAGGGTAGTGCCCAACTCTTTTTAAGGCCAACTTCCTTTCAATTCCATTTTTTTCCCCACACAATACTAAATTTCCTTCATATCGCTATACTGTGGTAAGAAGTGGGGGGGGGGGGGGGGCAACCTACCTTTCAATGGACATTTTCAATAGTAAAGGTATTGTTGGGAAAAAAAGTAGGTGGGCAGGCCCCCCTGTTGCTACGTGCCTGCTCCTAAATGAACAAAAGGCGTGAAAAAAGATATATTTATGTTTGATCTTTTATTGTGCTCCCCCTGGGACTCAACAGGGTTCATGAGTTCAGTGTATAGTAAAAGAAGGGGTAAGTGGTAGTGTTTGAAAAAAATGTACTGAAAGAAGTTCGATCCAACCCTAACCCCCTAACCCCCCAACCCTCACGAAATTGGATTTTTTTTCTCTCTTTCAATTAGCCCCTCCCCCTTTCAATTTGCTTTTGACGCCATTTATATATGTATTAATATAACTAATCATAGCTTAGTCCGAAGTATCTGACGTTTTCCAGGCTTTTTTTTTTGAAGGGCCAAGAAAGATCAGAACCGGCGCTACTTGGAAAACTGAAGTTTGGCCGTCTCCAAAAGCTCCATTCTCGGGTAACACGGTTGATTTTCGATACTTACAAACCAATTGAAATGTCAAACACACAACTTATCAAAATTAAGACAGCACTTTTAGGTTCTCAACATCGGTTTTATGCTTCGTTTACATACGCAATCCGATGAAAACATTTTATTTATCAGACGGTCGAGATTTGTTTTCATTGCGCCCATTTTAAAAATATTGCAAGTCCTTCATTGAAATGTTTTCTTTTCCTCGATATTGACGAGTACTAGAATCGTGGTATTGTTAAATTGCGATTTCGGCATTTAAAGCAATATGAGCTGCAACTTTGATGTCGGAATTTTTTGTTGCAAAATTGCAAATAATTATTTAAATGACAGAAAAAAATAACGCTAATAAACTTTTGTCATTCATATTTGCTTTGGAAGATTTATTTGTAAGCTTCGATTGAATCAAAATTACATTATTGTCGTCCTGATTTCTAATATAAAACTGTATATTGGATAATAATCATAATATATAGAAGTCTTTCTTCTGCTTTATTTTAGTCTAATTGATCATATAGGTTTGTTATAATACAAATTTATCACAATACACATTTTAACAGCAAAATAAAATTTTCAAAAAAGCAGTTCATAATGCTTTAATTATGTTCGCAAGTATAGAAAATTAACTCCGGTTGCAGATGGCGGAATACCCAGTTGTCGTAATAGCGCTGGTTCTAACGTTGTCTTTGCTGTTCTTACGAGGGTGATTTAAAAAAAAATTCCTATACATTTTCAAGTAAAACTTGACGTGGTGTGCATGGTTTCACCCTATCCTTAGAGGTCATAATTTGAACAAATTTAACTCTACCCTTCCTGGGACTTCTTAATTACTAACTTTGATTAATGATGATCATTAATAATGATCAATCTTGATTAATGATTGATCATCGCTTTGCTTTTCTTGGGAATATTCCTAAGCATAGTTCAAAAAGATTTATCACAATTCAGTTAAACCTCAAAGTGACCTTGAGACCATCCATATTATTCAATACAAAAAGCCTTGGGTCATGGATACCCTGTAACAATTTGACAAGAACTTGTAACCCACTATCCAAAAAGATGATGCATTCCTCAAAAATAGCCATAACATTAGCTCTTTCGAGTCGATGGCTCAAAAGAGCTTACAAGTACTGGATACATAGAAATCTAATCTTTTTCAAGTTTAAACATTTTATTTCATCAACAAATATTTAACAGTACTGCAAAAGAAATGCCATTAATGATGCAAGCTGAAGTCCGATATGAAAATCATAAAATAACAAATTTTTGAGCAACTACATGTGCATTGTTAATGAGAATTAATATTATGTATGTAGTTGCCAACTTTCCATTTGTTATATATCAACATCAAGCTATACAAAGTATGTATACATATCTACATATTTATTATATAAATCTGCTATGATTTCAGGAGCAGTTTTCACTTTAATAAAACACTCCACTTCACAAGTCTGAGATAAACCAGTAAGTTATGTTTAAAAAGGCAAAATATATTCACCATTCACTGCACATAGTATTAAAGTAATGGTAATGTAACTTCCAACACACATACACCATTAGTACAAGTGGTGTGTGAACCTAAAATTTATCATTTTTGTGATCAATGTTTCTTCAATTTAAAACATAAATGATGTTATGAAATACATGGCACTAGAATGCATCAAGTCCTGCGTTTTAACACTATTTGACAGGTTTTTGTTGAATTTAAAGCAATTTGGATAGACTATACATAATATCTACACTTTATAAAAGTCATTTGAATTTTAAATACATGGTTAAGGGCTGATAGTATAGATGCTCATGTACTTCAATAATTGAACAGCTCAATTCCATAGATCATGAAGAAAACCTGACTTTTTCGGTCACCCCATTCTTCGTTCAGACAGACATCCCTATCTGACTTTTTCGGCCACCCCCATCTCTAAGAGTTCCTCGTCCAGACAGACATCCCTATCTGGGTCAGAGGTATCCATCAGTCTCAGGGACACCACCTCTTGTCCCCCCACCTGCTCACTCCCACAAATCAGCGCAACCAAGCTGCGATCGTGAGCCATCTGGATAAACTTGTACTTGGCGGCCTCACTCCACATGTAAGAGTCCTTGGCTGGCTTCACTCCTGAAAAAGTTATCTGTACATTGTAAGAACCAACAGAGAAACTACATAGGTGTAAACTTTAGATGTATTAAAGCTTCTTTGTTTTCTATCAAATGAACTATTATTTTTAATAATGAGAACTTAGGCATGTAATTTGGCAAGACTGTCTACTTTGTGTATTTTAAATCCAAAGACAGCATTTTTGTAATTTATATGTCAAATTTTATTTCACATATAAATATAAAGAGTCAATGTCTAGTCAGTAGAGTATGCCAGGGACATCAACGACAGTTGGAAAAGTGGGATAATTTATGCATAACCAGCTTTGCCCATTATGTAAATTATCCCATGTTTCCAACTATTGTTGATGTCCTGGCATACCTAACAAACTAGAACGTGGTTATTAACTTCTAAAAGTAACTTACCATAAAGTTTTCCTTTGAATGCTAGTTGTGGGAGCTTTGTGAAGCAGATAGGTAGAGGTTTTATCTCCTCTAAATTCAGGAGAGTGAACTCCCCCCAGTCAACAAGATATACAGAGGCCTGCAAAGGCAGTGAAATTCATCACAGTTATCACACAATACACTGTTCACTATTCATTTTTTAAAATTTATACATAAAGCTAATGAGCATTGACTTAAAACAGTTAATTTTTTCTTTGGAAATGTATCTTTTACACTTACAGATTAATACTTCATGTAAGATGTTAAAAAACGAAAAAATTCACAATGCAATGGGGACAGGACCCCTTCTCGTTAAAATAAACATTTAAGTAGTACACGTCTATGTTATAACCATCTTCTGATGCAATTAATTCAGGTTCATTGTCTGGGACCTTGACTCTTGTCTCTAGAAATCATTTACTTTTACAATACATAGAAGTAATATTTTTTATTCACTATACTCACCATGTTTCTGGAAGTGATCTTGCTTTTGATTATTACCCGATACCACATACCATCTTTATTTCCAGCATACATCTGACCTTCCATCAGGTCCGAATTCTTTAAAGTCTGTGAAATCATATAAATATATACATTAATATCAATATAATATGTTTTACGGTGTGACCGTTGGGGCGAGCGCAGTTTATTTACTATCATAAACCTACACATGTACTGTCTTTCATTCAAGAAAAAGAAAGCAAAAAGATTAAAACAAAACAATAAAAAGAAATCATTTCCCAAGCATCGGGATCGAGATTCCAAACTTCTCGGAAGTTTCCGACAAAATCGGAAATACCCGAACCGTTGAAGTGACGAAAGTATGACATCAGATAAAAAGTTCTGTTGACTTAGGACGCAAACGCTAGTTTTATGGAAAAGAGATTGCATTAAATCGTTCTTTTCAAGTAAGTTGTTGCTATGTTTTAGCCACCATGTTGCTATGCTACGCAACATGTTTTCCGAGTTTCACGGAAGCAACCGACATAACTTCGTCAAAATTCGTAAGTTTCCGGTGACGTCATTTGTATCATTTCCGAAGGGCAAGGTGAAGGCCGGTGTTGTGGCATGGGGGTATTTTTTTGAATAAGGTAAGGCAAAATCATTTCATTAAGATTTCGGTAAGAAACAATGTTCCTTTAATTTTTTTTACTATTTTTGATTTATTCCCGCAAAGGACATTGGGTAGTGCAGGAATTCTGGGAATGTTGCACAGAGAAATTTGGCTGACGTATGTACACATTTCAATCCGAATTTCCTCTGCTCATACACGTTAGTCTATTGAGCTCACTGTGCTCGCTATAAATTGGTCCAAAAGGAGTATATATGATAAGAGCCAATTTTGCCCCCATAAAAATCATCATTTTAGAATGACATTCAGATATGTTTAATTGATATTTATTTTAAAGAAGAGAGTATATTAGAAATATTTCTAATATATTTTTCACATTTATATGCACTCTCTAGCTGTGAATGACATGAGAAATAATGTTCTTTTTGCTATCTAACAAAAAAGCCAAAAATATGCCTTTTTCTTGATGTTTTTTTCTTATGGAAAACATAGAGCGCAGTGTAGAACATACATAATTTTTCTGTCACTAATCAGTATTGGATAGATACATCTTTGGTAAAAATATAAAGCTTGTTCAAGGCTGCGCTCTATATTTTCTGGGAGAAAAACTGCTTGAAAGTAAGCAGTTTTATACAAAATATGCTAAAATGGCGGGAAAACGTGATCTTTATGATGTCATATTTCTAAAATAACGGCATTTTGATGAAAATGACCAATAAAGGTCGCATATATAGCTGTACAAATTAAAGCTATATATAAAGTAAAATTAAGATATTCATTTTAAGGGGCCAATTGAGACACTTACCATATATATCACTCTTTATCTCATAAATATTTTTTATGTTAATTAAATATTGACAGAACTTTACATAAGCTTCTGCTCAAAAGTCCTATTAAAATAGACTGTTGGACTTCGACAAGACACATAAAACTTGACCTGGTGTGCATGGTAGCAAATAAACAGCCTTGTTAAATGTGTTTTCTCTTAAGATACTGTTAATGCACAAATATTTGTGAGGGATTAAATTTTGTTTATTTCGTTGTTAAAAATTATCAGCAAAATTAAATCCCACACAATATTTTATATCATTATATCTTGAATATGGTTACTTTCAAAATAGCGAAATTAAATGCCCACAAAACTACCTTAGATGACAAATCCAAGAAATTTTATTGCCATGAAAATTTGTGCTTCTTAGTACAGTACTTTTTTTTTGTGTATAACTTACCAGACTTTGATTGGAGTTGAAATATTCCATCATTTCTTTCAGCAGTTTCTCTGACTCGGCCATGTGTTGGAAAGGTATGCACTGTGGAAAAAATTACAAAGATGAAATCTGAATTAAAATTGAATGCCATAGAAATATAATTTTGTTTGTTATATAAAATTTTGTCTGCAAGTCTCACATATACGGGAAAACCTGGTTTCAGCAAACACACTTATCAAGAATGCATGCTTAATAAAGCAAAGTAATTTTCATTCACTATGTTTTAAAAAAAAGAATATTATTAACTAAATAGATGCAATGATTTATATCTATAACAAAATAAAATTGGTTGTTTCTGGCATTTTGCTATAAGCCTGTTATAAATTCACATATACCAGAAAGAACAAAGGAACCACTTCTTATTGGCTAAAACTATAGCCAGTCACTTACCACAAAGTTTGTAGGGTCAAAAATATTGATAATATGTAAATCACAATATTCCCCCTTAGGGGGTATTGTGAAAGTTTTTGGCACTGGTCTTTTATTGTAAGAATTGATATCCTCCAAGGCCTCACAAGAAAGTTCCGAGGAATTTCTCCTCCATGTGTATATATTTTGTCCCCCCTGGTCCTTGGGCACACCATCTGCTCTCACCCCTGGGGGAGTGTCCGATATCACAGAATCTTGTGTAGTAAGACTAGATAATCCCTCTGTCAATTTTTTCACCGGTGAAGTAACGTTACTGTATGCACTTTTTTCGGTAACATTGTGAGCATCTTTTTTTGGTGAGGTTTTAGTTGGCGTGGATTTCAGTATGGCACCAGCTGACTTTGGTATGGCACCAGCTGACGTGGATTTCGGTATGGCACCAGCTGACGCGAGTTTTGGTACAGCACCGGCTGACATGGGTTTCCTGGCCACGGCTCCCTCTACAACCTCTTCTTCTTCTGTTTCCCAGGACCCCTCCCCACTCTCCGATTCCCAGGACTCTGTGCCTCCTCTTTCTTTTCCCTCTCTTGAACTCTTCTTCGTAGGCTGGGATTCTGTATCAAACCAATATTCAGTTGAAACATAGGTAATCAGAGATTACAGAGCTCACCTCAACGAATGTTGTCTTTAAGTAAGGCAAATTAAGTCACACAATTAACCAACAAAAAGTGTACATCCAAAAATGCAAAATTTATGCAATTTTGATACTTTGAAATAGTCCTTTATAAAAACTTCAAACTAGTTCTTCATCATGAAAATGTACTTAAAATCCAGCATCTGAAGCAAGATTCTGAGAGTTTTCATCCCTCGATGCATCATTTGCAACTTTGGTTTATATAAGCCTTATAGTTTCTTGGTGATAGACCTGCACCCATAACTTTTACGAGGTCTATTATCTGGAAAATGTATGTCGAATTCAGCATCTGAAGCAAGTCCATTAGTGTGCAGCCTAAGATGTATCATCCATGCAAGTTTGTTCAACATAGAGCTCAAAGTTACTTGGAAATGAAACCTGTATAAAAAACTAACCTTTTCACTAATCCGGAAAATGTAGGTCAGATTCAGCTTCTGAAGCCAGCCTAGTAGAATGCACCCTTAGATGTACCATCCATGCAAGTTTGGTCATTATAGGGCTCAAAGTTACTTGGAAATGAATCCTGCACCATAAACTTTAACCTGTTTACTCATCCAGAAAATGTAGGTCAGATTCAGCATCCGAAGCAAGTCTTGTAATATGCATCCTAAGATGTACCATCCATGCAAGTTTGGTCATTATATGTCTCATAGTAACTTGGAAATGAAACCTGCACCAAAAACTTTAACCTGTTCACTCAACCGGAAAATGTAGGTCAGATTCAGCATCCGAAGCAAGTCTGGTAGTATGCATCCTAAGATGTACCATCCATGCAAGTTTGGTCATTATATGTCTCATAGAAACTTGGAAATGAAACCTGCACCAAAAACTTTAATCTGTTCACTCAACTGGAAAATGTAGGTCAGATTCAGCATCCGAAGCAAGTCTTGTAATATGCATCCTAGGATGTACCATCCATGCAAGTTTGGTCATTATAGGGCTCATAGTATCTTCGAAATGAAACCTGCACCAAAAACTTTAATCTGTTCACTCAACTGGAAAATGTAGGTCAGATTCAGCATCCGAAGCAAGTCTGGTAGTATGCATCCTGTAACACAATTGGACCATACCGTACATATAAATAAACTATGTATTACCTTTTTAATATTTGTTGTGTTTCTTTTATTTGATTAAAAAGGACATATGTGTATAAGGCATAATAATCCTTATTTGTCCTTGAGAGCCATTTAGGTTCTAATGTACTATATTTCTATTTACTGATAATGTGTTTAATGTAGTCAATACTGGTGTAAATATTAATGTGAAATATTATGGGTCAGCTTTGATGAAATATCATAATTGAACGAAGTGGTCAGTATCTCTTATTGGTATCTAAATAATTAAATGTATTGGAAAATGACTTGATAACATTAATTGACCACATTCAGAATTGTTATTGAATACTTGATTAAATCTGCAAGAAAATCGATCGAAGCAATTTCACAAATGACTTAGAAGCTTTCCCATAATTAATTATTAAACCAGGATCTGACGATTGGAAATATGAAGATATATATATTCGGAGACTGGACGGGCGGAGGACAGATCGAGAGAGACAGAACAAGAACTTTATACAAACGTTTCAGACGTACCACTATACGAACTTTGTGCCCCCCTGTACTAGTTACTAGTTTGGCTTCCAGTGGATATACCAAGTACTAACTCTATCATATTTTAACTGTACCAGTGCAGACAACATTGTTCTAACTGTATATGCATGAACGTCTTTATTGTGCAACAGTGACATAATAAATATATATATAACCAAATAAAAAAACATTGTGTTATAGACGTTCATTTGGTGCCGTGACCAGGATTTTGATTCGAACGGGTGATCACTGGTTTGAAAACTGTAGATAAATTTTATGTTTGTGACCAGGAATATCGAAATTCTCCATGATCATTTTAATGTCAATGACCAAGGCCGTGCAGAGTATAACTAAAATGTCGAATGCGAAGGGAAAATGTGGCAAGGTAGGACGTAGCTTTCTGACCCAGAAGTATCTGTAGCCTGACAATGTTTTGATATTTTAAAAAAAAAATAATTTAAAAAAAAATAGGCTTGGCTTATTGTTTTGGATTCTCTTAATAGATAATTCTGACTTATTAAACAAATGATTTTAAAAATGAAGAAAGATTTGAAATTTTATGCAAAGAAATTCTTTCATCATTCAGTGTGCATTAAATTCTTTGCTCTAAAAAAATGTATAAGACTAATTTAAAAAAATTGAGGAAAAAAAAAAAATCATCATTATCTTGAAAATGAATTTCTAAGCACAAGGAATGCATTTAATTCTATTGTACATATGTAGTGATGATAGTTTGCTTTTAACCAATGTTGTTTAAAAAAAAAGAGAGAAAATATTAAGCAATATCTTGTAATGAACAGGCAAGAGAAAATGGTAATGAAGTTCACGTCAGATTTATTGTCACATTTTCTAAATTTTGAATTTGACTTACTAGATTTATTTTGAAGAATTATTATACAAATTTTGACAAAATTGCAACACTAAATCAAACATTAGGGTTCATCGTGGATAAATTTGAGGCATATGACGTTGGTCTGATACCAAGGACGATGAATAACGTCTGACCCAGTGTTAATGGGCCGTCATAAGTGTTTGTACTAATTCTGACTTCAATTCGCTGCGAGGATGCGATTGTAAAAGAGGATAGTACAGTGTTTATGTTTTAAAAGAATATTGACTGTGAATATCATAATTCGTGGAAATGAGGAACACGACGACAGGTGATAGCAGTCCTTTGAAGATACTTACAAATGAAGAAAACGTTGGACACTAATGATATTTACTGATTTGTGCTGTACTTTTGAACAAATTTACCGAAACTGAGAACATGTAAGTCAATTACAAATTCTGACGTTGAAGAACAAAAACTCCCTGGAGTGGTGATAATTGCACTCCGTCATCTATTAATCCTTCATCTCAAACTGGGAGTTGGCCAAATTGGGTTTATTCTATTTCAATAATCAGCATCGCTTCAATCCTGGATTCTATTTATATCTATTATAAATGCAAAAGGTGTTGGTCAAGTAGATTTTGGCAAAAGGTTAAGAAAGCAGACGGAGAGAAGGAACAACTGAAATTGGTGGCGATTTAATCCCCTAGTGAAGATACCACTAGCAGACATAATATTGCATCTGCACCATCATCGACTACTGTTCTCATCGCTGAAGTTGACTCTGTCGAAACAATTACAAAAAAAAAAAAAAACTTTATTCGAAACTGAGGACAGATATCCTTACAGTTAAGAATGACGACCCCGCTGCATTGTAAATGAACTCTTGTGTAAGTCGATCCCTCTTTCGAATAAGAGCCGAGGATCGTGAATATTGGACAGTCTGTTGATTTCGAGACTAATGTTTCATGAACCATATATTACTGTGTTGTTCGTATCCAGGTGGAGGAAGACTTTATTGTCTCGTAAACTATGTGTTGTAACTATTTAACCATTCCTTATATTACTTCTCGTCCAACCTGATGAGAATTACATTATGCCGATACTTACAAACCAAATAGACATAAATTACCATGGAAAAATCCACAAGTTCCAATTCCATCGACTATGAATTAAACTAATTCATCTCTTGTGAGGGAGGAATGTAACACAATTGGACCATACCGTACATATAAATAAACTATATATTACCTTTTTAATATTTGTTGTGTTTCTTTTATTTGATTAAAAAGGACATATGTGTATAAGGCATAATAATCCTTATTTGTCCTTGAGAGCCATTTAGGTTCTAATGTACTATATTTCTATTTACTGATAATGTGTTTAATGTAGTCAATACTGGTGTAAATATTAATGTGAAATATTATGGGTCAGCTTTGATGAAATATCATAATTGAACGAAGTGGTCAGTATCTCTTATTGGTATCTAAATAATTAAATGTATTGGAAAATGACTTGATAACATTAATTGACCACATTCAGAATTGTTATTGAATACTTGATTAAATCTGCAAGAAAATCGATCGAAGCAATTTCACAAATGACTTAGAAGCTTTCCCATAATTAATTATTAAACCAGGATCTGACGATTGGAAATATGAAGATATATATATTCGGAGACTGGACGGGCGGAGAACAGATCGAGAGAGACAGAACAAGAACTTTATACAAACGTTTCAGACGTACCACTATACGAACTTTGTGCCCCCCTGTACTAGTTACTAGTTTGGCTTCCAGTGGATATACCAAGTACTAACTCTATCATATTTTAACTGTACCAGTGCAGACAACATTGTTCTAACTGTATATGCATGAACGTCTTTATTGTGCAACAGTGACATAATAAATATATATATAACCAAATAAAAAAACATTGTGTTATAATCCTAAGATGTACCATCCATGTAAGTTTGGTCAACATAGGGCTTAGAGTTACTCGGAAATGAGACCTACACCAAAAACTGCACCAAAAATGTTAACCTGCACCAAAAACATTAACCTGGTCATTCCTTTGCTGAAATTGCAGCATCTGAAACTTTGACTGGTACAATGAAACACATTAGAAACATCTTCCATGCATGTCTAATCAATATAGGACATAGAAGTACTTAAAAAGAAAACTGCTCCAAAAAACTTAACCTTAACCCGGGACGCAGAAGCCGAGGGTATCACATAAGCTCCCCCCAACTTCGTTGAGGTGAGCTAAAAATAGAAACATAGGTAATCAAAAATTACAAAGCTCACCTCATTGAATGTTATCTTTGAGTTCTCTGCAAATCTCACATCACTCTTTTTTCAGTAAGTGTGCATCCTGAGATTAATAATCCATGTAAGTTTGGTTTATATATATTATTATAACAATAACTTGATCCGAAGGGTCGTATCATGTCTCATTGACAGGCCCGGATCATCAGATCTAACGAGACGCAAAGCGTCGAGTTTGATCTGATGATCCGCACCTGTCAACGAGACATGATACGGCTCTTCGGATCAAGTTACTGTTATAATGATAAATTTATTATATACCCCCTCATAACTAGCAAAATATGGCAAAAGAAAACTTTAGAGATCAATTGCTTCACATTTATCCATAAAACAAAGCATAATAACAAGGGACTTTTTAACGCGCAAGAAAAATAACGTCATACATGTATTTCTGCGTACTACGTCATCAGTTTCAGAGAGTGGTGATATGGATTCAGAAATCAACATGTTGGTGATCCGGAAAATCGGATCACGACATCACGTGATAGCGTAAATTCAACAGTAAAATTGGGTGATACACATTAGGTATATAATAAAAATTAAGACTTGCAATTATTTGAAAATGGACTTTCTCCAAACACTTTAACCTGTTCATTTATCAAATTTTCTGTCCGTTTCAACATCTAAATCAAAAATAGAAGCCTCCATTCTTATATGCATCATCAATGCAAGTTTAATCATAACAAGCCATGTAATCATAGAATTACTCCAAAAATATCATCATGGTCACTCATATGGAAAATGTAGATCAGATCCAGCATCTGAAGCAAGTCTGGTAGTGTCCATTTCTAGGTGCACTGACCATGCAAGTTTGGTCCAAATGGGGCTTATAGTTACTTGGGAATGGACTGCTCCAAAAACTTTAACCTGGTCACTCACCTGGAAAATGTATTCAGCATCTGAAGCAAGTCTGGTAGTGTCTATCTCAAGATGCATCATCCATGCAAGTTTGGTCCAGATAGGGCTTATAGTTAAAGTTACTTGGGAATGGATTTGCTTCTTAAACTTAAATCAGGGAACCAATTTTAACGCTGAGACTGGGGTTATAGCATAAGCTCATCTGGACTTCAACAAGGTGAGCTAAAAAGCAGTATTATAATTGTATGAACAAATTTACTATTGACATAATCAAAACTTAGCACTATCACTGCTTCATGAATTAGTGCATCACATGTCCACACCATGTTTATATTTCTGTATGATTTATTGACAGTATTCACAAGTGAGCACATTGCTGTCCGTGCAGAAGCCCCAAAAATAGTAAGCCGACTTTTTGAAGTTTATGCACATGCAGCATTCTAAGGAAAAGAATACCACTATATTACAACAAAGTTGCAATTCTACTAGAAATTAATTTTACCTTTGGGGACTTGTACGGATGTTGACTGAGCATCACTATTTGCAGAGTTCTGTGGTTGTCTTGTGGGAGAGAGGGATTGTGGGCTTGTGATTGGCTGGGTAGATAAATCAGAGGTTGTGATTTTCTGGGTAGATAAGTCAGAGGTTGCGATTGGCTGGGTAGATAAGTCAGAGGTTGCGATTGGCTGGGTCGATAATTCAGTGATTCTACGCTGAGGAAGGGGCGATGACTCTGTAGACTGAGGGTTACTTCCGGCGGCTGCTAGCAAAGATGTTTCCGATTCCAACTGCACAGCTTTGAGGATTTCTTGATTAATATTTATGTCTGAGTCGCCTTCTGTGTCATACAATACAACAGAAAAAATCCCATCCCTGTAAAAAAAAAATATACCTTAAAGTTCAACCAGTATGCTATATTTCTGCAGCTTATCAGCAATCAATTTACCTGAACCTTTACTTATTTTACAGGTAACTAATGACCTAATCTCACCTGAATCTTTACTTATTTTACAGGTATACTAACGACCTTTCTCACCTTGCTGTGACCTCTGCCACCAGAGTTTTACCTAGCGCCATATCACACAATTTCTCTAGTACAGTTACATTCCCTGCATAGGCCTCTAGACCATTTAATGATACCTCAAAGGCCTACAATAAATAAAACCATTTATTGTGTACGAGTAATAACTAAAAAAGAAATAGTGAAAGTAAAACAATCTTTATCTCAGATTTAATCACTTTTAAAAAAATCAACAAGCATTATGTGAACTTCAACTGGTCCAAGATCAAGAGTCAGGCAATTTGCTTGGGTAAAAGCATGTCATTATTACCGTATAAGTAGAATTTTAGCGAGGATTTAATTTTGGCATTATTAGCGAGGGTGCCGATATCACTAAAATTGAATATCGTTAAATATTAAGTGCATAGTATTTAGTGTAACTTATCGTGCATTTTAAAATCGCTAAAATAACATCTCACTAAAAATAAATTACCAGTTTTTCAGGACAAATCGCTAAATTTGCGTCTCGCTAAACTTTCCACTTATACGGTACTTTTTTCATGGTTAAGAGTTACGCAAAAATACAACCTTAGAGTTTTCAACTGATAAATACATAGATCAAATTCTGTGTGTGCTATAAAGGAGACAATACATATCAGAATTCAAAATACCGTAAAAATTTACATATTGACTTGGGGTTCATTTTTCATGGTTTGAGGAAAAGAGGTCTATTTTGGGGTATGAATTTTGTGGTTGACAAATTGTGGAGCTGCTAAACATATGAAATTTCACATAGGACAAATTCATGGGTCTCTTCATACTATGAACGCAATAAATATACACCCCCCTGGAAAATTGGTGATCCTATAGTAGCTCTTCTAAAATTCTTTCACCATGCTCCTCCATTTTTTTTTGGCTGACAATAAATGTTTTATACTTTTTACAGAAATTCAAAAAAAAATTTTAAGACTATTTTAGTCAGAATCACTAGAGCTACAGTCTCCTCAGAGAACTCTGAATGCAGTTTGTATTGTCAAGAGAATCAATACTGCAGTAAAAGTCCCACTATTTCATTACGGTACTCCAGCACCTCAGTCCTAATGATGAACAAGCTAAATCAGAGAATTTGTGTCCCCCGCTTAGGGAAAAGGTAAACCATGTGCAGTTCGGGGGGGGGGGGGGGGGGGGGGGGGGGTCGGATCCCTCTGACTAAATTTGTAGAATTATTAAAGGTAAACATGACTATACTGAAACAAATAAAATATGCCAATATAGATATAAAGATTTGATGACTTATTCTTTTCAGGTGTATAGAAGATTCTTTTTTTATGGAATATTTATCACACTGTAATAATGATTTTATGAGTTTGTACAAGCCAGACCTCATAAATTTTTCATTTCACATGCTGAATACTATCATTTAGTAAAAAAAAGTATTTCGAAAAAAAAAGAAAATGCATCATCCGGGTTTCGAACCTGGAACCCGTCACACGTGAAGCGAGAGACATACCACTACACTATGGAAACGCTTTCATCTAGCGAAAATTATATACAAATATGAAGTCACATACATGTATATTTTCATGTTCGATATTGTCAAAATTTTTACACAATGCATGGTGTCTAATTTAACCTATATTAAACAGTTCTAATAGATGTAATAAGAATATAAAGTCCGCCGAGAACCTGTTTTATACGTAATAACTCTGCTCATGCCCCTGTACTAAAAATAGCGACATGTAATAGTAATAGTAATACAGTAAATAATAATAAAATCAAAGTACTGAAAGTACTGAAAAGCGGTTAGCATGCTTTCATCTAATATGTACCGAAAAAAGTGCATGAAATGATAATATTTAAGTATGCATATCTTTGTCCAATTGCAATGTCACCAGAGAAAAAAAAAACAGACAATCTGTTTTTGTAATACTAGTACTTTACTTAATAGTAAAACCAATAACATTCCAAACTGAGGTCACAGATGGATGCAGTCTAATTAAAATTAGATGTTCTGAATCCGCTACTGCTTCTCAAACATCTAACAACATCCTATTTGAGGTCATGTAAGAGTGAATCTTCGATTAGCCAAAGAAAATGGTTCCTCCGAAATCTTGGCTTATAGTTCAGATGGGTTTCTTGTTTTCACCACCGAACCAAAACACCCGAGGAGTTTTGTAGTAAACAAAATATGCATTGCAAAAGCTGTGTTATGTATGACGTGTGGGGTATCTTGTATAGTTTGTGCTCTTTCGTTTGCATTATTCACGTTCAGATGCCAGACTGCAGACTATACATGAAATTTATTCCAAAATTACTTTAATTCAACGTAAGACAGTATCAATAACGATGATATGTAGCCGTGGAATTAACTTGAGAATTGTTTACCGAGTCTTGAATCTACATGGCCAAAGTGTTTGTGTTTACTAGTACATGTATTCATAATCGAAAGGTCGCTCTGATGTGACCCCGAATGGGATGTTAGATGTTTGAGAAGCGGTAGCGGATTTGGAACATTTAAATAAATTTTAATTAGATTGAAATGCATGTTTCAAAATTTAAACATGAGATTTCTTCAGTTTGAAAGACAGGAAGTGCATTTTTAAAAGTTCTCTCTTGGTGGCATCCAATCGTTCTTTGGATGAAAACAATTATGTTGATGTTGAAAATTTAATTGTCTTTCATGCTCTATTGAATCTGAAATTAGGTAATTGTAAAGCCGACTATAGCAAACAACTAAAAAAATGACAAGTTAAATTCTTTAGATTAATAGATTTAGAGTAGTGTAGATCTACAGCTGGCTAGTCAGAGAAAAAAGGATGGCTGAGCAGAGACTTTGTAAATGAATTGATATCAGAGAGCTCCAGATGTGTAGTCTCACCGCGGTTGTAACTTGTCAACGAGGGATGCTTACTTCTTCTAGGCAACGGATTTCACCCCTTGAACGTTCTTAAATCGATCCTTGATCATTTTGTTTTTTGATACAGATACTGAATATTTCCGTTTAGTAATATTATGAGCTACTACTTCTACGGGAAGACTGGCGAGTAAACAAGATTATCAAGCTTTATGAAATGTACTTTATTGACTTTTCAAACAAGTAAATGTTCGAATAAAGTAAATGGTATATGAGAATCATTTAAAAGAAGTCTTGCACAATATGTCTAGATAAGGACATATAATGTGTATTTGCCATATACTCTTCATGCAATATTGTTCTCAAATAAAACATGTGAAAAGGAAAGTTGTCTAATCAATTAATACAGTCTAGTATTTAAAAATTCAAATGTACACTAAAAGTCAGTGTAACTTAAGAAGTTATCAGTGTCACTTTCTTCAATATGTCGGTTAAACAATATACAGTGATTTCTTTTCTATCAATGTGCCTCTAAACACCTGTATTTTAATTTCATTCTTCTTAAACGCTCAAAATAATAATCGACAAATTAGACAAATTCAAATTCAAAAAGTATTTTCTCAGCTAATAATACGTTCCTTAGGAATTGATCAAATTTTCAAAACTTATAAATAAGCATTAAGTATATATTTTAAATTTTTGCTAATTGCCAAGATTTTTCACACCTTATTCTTCTGTGAATAATTATATCGGTTGATTTTTAGAAGAGAATCACAATGCCGATTAAAATTAATATATATTTATCCTTTTTTTTTTCAAAATTAATTTTACTACTTTAAGTGCCCCATTATTTTTTTCAAAACTAAAAGTAAGTGATCCCTTATGATCGTTTGTCATAAATTAAATTATCAAAGACGGAGTAGAGAATTTACCCCTGGGAGCAGAGCTTTTATAATCTGTTTATTAGACAGAGAAGAAAAGAGAAGAAAACAAACGTTTCATTGTGGAGGTAATCCTATTGTTTCCATAAAAACGTTACAAAAAGTGTAAAACGTACAGATGTATTCGGTGTTTTTATAAAAGCGTTTTTCAGGTATTACTTAACTTAATAAATGGTGTTTCTTAATACTTTGGCAAGGAAAATCAAACTCGATCGAGAGATTTGCTGATGTTTTTGCAGTCTGTAATAACCTTCAACCTGCTGTATAATTAACCGTATCGTTCAACTTTCAAAAATAAACTAACAGTTGCTATAAATCGCAATCGCGCAATGTATATGTAATAAGGACCAAATTCTCAGTTCTTTGAAGTTAGTGTTTTAAGTATTGTCAATGCATTGGTAAATACTAGTCTAATAAGAATTCGATATAATCGTTATAATAGCCACTCTTCATACACAGCTTATTGTCAATCTCTCACCAGGGGGCGTATTACGCCAACAGTATACAAATCATAGGAAGCGCTTTGCTGAAGTTACCGTTGTCGATAGGTAGCACCTTGTGGAAGTTTCCGGTTTTGGTTGCAGAAGGATAAGGTTATGTGCCATAAAGCGATGTCGATAGGTAGCGCCTTATGGAAGTTTCCAGTTTTTGGAGGCCCATGCCATAAAGCGGTTAGCTGGCTAACCGCTTAACAAACGCGGCGGGACACTTTGAGATGGGTGAGAGAGGTCTTATGGAGTTTTGGTATAAAATTACATTGCAAAATCTCAAAATCTTCTTGAAATATCGCCCAGAAAGGATAGTGTTACACACAGACAGAATGTATAAATTTATGACCTTGAACTTTGACCTTTTGACCTCAAAATCAATAGGGGTCTTCCTTAGGCCATAGAGAGTTGTTATGTAAAATTTCATTGCAAAAGCTCAAAGGGTTCTCGAGATATCGTGCGGAAACGAAAGTGCTATAACAGACAGAATTTGCTAATTTATGACCTTGACCTTTGACCTTTTGACCTCAAAATCAACAGGGTTTGTCTTTAGTCCATAGGGAGTTGCTATGCAAAATTTCATTGTGAAAGCTTAAAGAGTTCTCGAGATATCGTGAGGAAACGAAAGCGTTACAGACAGACAGAAAGACGGACAGACAGACCCAAATTAATATCCCCCACTTTTCAAGCGGGGGACAACAATAAACACAGGGGTGCCTGATACCTGGTAGGGGAGACAAAGTGGTGCCTGATACTGAACAGAAAACCTAGTGGTGCCTGATACCTGGTAGGGGAGATTCTTGTTAATGTTTGGATCAAGGGGTCGTAGTTGGTCAGGAATCAATCCATCCACATCACCATGGTCCAAATAGTAACACTCATACTACAAAAAAAATGTGGTCGTCAGCAACAACTCTGATCTATTCTGATTACATGAAGTCTGATGAGACAACAGGAAAGAATCAGTAGAGATGTGAGGGTACAGACATTAACAACAGACAACAGGAAAGAATCAGTAGAGATGTGAGGGTACAGACATTAACAACAGACAACAGGAGAGAATCAGTAGAGATGTGAGGGTACAGACATTAACAACAGACAACAGGAGAGAATCAGTAGAGATGTGAGGGTACAGACATTAACAACAGAGATAAGATACACGGTACGTAAAGTTGTGAACCTTTTTCTCCTCCTTCTTGAGGACCCGGACACGATGGAACAATTCGTCTAAATACGCCACACAAACCTGTCCCTCACTTATCTCTACATCCTCCGGCGCCGAGTGGAAGGCGTCCTCCAGTCTCCTCTCTAGATCCTCCAGTTTGTCCTACAACAGGATCAGTTATAGATTAACACCGCAACAACATAACTACAATAAAACTCGTTGAGTATGAAGAGGGATATTGCAAAATCACGGATATAGCTAAAATTATCTTGGATCCCCATTTATATAAATCTCACAAATTCCTTATATGGATATAACGAATTACGGATATAGCGAAGTAATTTTGTAGGTCCCAGTGACTTCTTTATAACCGAGTTTTACTGTGCAACAAAATCAGTAAAGAGTAACACTGCAACAAAACTACAATAAGATCAGAATACAGTGACAAAATCACATCAAAGCTTAGCCTTGAATTTTAATGTTTACCATTGACAATTTCTTGACTAGATAAATTGTCTGTTTTTTTTCTCTATTAATGAACATAAACACACTGACTTCTCCATCCATCCCTATATTAGCTGTGATATTAAAAATTTTCTCTGTATTTGCAGTGAGTACTTACCGAGTGGTTTTCCCCGATCAGTCGTATCATGACAGAGGTGGTACCGGTGAGGATGTAAGACACATACACGTCCCACATATTGTCTGTAGGTAACTCCAGATCCTCTAAAAATACAATCACAAAATATTCATTCATATTAGAAAGTGTGCTGATTTCTTCACAAAGATTTCAGATTGACCGACCTTGACCTTTTGACCCTGAACTGCAATCATGGCTTACCTGGCTCTCCGCAGAGAGATTCTGCCTGCTCCTCTTCCGTTATCTTTCTGAGTATGCCCTCTGAGACTAGCTTGTCGTTAATACTCGTCGTATCGTCAGAAAGAAAGAGGTCAACAGTGTGAGTGGCATCGCCTGATAATTATAATTCATTCCATTGTGACCTTGACCTGTTTACTTTTCATACTGGGGAATTTAATTTGAAACTGTAAAATAATTAAACTTTTCATGTATTCATGAACATACTTAAAATTTCTCTTGTAATGGCAGTCAGTTTCTGCTCTGTTACTATCTCAGCAAACCTCTCTTTAAAAGATTTGGACCATGACTCTTCACCCTTGTATGAAAAAGAGATATTTTGTTAATTACTCTTCCCTATATATCTGTATTTCTGCATAATTTTTCACCTTAATCTTCTCTTTAGACAAATAAAGGATGTCCCACCTCTAACGGGGTTACTCCATAGAGGAAACAGAAGATGACTTGTACAGGGTACTGGGCGAGCTCCTCCGTCAGAAATCGGGTGACCTCCTGGTTACATGTGGCTCTATTACCGTAGTCAATAAACACAACATCCACTGTTGTCTGAAAACACAATTATAACTCATCTGACCCATTGACCTCAAATTGAATGGATCAAGTAAATGTAGCAAATAAAATTTATTTCAGCGTTAAAAACTCTGAACTGGAATGCTAATCAGAAGCACATTCATAGAAAAACAGTGCATTTTTCCACATGAATAAGAAGTCACCACTTCTTTGAACGGGTTAGACTACCTCTCTGGTCATCCATCAACTTTTTTTCAGACCAGCCAGTCAAAGATCTGCAGCTATAGCAAAGGTAATTTCTCTGATTTTTATTTCTTAAAAAATAATCTTTCAGAGGTTGTATTAAAATGTCCATTTTAAAATTTTGATTCCAATAAATCTGCGTTACCAAAGATTTGTAAATGTGGAACATCACCAGTATGCTTTAGACATTATGACCATAATTTTATAAGTGATCCCAGATATTAGTCTAGTTTCTTACCCCCTCCCTACTGATTATTTCCGCCCTGCTCCACAGTTCCTCTGTCCCTGTGTTATACAACGCAGCAATAAATCTCCCCGGCTCTAAATCCTCCAAATCAGGAACTGGTCCCTGTAGAATAGTCCAATAAATATGGTTCTCTTTCTGAGAAAAATGCTTTTTTTTCAAATGACAGATCAAATCTGGGCCCTGTATAATAGCCCAAAAACATGTTTCTCTTTCTCAGAAAAATAAATTTTGTTTTTAAATGTGAGATCAGATCTTAGAAAAGGCTTTTACTGTATAATGGTGGAAGGTTCTTACATTAGCCACTATGTCGATTTTTTCTGTAATCTCAAATATGGCACTGTCTTCATGCTGAACACAAAAACTCCCATCATCTCCCAGGTACGTCATGTAAACGGTCACTTTCTCCCTGTAAAAATTAATGATAGGGTGACTATGGTAGGGAAATGTAGGTATTTGTATACACATGATCATTGAAAATTTCATCAAGCAATCACCATGGCACAGATGTAGTCTGTAAGTACTTACCCAATAGGTAAATTTTCTCCAGTTGGTACTTTTAACTCTTTGATCTATAAAATAAACAGTATTTTATTTAGACTTAGTTAATTAAGTCTGTTTCTGTCAGAGACTTTCCCATCAATCTGGAAAAAAAAAATCTTTAGGAAATTCTTATAATCTTATAATAAGAAGCCACTTGTTTTGAAAACAATTTTCCATTCTTTTTTAAGGTGGCCTCTTAAAAAGTTTGACTGAACCTTGCTGGCATGATGTAGCCATCTCCAATATCATCTTCAATTATGGGGGCATAAAAATTACCGTACAAGTGAAAATTTTAGCGAGACACAAATTTAGCAATTTGTCCTTTAAGACTGGTATTTTATTTTTAGCAAGATGTAATTTTAGCGAATTTAAAATGCCCACTTAAGAACCTTTTACAAATAAAACTCAATCAAATTTTAGCAATTTTCAATTTTAGTGACCTCAGCACCCTCGCTAATAATGCCAAAATTAAATCCTTGCTAAATTTCTGCTTATACAGTATTTCAGATACCCCCTTTTGGACTGAATGTTGATGGAGCAGGTGCTACCTTTTGACTGACTGTTGATTGATCTCTATCTATACTGTTGTACACCTACCTTTTGACTGGCTGTTGGCAGGTGCTCTATCTGTACTATTGTATATTAAACTACCTTTTGACTGACTGTTGGCAGGTGCTCTACCTGCACTATTGTATAACTACCTTTTAACTGATTGTTGGCTGAGCAGGTGCTCTTTCTGTACTATTGTACACCTACCTTTGGACTGACTGTTGGTTGAGCAGGTGCTATATCTGTGCTATTGTACACCTACCTTTCGACTGACTGTTGACTGAGCTCTATCTGTACTATTGTTAATCTAACTTTTGACAGACTGTTGGCAGGTGCTCTATCTGTACTATTGTAAATCTAACTTTTGACTGACTGTTGGCAGGTGCTCTATCTGTACTATTGTATACCTACCTTTTGACTGACTGTTGGTTGAGCAGGTGCTCTATCTGTACTACTATATACCTACCTCTTGACTTACTGTTGACTGAGCAGGTGTTCTATCTGTACTATTGTACACCTACCTTTTGACTGACTGTTGGCTGAGCTCTATCTGTACTATTGTAAAACTACCTTTTGACTGACTGTTGACTGAGCAGGTGCTCTATCTGTTCTATTGTATAACTACCTTTTGACTGACTGTTGGCAGGTGCTCTATCTGTACTATTTTATAACTACCTTTTGACTGACTGTTGGTTGAGCAGGTGCTCTATCTGTACTATTGTTCACCTACCTTTTGACTGACTGTTGGCTGAGCAGGTGCTCTATCTGTACTATTGTATAACTACCTTTTGACTGACTGTTGGCAGGTGCTCTATCTGTACTATTGTATACCTACCTTTTGACTGACTGTTGGTTGAGCAGGTGCTCTATCTGTACTATTGTATAACTACCTTTTGACTGACTGTTGACTGAGCAGGTGCTCTATCTGTACTATTGTATAACTACCTTTTGACTGACTGTTGGTTGAGCAGGTGCTCTATCTGTACTATTTTATAACTACCTTTTGACTGACTGTTGACTGAGCAGGTGCTCTATCTGTACTATTGTATAACTACCTTTTGACTGACTGTTGGCAGGTGTTCTATCTATACTATTGTATAACTACCTTTTGACTGACTGTTGGTTGGGCAGGTGCTCTATCTGTAATATTGTATAATAACTACCTTTAGACAGACTGTTGACTGAGCTCTATCTGTACTATTGTACCTTTTGACTGACTGCTGGCTGAGTAGATTCTATTACAGGTGGTGCGTCCCCTCCAGCCTGTGCTGTGATTGGTCTGGGGAGGGTCGCGGGACCCCCGTGGTCCCCTTTGTCTTGTTCCTCAGTCACAGGGTAAAGTCTGTTTCTACCTGTTAGTGAACACCTGTAGAAATTCAAGGAATACAGAAATAAGTAAGATTTCTGTTTAGATGTGAAGTGAAAATAAAGATGTTTGAAATGGACACAGACAATAATAATAGTTATATGACATAGTATTCATATTCTTATTGTTTTGTACATTACTGTTTGAAATGTATGTTTTGTTATGATATACAGTGCTGTCAATATTTGTCATAACTTCAATGACTAGCCAGTGCTAATATCTCCTACTTGAGAAAATATATAAAGTATGCTTAAATCTGTGTTTGTAGCTGTGGTTATTTATAAGGGTGTTTTTGTTTCTGTGTCTGTCTGTGTGCGTTTACGTAGGATTTACACTTATGCCTCTACCCTGACTATATCTGGCCAGTTCTGTCCATACTGTTTGTATGCATGTCTGTCTGTGTGTGTATGTGGGACTCATACTTGTACCTCTACCCTGACTATATCTGGCCAGTTCTGTATTTGTTTGCATGTGTGTCTGTGTGTATGTTTAATACTTACGCCTCTACCCTGACTATATCGGGCCTGTTCTGTATTTGTCTGTGTGTGTGTATTTTTAATACTTACGCCTCTACCCTGACTATATCGGGCCAGTTCTCTATGTAATACACAAGATTAGCAGGGGGTTCTTCATTGTACTGCTCCTTATAAAGTATTTGAAGGCGGGTGTCCCAAATTCCGTTGTTCTTCCCTTTAACCAACTAAAACAACAAAATAAAAATTTCTTGTACATTTCTAGTCAATGTAGTGTTGAACAAATGTGTGTTTACTGATACATCCCACGTATAAAATATCAATATAATTAAAAACACACGTATAAAATATCAATATAATTAAAAACACACGTATAAAATATCAATATAATTTAAAACATCTTTTCTTCCTGTTCCTACATGTATTATTAATTGTATTTTTAATAAGGTGCTAAACAATTGGAATTATTTTAAAATAGTGTGTCACATGTGTTTTAAAGCATTTAGAGTTGCTTATAATAAATTCTTTGAAGCATTTCTCTTCTCCATGTGTACGTCTCTAACCAATAAAACAGAGCCATTCCCTTCTTTGACCATCTGTCATTTATAAATTTAAAGAAAGTTTTGGCAGCAGAATGATTTAAAAGGTTCTAATTTTAATGTTTGCCATCTTAATCCCTTAGTGTAATATGTACATTTAACAAATGGGTCTAAAATGCCTAATTTAACTTTTGACCATTGACATGTTTAAGTAAAGTACTAATAATTCAACTGTATGTAAAAGCTTAATTGATATTTGATTTCATCTTTCTGAATTGCAAATGTATTTAACACAAATTTTACTTCTTGTCAATTCAGTAGTTTCTAACAAAATAAAAAGGGCCTTGAATCGCTCTTCTGATAAATTGTACATCCTAACACTTGTATTCTCTAACCCTAAGTATCCTAAGACCAAAGTTGCATCACCTGACAAAGTTTGAAGATTCTTAGCCAATTAGGACTACGTCTTGGTCTACATTCTAAAACCCAAAATGCATCAACTGACAAAGTTTGATTATTCTAAGCCAATAAATACCTAAGATACTTAAATATAGCCATAAAATGTCAAATAGGTCGCTGTGACCTACTTTTTGGTCGACAAAAACCCAAGATGCATCAACTGACAAAGTTTGATGATTCTAAGCCAATAAGTACCGGAATTCTTAAATATAGCCATAAAATGTCAAAAGTAGGTCACCGTGACCTACATTTTAGTCAACATTTTTCAGATAAAGATGCATCTGCTGAAAGTTTGATAATTCTAAGCCAATAAATACCTGAGATATAAAATAGGTCATCATGACCTAATTCTCTGAAAAACACACTGACAAAGTATGATGATTCAAAACCGATAAGTACTGGAGATACTAAATATAGCCATAAAATGTCAAAGTAGGTCACAGTGACCTAATTTTTGGTCGTCACTCTCCGTGCATCAACTTACAAAGTTTGATGATTCAAAGCCAATAAATACCTAAGATACATAAATATAGCCATAAAATGTAATAGGTCACCGTGACCTACATTTTGGCTAAACCCAAGATGCATCAACGGACAAAGTTTGATGATTAAGCCAATAAGTAACATGCCATAAAATGTCAGAAGTAGGTCACCGTGACCTAATTTTTGATTCACTCTCTGAAAACCCAAGATGCATCAACTCACAAAGTTTGATGATTCTAAGCCAATAAATACCTAAGATACTTAAATATAGCCATAAAATGTCGAAAGTAGGTCACCTTGACTCTTTTGTTCTTTTTCAGAGTCCCAAGATGCATCTCCTGACCAAGTTTGATGATTTTAGGTCTGAAGGTAATCAAATTATGCCTTTTAAACAATTTGAAAACATATGCCTGCAAAATCCTAAAAGTAGGTCACAGTGACCAACTTTTTCATGTTTTAAGGTCCCAAGATCTTTTACAAGATTTGAAATTTTTCAGTGCCTGAAATAATGGGATTAAATGTTTTAAAAAGGATGTCATAAAGTTCAAAAAGCACGGTGACCTACTTTTATGATTGTAAAAGATGCATCAACTGACTAAGTTTGGTGATCATAGGCCTTAAAGTGTCCAAAATATGCCTTCAAATCAATTTGAAAACAAATGCCTGCAAAATTAATAGGTCACCGTGACCTACTTTTGAACATGATGTGAAGTCCTAAAATGCATCAACTTACAAGATTTGATGATCCTAGTTTGAAGCAAAATATAAACATTTTTATTAATTGTAAATTTAGGTCAACTTTAAAGTGACCTTGAAGTTTGCCCTGGGGTCATGCCTTGAACAATTTTTAATCTTCAACATATCCTGATCCTTGTATGTAAGTTTGGTGAAAATTGATAGGTGGTTCTGGAGAAGAAGATTTTTTAGCAACTAGTACTTTTGGTTTTGTTTTCCTGATTATCTCCCCTTGTTTTAGGGTCAACCCTTATTTTAGTATAAATGGTAGCCCTTGGGCCAAGGATACCCTGTGACAAATTTGGTACTGATTGGCCAAAGGGTTCTTGAGTTATGGCCCATATTCTAAAAAGTTAACGCACACCGCACACCGCACACCGCACAAATGGCCATAGCATTAGCTCTTTGAGCCTTTGGCTCAGAAGAGCTAATAAAAAAGCATGTCTTCTAAAAGTTCGTTAAAATTTGCATACATCTTCATTGCTGTTATCATGGCTACTTAAATGGAACATAAATAAAGCTTCAAGACTCATGTGTAAAGAAAGATTTCACCAAATCTTTAAAATGATTGATTTTTTTCTCACAATAATTAAACAACTGGCATTGAATTCTCCAACCCTGAAAAGTTTTCCATGCTGGCTTCCCCTCCCTTTAATGAAAAAATATTGAACTGAAAGATTTTCTTCATGCAATAAATGTAACATTCAATTTTGTTGGTTTAACCCCATCTACTCTGTAGTTGTATTGAATCTGAGTAAAAACTACCCCTGGTACATGAGAATAATATTCCAAGAGACATTTAAAGCCCGGTCGGGTTATTTTCACAATCACACCGTCGTACGCTAATGTGAAGATCTGCAGTTCCTAATCCCTGTATATAATGCACTGATCACAGACGTTACTTAAATCATTGTGAATAACTGAATATATCATACTGAGGTTTGTTTATTTTATCTTTTTATTCTTTAATGCAGAATTAGTCAGACATTATTTTTAAAAGGATGTTGACTTAATCATAGATAAAATCTTAAACAATTCAATTGCACCTATTTTCTATCTTATTAGTTTTTTGCTACATATCATAAAGTTAACTTTTTAAATCTACCATATTGGAGAAATTTTCTTGATTTAGTACTTTTTATCAAAGTTGTGAAAAGTATATGGAAAACCCCTTCAGAGTCTGTAATAGAAGAGTTAGACTTTTTCTTTTTAAAACTTCTCAAATTAAAATATGTTGTATATGCAAATTACAAAGAAGGAAAGAAAGGAAACAAAACATAAAATCCTTTATCATTTTGGAGAGAAAATAAATTTACCTGATGACAGACAGATATGACCTTAAAAGTTCACTTGAGTCTTTTGCTCAAATGGGCTTAAAATACGTGAAATATTTGTTTTAAAAATACTGAAAAGCATTGTTTTTCTTTGGCATCAGTCATATCATAATGTGTAACTTAAAATAGCAAAACTAAAATTCAAAGATATAAATTACATACATGTAAATAAATGCAAAAATTAATTACATTGTACAGTTATTTGTAATACAAATGATTGCAATGCATGTGAAATATTTATGCCAGGATGACAATAACTATAGCTCTAAATAAGATATTAAAAAAAGCATCATACATTTTTAATTAAACAAATTAATGAATTCAGCTGTTTATTTCATGAGCAAAATGTTTAAGAATTAATTTCTTAACTTACTCGTAAAATATCATTCAGCATCTAAAATGACAACTGAGATAAATAGTGGGAAAACTTATGCCCGGTTCTAAATCGATGTTACTAATATGTGTACTCGATGACAATTATTTACACAGATTGAATTTTATTTAAAGATTCATAATAAACATGCTTTGTTTGAGAGGAAAATACAGTTGATGTTGTTAGCTATGTATCATAAGAAATCATGCATGGCTGGTGTCCTAACAAAGAACACAACTGTTTTTTGATACATGAAAATTTTCGATTTCCATCAGACCATCACATTTTACCCTTTTCTTCTTTCTTTGTGTTAAGGTCACTTAATTCAATCAGCTTGCCTACTGCCATCTTAGCTAGCCAATGGTTTCTGATATGATACTCTCTTCATAAACCCTTGGCATACAGTGCAGTCAAAATAAGTGATCACACAGATTGCATTATCGACAGAAATAAAGAAGCATATTAAAAACAATTAAATCTAAGTTTTTGAAGAATAATTAAGAAGAAAGTATTGAGTTATGTTTATTTGCTATTCAAAGTAAAAACCTACAGCTTCAATATAGATTCTTAATCACATACATGTATTTTGAAGATATCGGATGACACCATAGCTATTCATAGAATGCCATTTTATCCTACGTATCTTTGTTTACTTGAGCTTTACATTCCCCAGAATTAAAAAGTCAAGATATATATCCCAAAAGCAGATATCATCATTTACAAAAAACAATAGCTGATTGGTCAAGCGGTGTCGATCGACTCGAATCAAAACTTCAGAAAAAATTTCGAATTTTTCTTTAACATCGTATGCCAAGGGTTTATGAGGAGAGTATTGTATCAGAAACCCTTGGCTTAAGCAAAGATGACCTGCTGCTGTTTCCTTTTTAATTTCTAAAAAAATATTCAATTTCAAAACAAAAGAAATCCAATTATATTCTTGACCATATCACTTCCCCTGAAATCTTTTACACAAAAGTGGTATACCGGTAGTTTTAGAAAAGATACAGCTTAACCTTCAAACAACTGATGTAACATCCCTAGTGTATATATAATGTAAGATCAAATCTGAAATGATCAAACATACAAGGGTAATTTAAATGAAAAGAAAATGGCTAGACCAAAACACCCCCTTCTAAAACGGTTTATGTAAAAATAGCACATTAACGAGAATTTGTCAACGAATATGAGTGTATTGTGTACAGTTTAAATGTGTATCTATTTAAACTGATAAGAACAGGCCTATCGTAAAATGGTTACATCATATACCATTGTTGGTTTAGGGCATTGTAACCAGCTTAGGTCTCTTACAGGAACATTATTTGGTGTATTTAGTAAATTCTTACACACCTAGTATACCATGTATAAGCACTACAGATTGCAATGAAAATTCCTTGTCTAATAAAAATTCTCTCAGACTGGAAAAAAACTGCATTACTTTGATTGGAATTTTAAAACTATATAAGGTAAATTCTATGTTTTTTAATCTTACTCCTGCAAAATTGCAATTATATGTTTATATGAATAAGAAAATATTTTTTTGTTAATTTCAGCCCCCCCCCCCCCCCCCACCCAGCAATGGAGACCGACCTAATCTAAGCATGACAGATGCGTCAGCCTTACGGGATTTTACCCAGCCCGACGAGCTGAGCGACCTGACCCTGGTGATTAGTGGCACCCCCCTCCACGTCCACAAACAGTATCTGGCCGAGTGGTCCCCCGTGTGGCGCCAGCTGTTTCTGGAGGAATGTTCAAGTCCCCAGGGTCTACGGGAAATCTTAATGCCTGATAAAAACTTACAAGAAGTTACGGAACTATTGCACTGTATTTATTCCACACAGAAACCTATTTCAGGTAAACTTAATTATTGCATTATAATTGTATTTACTCCACAAAGAAATGCATCTCATATAAACTTACAAGATTGATTGATTATATGTTGTTTTACATTCCATTTAAGACTTTTTCATTCATACACAGACATCACCAAAATCTGACCTTTACTCAGCACTCAGGGCCTTTCTTTTTTACAATTTTAAAACTTTTCTTTCGAAATTTTTGTACAATGTTATCACTGAGGACTCTTCATTGTCCTAAAATATTCCCTTCCCCAGTATTAGAAATATTGATCAGCAAACTAACTTATCTTTGAAGTGTTTTCATTTAATAAACAACAAGGAGAATAAATCGTTTTTCCATTACGTGGATCTCGTGTTATTTTACAATGTTTGGCTGGAAAACGGAGTTGCATGTCTGAGTGTTTTTAAATCATTGTCAGATCTTACACCTTATCTCAGATCTAATCTCACACGAAGAATTTATTCTTAAAACTTAACTCCTAATGAAGACAAAGATTTAATCTTTGTTCACTTGTTTTATTATCAAGCTTTATCATCAGTTTGATGCTAATCTCAATATACTGATGACTAAATGGGAATTAATGAAAAATAAACACTTTAGTTCAAACATTCAATTTAATGGAAAATGAAACATATCCACATGTGTTCACCAAAGTATAACAGAAAACTTGAAAATTTAGTTTCAATAACAAAGAATAACAAAATTGTTAATTGTTTTGCTGGGCATTAATAATTGTTTTTAATCAAATGTTTGAAATTCCAAATAAAAGACTTGCATGACAGATATGCAAATTCCCAAATTACTTTATATTTTTGTTTATAGATACTAATGTGAAATTTTTACTACAACTTTCTGATGAATTCCAAATAAATCGTGTGAAGGAAAGATGTGAACAGTTTCTCATCAACCAGGATAGATCTCTGGGAATATTAGTCCTGGCCGAAAAATACAACCTAAGGTCCCTCTATAAACAGTGCATGGAGTACGCCAAAACTAAGACACTGGAGGAACTGGACTCAAGTCCTGAGATTAAACGGCTGTCATCAAAGACAGTGTTACAGATCTATCATGACAAGATAGAGATGCTCCGCGACTATTCTAATGACATTACACAGAGAGACAGACGGACAATGCTGGATTGTGAGACCCTGAGGATGGAGAAAGCCAACATGCTGAGGAGTTTACAGGGCATACAGAAACTCTGGGATACCCCCAGTAAGAGGTGCTTCAGACACATTGCTGACAGCGCGTTCAATTACAGCTGTGCAGACTGTAACGAAAAAATCTACTTTGAGGTTCGGAAGTTGTGTGGGGAGGGGCAACACCTCAGACGATACTTTCCCAAACCCCCCGAAAAGAAATGATAAATATCATTGCTAGATTACAGTGAAATTTGGAAATGAACATAATTTATAACAGTAAGATTTGGAGCTTCATCCTAAGCAACAAAGCTAGTCTTCAGAATTAACCACCTCACTGGCAAAATGTCTCATTAAAACACTTCAAACTGCATAGTACTGCATAGTTCTGCATAGTGCTGTGTCTGAACTATGTTTAAACTGGCCAGAAAGTTATCACTTGAAACACAAATTAATACATGATCTTTTACAATCACTTTAAGTTGTTTGTTATTTTTGTAGTTAATAAATTTAATAATTAACACGTTTCTTGACTGATATAAATTTATTAAATCCTAATCTGACAAGGAGAGTAAATGGCCAAACAGAATTATCCAATGGCTACCATCTGTTTAGGTAGAAAAATAGTACAATAAAATTGAACTTTGTTAAAATTATTCAAAAAACGCAAAAGCATGTATATTAATACAATAAATTAAATTGGAAAGCTTGGAACATAAAGCCATTCTCAGATCACACCTTCATTCAAGTTACAATGTGATTAAATTAAGCACAAATTCAAGAACCTGGGGCCATATAAATGGAATTTTACTGAGTTATCCCCCTTCATAGAGAGATCTATGCAACAGTTCTTAAAACCACGTGCGACAAAAGATAACCTTATTTAATTAATCAAAGTAAAAATTGTTGAGGAATTAGCCAACTACAGCTGTAGAAGTCCGTTAAAACTAATCATTAACAATGGTTGTCCTTAAGACTTGGGGTTGGGTAATTTCCCAACCTAATTATAATGATGTAATCCTAACTCTCCATCTACTTCTTTAATGTACACTGCTATTTCAATTCTTAGTGACAACCCTGATTAACTAATCGATGGTGAACTAAACTAACTCACATCTCTAAGTCCTATACTCACCTCTCTGACTCGCTCCTTGACCTCCGCTTCTGATGTTAATGGACTTTGTGTACATGAGCTGTTCTCTGCTAAAATAAATTTTAATTAAAAATCATATAAATATAAAGAGGGGTTTGTTATTGGACCAGATTTATTTAATGAAAAAAAATATGTATCCATCAACTTGAACTGTCAAAAAAGTTAGAACTCTATTTAACCAACAACAACAAAAATTTACCATTATAGCAAAATTTGATGAAATGATTTGTGTGTCATGAAAGACAACTCTGTCAATACTAGATAAACAGGAAATATCAAGGTTTATTTTTTACTTAAGCATATGTATTGCAGCAACCAACAATCTTCTGCCAGTAATTTACCGGTATGTGAGGGCATTTGTGGTGGGTGTGGGGGGCTAAATTTTTATACTTGGTGGATGAAGAGACCGATAAATTTATAGTTACCTTTAAACAGGAAAAGTAAATTTTCATGTGCATAACTACATTTCTTCAACAAACATGAAATTCAATTCCAAGTCAACTTTCTTTAAAATACATAACTATCTTTGATCATGAAATTCGATTCAACTCCCAACAAATTTTAAAACAGTATTTTTTCCAAAGAAATAAATTACCCCCACAAACACATGTGATTCTGCAGTAAATTCTGCTTAATTTTTCCTCAAATCTGAAGTTTTTTATCATAATATGATGGAATTAATTTTTTGTAAAAATTTTCAAACATTAAAATCAATTTTTATCGTTTTAAAATAATGCCAGAACATTTATTGCTTCTCACCTGATGAAGAGAGAAGTCCGAGACTCTGGACTGCGGTACGAGCCGCGGCATACTTAGAATCATCCTCACTACCATACACATCTGTATATAAACACACAAAATCATAAAATCCATACATAGAATTCTCAACAAAACTTTTCACGTCTGAACAAAAATACAGAAATATTAAACGAACAAAAATATATTCCAATTAAAGTGAAGATTTAGAAAGTAAAATCACTTGCCAAGGTCAATTTGCATTAAAGATAAATATATACATGTTCAACTTTCTGTGTAGGAGATAAGACTACACATTATCATAATAGAATAAGATGATTTCACCATAAAGCTATTTTATTTAAAATGATACTAGCATGCATGGTTCAAAAGAATCATGTCCAGGACCAGAGGGAGAAACAAGTTGGTTGGGATTGGTTAAGCTCATGAATTTATGGAATCATGTAAACATAAGGATTCCATAATCATTGTCCCGTAATATTACAGAGAGAATGGCAGTGTCCATGGATGTTTTAATTAGATCATAAAAAGATGCAAAATTGCCCTTTGTAATTTACAGGAGAAAGATTTTGTGAAATCTCATCAAAATTTGTATAGTGGTATGGGTCGAGTTGATTAGAGAGGAGTATCCCCAAGTATAATTGACATATGGACAGACATCCCTATCACTATATACAATGGTATAAAATTAATTCATTGAGAAAAGGAAGAAATGGTACTCAGAAGAGTCAGACCTGTTCACTGACAAACAAAAATAGTTTTCCATAGGACACTTATGCGTACATACTTATATTCAAATGAAAGAAAAAGTGAGCAAGCTCACATACCCCATGCTCCCCCAAAACTTGAAGTGCTGAAATTGCCAGAAAAAATAAAGGAATCCCAATTTCCTAGTAATATGCATATCTACACATTGTGTTCTAAATATCTGCAAAGTTTGACGAAATTCTGTGCAGCAGTTTATGAGAAGTTGCGCTGACAATCTGTTAATCTCTATATTCAAGGTACGGACAAAAATCTAAGTAGAAAAGGGCCGAAATTCAGAATCAGAATTTCCTGGTACATGTAATATGCACATCTACACATTGTGTCCTAAATATATGCTACGTTTAACGAAATTCTGTGCAGTGGTTCATGAGCAGATGCGCTGACAAACTGTTCATCTCTATATGCTGCATGCAAGATATGGCCAAAAATCTAGTGTAAAAGTGCGGAAATTCCCGGAAAAAATAAAGGAATCAGAATTTCCTGATAATATGTACATCTATACATTGTGTCCTAAATATCTGCAAAGTTGACTAAATTCTGTGCAGCGGTTTATGAGGAGTTGTGCTGACAAAAAAAAAACAGGACTGACTGACGGGTCAAAAGCATTATACCTCCCGCAACTTGTTGCCTCACTATCTCAAACAGTACAGGGAAAATACTTTGGGACATCTGTGTATTCAGGATATCAAAGAATAAGTAGTTTGAATTCCCAATTCACTTTGACATATCCATGGTATTTGGGAATTATGAGTTATATAGATACCAAAGTCAACTGTAATTTGAGTTTATTTAGCATTTACCTCCACTTCCGTAGGTTTTGCCGTTAAATTTGACGGAGCCGACATAACCAGGGTTATTTGTCACCTTCGTCATGATACTGTCAAACACCAGTCTGATATTGTTGGCTCTGGCATAGGTTTCTAGAGTTTGGAGATATCTCTCTCCATCAGGGACTATAATTTACAAAACAGAATGGTCAGACAATGTCAATTAAATCCTTATATTCCATCAAATTCAGAGGCATCCTCAGAAACAATCTTACGTCTCACCTTTAACAAAATTAAGTTTGTTCTGCCTCAATGGGGGCTTGGACACTAAAACAAATATGTACATTAAATTCTTGATTTGTTTGCACTTTATTCTTTTAAATCTAACTATTTGATAAACAGTTACAAAAATTGTGTGTTTCTCATTTTACCGACACATTTAACAATAGACCTAATATAGAAAAACAAAGTAGGTTTTACTCAAGTAAGTTTTTTGTATTAATCAAAATCTTATTCAAGTTAAAACAGATATTTTATAAAATGCTGTAAATGACTAATTACTGTGGTTCTGTTTGTGATTCTTTTCTGCTTTATTTTCTGGTATTAGTTATCTTTACTGTATAGCTTACTTTTTTATTGTATATATACCTGGTTTTTGCGTACTGGTGTTTTCTGGTTTTTGTTTACTGGTGTTCATGTTTTCTGACGGAATATTTTCTTTCCCATTTTGAAATTTTCTGGCGAACCTTGGAGGTATCTCAAATCTGTGGCCAAAACCAGTATCTGGCTACAATAACCCAAAAAAAAAGTTTGGAAGCCAATGCTCACTATTAATACCCCCGCTCTGAGGTGAAACTAGAACTGTCCAATAGGGACAAATACCCCCGCTGGGTTTTTCAGAGTAGGTGCCAATTCAGAAATATTTTATGGATCTAGTAAGAGGTGTTCACTATTGTCTAATAAAGTGCCCCGCCACAGCATGATACACCCATCAAATATTGTTCAATAATCATAAATTGGTTAGGGTGCAAGAAAATCAAGTAACCTTGATTAACAGATTGACACAGATTTCAATGATCTAATTTCCATTTCTTATTATATTTAAAATATTGTACATACATCTCTAAAAGACTTACAGTGTAGGGATTAATTAAAACAAATAATACATCCAGAGCTGCCAACATTCTTAAATGACAAATAGTAAGGCGAGGTCTAGGGACCACCTAGGCCCCCTGTCGCTGAAGATGTTTTGTAAATGGACATGTAATCTGAGGCATGTTTCCATTTTGTTTACTATAAAACATTGACATTAATGTGATCCGTCTTCTAAAACTGAAACGATGATACAAGCAAGCGTTGTAAGAATTATGAATATATTATAATAGTAGAAAATATAGACTGCCAGCTATGAAAATACATTTTTTATATATACTTTGAATGAGAAAAACTGAAATCGGAAGAATATAGAGAGAAATCGTAAGGCGTATTTTAGACGTTGATTTCGTATGCCTTACGCCAAAATCGTAAGGGTTGGCAGCTCTGTACATCATATATAATTCTAATTAAACTGGCTGTGTTAGAGCTTAACAAATATCCATCTGCAGCTTTAAATTGTTTATTGCATATTTTATGAAATAATGGAAATGCTACAGTCTAATAAAAAAAAATCAAAAATTAATTATTCTTTAGACTATAAAATTCTAAGTGAGACATGACTGCAATTTGCTGCAAATATATAAAAATTGAAATGTAATTTTTTTTTCAATGAACACATGTATAATTAATTTTAATTATATTATACAATACTAATTCAGTTTCAATCATACACTAAAACATCAATTTGTTTTAATTACATTACACCAATTGAAAGATCTTTATCTGAACTACAGCCATCAAGAACTCTTAATTAACACAAGCAACTATAAGGCCATTTCTTTTTGCCCAACTCCCAAGAGATAAATTAAGATAACACTGCATCAGATCAGATCTAGAGATGCTCTTGCCAGTTAACTCCCGACAATGAACTCATTAATTCTCTCTAATTTGACATGCACATGCATTTCTGCTATCAAAATTCTCCTTGACCAGTGCTTGATAATTATGCCCATGGGACAAACTGAATTCCTATCAAATCATTAACATTTGTTACAGAATCTGCTGTAAAATATATGATGAAAAAATAAGTTTTTACTTCATTTCGCATTTTTTAATAAGGATACAACTATATTTTAACATTTTTTAGGATTATGAAATTTAAAATTTTAAAGACTGTTTTTTTTTTTTTAAAAATCACTTAAATTAAAGGTCACAGTGACCTTGAAATAGGTCGTGACACACCGTCTACCCAAGATGCATAAATTTTCCAAGTTTGATGATTGTAAGTCTAATAGTTTCCTAGTTATGAGCCAAACAAAATCACAAAAGAAAAAAGAAGAAATGCCTGTAAAATGCAGAAAAATCATCCAATCATGATGAAAATCCCAGGTGCACACCTTCATATGGTGAATAATAAGTGTATAAATTTTCAGACAAATCCATCCAATAGTTTCTGAGAAACGGTCCGGACAAAATCTTGTCTACAGACAGACGGACAGACAGACGGACATGGTGATTCCAATATACCCCCCTAAACTTCGTTTGCGGGGGTATAAATATGCTATCATCTTAATTACACAATTTCAGTTATGGGCAGGTGCATGGATAAATAGGAAGTTGACATCAGATTCATATAAAAATAAATCCCACCATATGGCATGCCTCAGCAAAGATTGTGCTAAAATTTCAAGCATCTGCAATGAGCAGTTGCTGAGAAAACTGCAACAAAAATTTGTTATGTATGGTTCGGACAGACACACAGATAAACAGAAACAAAAATGAATCCCACCATATGCAACCAAAAATTTGTTACAGACAGACAGACGGACACACAAGGGTAAGACAGTACACCACCTTCTCCTTCGGAGAAGAGCTTTAATGAAAACATACACTTTCAAAGAGTCCATTTACATGTACATGTAAAATAAAGAGCTTCAGAATTTTTTGCATAAGACTTCAAAATATCCAAAACTGATGACAATTTTCTTGAAATTATGCATGCATAAATTGTTGATTAAATTTTTAGTAGAGGATTAGATTACTGAAGTGAATTACCACATGTGGTTCTGTTGTAGCGGCAACCATTGCAGCGTTAAATGCTCTGTTTACAGTTACTTGACGTCTGTTGCCATCACCAGAGTTAATCTATAGATGACACAAATTCAACAAATAATCCTTAAAACATGCACAAATTAAGACAAAAGATACATTTAATGAATGGAAAAACTGGGGAAAAAAAAGGCTTTTTTGTCTCTGCATGGGCACTGAATAAATATTTTTTACTACCTATTTGTCCATGTTTTAAAGATAAAATATACATTAACCTAAGAAGAGTATACTTCTTCCACTGTTTCTTTGTCATTCTCTATCAATGTGATATCAAATTAAATGTGTTTCATATCTATGCCGACAAAATTACTTCCTTTCTTTTTTGCTTTCATTGGTGCAAAAAGGAAAGAAGCCATGGAAGCTCTAAGCAACATAATTATGAAATATCAACTTAACTTAATACATACATAAATATATCCTGTAAGCCCAATCCTACATGCATTGCATCTCTTGAATCAAAGCTTCTTGCCATAACTTATTAAACAGAATCTACACACATGAACTCTTTCAAAGACAACTGTTGTGTATTGAGTGGTGATTTCCATTACGTAAACAAACCTTTATTTCCTATGTAGCTTGTAACACCAGCTTTGACTGGTTATAAAGTTGGGTGTAAATTTCCGTGCACCCAACTTGAGCCGGGGGTAAATAAAATGTGACATTCCAATGCATACTTTTTCTATGATAAAAACCAACTAACATGACGTCACAATGCATTGTTGTACGTAGTTATCTTACTAGATCAATTGAGACACATTTGATTAGACTCTAATGTTTACAAAGAATTTTTATGGGTATATAGGAAATAAATTCGTTCTCCAGGTCCAGTCAAGGGTGTATGGGGATTTACCCCAGGTTGTATTCCATACACCCTTAAGCCACAGGGTGTATAGAATAAAACCAGGGGTATATCCTCGTACACACTTGATTGAATCTGGATAACTAATATTATTATCCTTCAGAATTATACAGTCAATCTGATTGGTTTAGAGCATGTCACGTGAGGTGAAACAATTGGTGATGTCTCCCTCATGCGCAGGGTGACAACTGTTGTCACCCTTCAGACTACAATGAATAGAGCAAGCGAGCATGATGAGTTACAAGTTTGTTGTCGCCCCTTGAATGAAAATATAGTGGTTTAAGCGAGATAACTCTTATTTATAATTATTCACACATAAAATTTGTTAATATGCAGGATCGGTAAACACTAAATTCTAACGATGACGTCAAAGTTGTCTGTTGACATATTAAGATATTTTGAAAGTATGGAATTGAATCAGAGCAGAGTAAGAGGATACAGAGGTTTGATTACTATTTTCTACTCTATCTTACTGATAATTTAGATTCTTCATGATAATAAAACTATTATGGACTGTTTAGAAGGGAGACATCACCAATTATCAGGTCTGAGTAGGGTTGTCATCCTCGGGCGCAAGCGATTTGCCTAGTATATGTATACACCTGTATATTAAGTGGTGCTTTATTTATAAATACTTGTATATTGAGTAATTGCCTAATTTATACATACCTGTATATTGAGTGGCGATTTGCCTAGTAATGGAGGCCTTCCTCTGTAAGGAGTACGATTGGCTTGCCCTAGGGTGGGTCTCTGTCCCCAGGGTGGGGGTTTTCCTTTGGGTGGGAGTCTTACAACTCCCCCCTGGGAGAAAGATTTAAATGGCTCAGCTCTTCTCATTGGTCTTCTGACTGCAGGCTACAGTGAAAGGGAAACAACTCCAACTATATGACTTTATAAGAATTAATTTTGATAAGAAAATGAGGTCAAGATCCATAGTAATGTAATACAGGGAACATATATTGTTGTACATTGTAACATTTCAATCCATAGGAATACCAATCAATTTTGTAAAAAATACTGATAAAGTTATTATTTAGCTAAACTTTCGTGCAAGTTCACAAACCTGATGTCATATTTGATGTTGCTAAAAGTAAATTGAGGTTAAAAAAAGAAGAGTCCTTATTCTCAGAAATTGAAAAATACTTCAGGGAGGGGGAAGCTAATAGGGAAGGGACATTTAATAAGAAGAAATCCAAGGCTTTGTTGAAGTCAGTTGGAAGTCCCAACAAATTTCTTTTGTGTCACTGCTTTACATTGAATACTGTATACAGGGAATTTTTCACCCCCCTTTTATTTTCGCCCCTTTTGCACTCTTCATAATTGGGCAAATTTAAAATGGGGCAAATTCAAAGAATACAGCATGATTTCTTAAACAGAACTGTGACTGGGAGAATTTAAAATGGGGCAAAATTGTTCGCAAGTGCAAAAGGGCGAAAATAACCCTGTATACAGTATCTGAAATCCCAAAATATTTTTTTTTATAAAACCCATCAAGTTCAGGTTTTGACTGTAACAATTAAAAAATATTTATTCATTCATTCTAAAAACTTCCTTAAAACATTATTATATCAGTGCAGAATACTACAACCTAATCAGATGTACCTTGAGTTTTTTGTTTTTCTTTGTACTTCTTTGTTTGGCCACCATAGATTGTATGTGTGCTGTCTCCTCGTTAGCGACAGCATGATAAACAATCTCTCCCTGCTTATTCCTACAATAAAACAAGATAAATTTAAACACCAAAGACAAGTGGCATCAAAACACAATATTGCCTATACATTTAAAAGGCACTTATGCCGAAAATTTTGCATTTATCAAATAGTCAGGGAAGTGGCAAAGCATGAATATGCATTTCCAGTAAAAATCCTATTTAGTCTGTAGGATAATTAGAAAAATAATCATTCCACGTTAAAACATTCAAACTGAAGTGTTTTTAATTTTCTGCTTTTACCACATGGTGCTCTTAACCTGCTAGTCCATTATATATACAGCATTAAAAACATTTCCTTACTTTCTGACTCTGACAACATCTGGTATACTGTTGATGAAATCATCCAAATTAGAAAACCCCAGCTTCTTAAAGGGCAGAGGTTCCTGTGTGATTTCACGGTAGTCTCCTTAAAAAGACAAAATTATAATCAGTGTTACTGACTGATTCTTCCTTCATGTTTACTGAACTCTGTGTGGTCAATGACTGGGTACATAATACATTGTAGACAAGACTTACTTTGTAATATGTGGGCGGGGACACCCTCTTTACAGCTCATAAGAACTGCTCTCAGCATGCTCTTGACCTCTTCTAATGCCATGGTCTAATGGTTTTCAGATTTTGAACCTAGAAAAAAAGATCACATATTACGGTTTCCTTACATATTATTTCTTCATGTTTATTAGGTTTTTTATAAACCAGAAGTCTCTGATGAGGCTGCATGTAGCTCTACTGGTCTGTATGTATAACAAAGGAAAAGTAGCACTTGGATTTGAAACTTTGCAACAGACAGCAATAAATAAAATTATGTATCTTAGTGCAGTTTACTTGTGTGCCAAGTTATATTAAAATCAGACCAAAATTGTAGGAGGAGTAGCGTTTTAAAGGAATTTCACAGAAATTTCTATTTTTAGTAACCATGGCAACACCGTTCATTGAAATCAAAAACCGATGCAATAATTTATGTATCTTAGTGTAGTCTCCTTGTATGCCAAGTTATATTGAAATCAGACCAAAACTTTAGGAGGAGTAGCATTTTAAAGGAGCATGGACATAGTTTCAACTGAATTTTTTTTTACCAATTTTAATTTTTACAATTCCTAACTAAGGCAATTCTAATGATCAGCAAAAATTTACAGGACAAAGAATTCTTCATAATGTAAACAATGCTCATGCCTTGTTTTTGTTAATCAATATAATATGTAGGTTAAACCATGGCAACACTGTACATCAAAATAAAAAACCAATACATTAATTTATGTATCTTAGTGTGGTCTACTTGTGTGCAAAGTTATATTGAAATCAGACCAAAACTGTAGGAGGAGTAGCATTTTGAAAAACTGTTTACAGACAGACGGACAGCTAGTTAGACAGATGGACAGATGACGGACACCTTGCTATCGCATAAGCTCTTCTGGTCTCTGACCAGTAGAGCTAATGCAAAATTGAAAAACATTCTGATAAATGAATTGATAACTTGATTCTAAAGTGAAAGTACATTGTTAAACACATTATGAAGGATTAGCCTCCAAAGTTACATGTCCTTTGGGCTTGTAAGTGTGCCATTTCCATATGCCCACTTCTAACTTTACAGCATCAGATTCCTAGGATTTGTAAAAGATTGTCAGATTCTGAGGACTTAAATTCAATAAATATGTAACATTAGAATAATTATATATATAACTCAGAATTTCTTTTTTTCTGATTTGTTTTCATTATTTAAATGGTTGCCAAATAACCTAATTCTACATTTTACTTTGCTGAAATCAATTCCAACAGAGACATATGACATGGAACAGGCCCCAAACCACAGCTAGAATAGCTGCAGAACTGTAGCTCTCTGAAAAAAAAATATGTTGACAGACCGGAACGCTACAGTGCCACCCATTGAAAAAACTGTATATTTATTGCGAACAAAAAATTTTTAGAAACAGATTATTGTGGAACTCTTCAGCATCGGTGGTTTAAATGAAAAGCACACAGCCATCATGCTGCTAGGAAAAATAAACAACTTTATAATTTGCTGGATTTAAATCTTTTAAAGGTAAGAAAGGAAAGTTTTATAGTGATAGAAACTTAAAGAGATGTTCATAGGAAAAAGTTGAAGCGGGCAGCTAATTCATTTCAGCCTGTTTTAATTGAAACGAGCGGTCGAAGTCGGGGCAAAAAACCCCGAATCACATTGTGTGGGAATGGACTGAGATGGGTAGTAGACGTCAGACCAAAATTTTAGTCTCTACCCATCTCCATGAGATTAGGGGAGTGTGAGAACCTATAGAGAGCGCACACAGTTTATATCTTGTAACTCATATAGCTGGATGTAGTTTGTAGCAGAATAAATATGTGTATATAACGAACCCTGTGTTAGGTTATTGTCCAACACAACACCAGTGGTTAGTAGATGTCTTTAAATATGTAATAAAGCAAATCTGCTCTATTTTGATACAGTTAATTGTAATGCAACATTTTTTTATGGGCTTACTACATGTATTTAAGCTGTAGCTGCAGAACTGTAGCTCTCCGAAAAATTTTAGTCTCTACCCATCTCGCTGAGATTAACACTCCCCAACTCCCATACTGCACCCATATCATATATCATGTATATCAATCAGCTTTCATTCATTCATTGCAGCCAGCGTGGGAATATTAATCTGTCTGCAGGCTATGTTTACACTACAACTAGGATATCGATTGCCTATAGTCAGGGCAGTTTATGTGCATCAAAACATTTAAAGAAAACAAAATTGTGGAAAATCTTGAAATTAAATGCAAAGACATATCTTATAGAGTAGCCCCTGTCCCGCTGTACTATTTCCTAATTTAAAACTTATTTTGCAGGAAAAATTAATCCACAAATCAACCAGAAATATGAAGTAGAAAGAGAGTGTCAAACTTTGAAACTTTTTCACGAGGAAATTCGAAATCTACAAAAGAAAGTGTTTTGTCAAGATTTTCTGCTATTACAGATATGAATTCTCACGTACCTGCAGCTCAATAATACATGTAGATCTCGCCTTGTAATAATTGGAACACTTTCTCCTTGTCTTTCAGTTTTTTTTTTTAATTAAATCGAAATCGAAACGGGAAAATTTTTTCTCTGAAATACAGTAAGTTGTACCAAGATTTGTCGTGACATGTGCCCTTCCGTTTTTAGACATTTGGCGCCAAAAGTTGATGAAGAAATGAATATCAGAAAAGAAAGAAAATAGTGTAAACAGGCGGGTCAGACATTTCTCCAAGGATGGTCCAAGTCACTCTACAAGACTTGGAAAATTTACAAGAAAATAATCAAAGTGCCCGCCCAAGCACGAAAAACAAAAACAAAAAAATTAATAATTCGGGGAGGGGAGGGGGGCTTTTCCATCGAAAATATAATATTAAGGTACTCCGATCCTCAATCAGGAAGGATAACTCTTTAATTTATCCAATTAAATTAATTATAATTTAATTCAAAAACTCCCAGAGTGAAGCTTGAAAATTAATCTTTTCATGTAACAATTTTCATTCTATACCTCTCAATGTGTTTCAAGGTTCTTTGAAGTTCTAAGAAACGTATAAAAAAAAAAGAAGAAATTTTTTACCCTATAAAAGTATCTTAGAATTACATATTTAATGAAATTGGGGTTCTTTCAATCTTACCATAGATACCAATGTTTATTAATATTAAATGAAATTAGAATTGATCTATGGTGTTTTGCAACGATAGGAAAAGCTTTATACACTATGCATTGTAAAATGATCGAAATAAACAGAAGAAACTAGAGTACCTTATAAGTATAAAAATTTCTTCAAAAGCTTGGATACCTATAAATCTTATTTCTAAAATATGTTTGTTAATCAAAGTTGAATTGGAAAATGCATAGTTGGTGATTTCATTCGCATTTCCTGAAAATTTAATTCATTGAGATTTACTTATTTTCCTTAAATATAATATGATTAATTTTAAAGACGAAGTTTGAAGAATAATCGTGGGTAAAAAAAAAAAACATGTCTTCGAGAATTCATAAATATTTTTAGTGAGCATTTTAATTAGTCAATGCCTGATTTTCAGAACCCAAGGATAGGAGTACCTTAATACTTTCCCGTGGAAAGATTTTTCTGCATTGTTAAAAAAAAGTTTGGCGTGCCCTTTCAATGAACATTTGCAACACTGAAAGATTACGGTTGGAAAAGTGGCAGTCCCCCCCCCCCCCTTTTCCCCGACATTAAATGCCTGCATGGACGATGTAGCCAATTTCTTTAATTATTTGATTTTTGCAATATACTTTTATACGACCAAGCTGTATGTAAATGTAGCATTTTCCTTGTCTTCGTTGTTAATTTAGTGTAGAACATTTCTTAAAAAGGTCATCCGGCTTTGCTTTTCTTATTTATTTACAGTACACATGAAAACATAAGGAGTAGGCATCCCCTGTGGACTGGTCACATCAGCCGTGATCCCTCTATATTTACATCCACTTAATATGTTCTCCTTTATTTCTTAAGAAAACCCATTGCGTTAATCAGTGCATGAACTACACCAGGCCCACCTGTACAGATTTCTTGATCAGTGGCTGTTCCATCAATAAAACGTACAAAGACGTCCGCATCATTAATACAATAATTAATCTTTTTAATCCTACTTTAAATGATTATTTAATAACAGATATAAATATAAACAATAAGATGTCTTTCTTTGGTTGTTAGTACGGGAATGAATGTCGCAGCAATTGCAGAAAAAATTTACATAAAATTTTTACGAAAAAATTTATATGTATTTTTTCTGCAACAGCTGCGACATTCATTCCCGTACTAACAACCAAAGAAAGCATTTTGTTTAAATATACTGATTATGTAGACGGAAAATTACGTAGTCAAATTTAGTAAAAACAAAGGTAACGATTGGTATGAAACAAGTCAGGCAAAATACGACTCAAAAGAATGTACGAAATGGAGACTTTAAGATTTGTGAAATTCCTGCAATATAAGTTTATCTGTTAATTGTCTGTCTCGGTTAAAATGTTGAGCGTTTTTATCGTTTTTGACCTTGACTTTGGAGTTTGACCTTTTTAAATAACTTTAACCTTTCCACTTTTGAACACTTGAGGCTAGGGCTTATATATTTAGCAAGTGTATTTCTTAGAACAAAGTCTTCCCCTGCATACCGCTAATTTTAACCAATCTAAAACCCTTTGACAATGATCTTGGAGTTTGAATCACTTTTAGAAAACTTTTAACTTTGACTTCATAAAAAAAAAAAAACAATTAATATCCCTTGATCTTGGAGTTTGACTTGCATTTCAAAACCATTAACCTTCGCCATAAGACAACTCATACGGAGGCATCAGTGTTTCACAAACACACCTTATTATGCCCCTGTATACGAAGTTTCGGGGGTACTGTTATATAGTTTTTGCCCTGTCCGTCCGTCTGTCTGTTTGTCTGCTTGTCTGATTGTCCGCAAAAACTTTAACCTTGCCCATATCTTTTGACTGGGTGGGACTACTAGTATGACTTTCATATTTCACAGGTGTATTCCTTAAGACAAAACCTTTCTTTAACTATCACCAAATTTGACCTCTTGACCTTGTAGTTTGAAACACTTTTACACCAAAATTCCAAAATGTTTACTTTGGCCATAACTTTTGAATGGTTGATCCTAGAACTTTCATACAACACATATGTATTCTTTGTGACAAGGCCTTCCATTGGATACCAACAACTTGACCTTTTGACCTTGACCTTGGAGATTGATCTACTTTTAAAAAACTTTAACCTTGGTAATAACTATTGAACGGTAATGGCTAGGGCTTTAATACTTCACATAAAACTTAGTATTTCTTGTGACAATATCTTTCACTGGGTACCAAAAACTTTGACCCCTTGACCTTGGAGATTGACCTACTTTTACAAAAAAGATTAACCTTGGCAATAACATTTGAACAGTTAGTGCTAGGACTTTTATACTTCACATATGTTTTTTTTGTGACAAGACCTTCCATTGGGTACCCACAACTTTGACCTTTTGATCTTGACCTTGGAGGTTGACCTACTTTTAAAAAACTTTAACCTCGATCATAACTTTTGAAAGTTAAGGGCTAGGGTTTTCATACTTCACATAAGTAATTCTTGTGCAAAAGTTAACAAAATCTTTAACCCTTTTACATTGACCTTGGAGATTGATGTACTTAAAAAAACTTTAACCTTGGTAATAACTTTTGAACGGTTAGGGCTAGGGCTTTCATATTTCCCAAATGTAATCTTTGTGACAATGCCTTTCTCTAGAAGCCAACAACCTTGACCCAGGAGTTTGAACTACCTTTTGAAAAACGTTAACCTTGGCCATAGATTTTTAACAGGTGGTGCCAGGACTTTCATATTTCACATTTGTATTTCTTGTGAGAAGGCCTTTCTTAGGGTATCAACATCTTTGGTTTGCACATTTGAGAAAATTTAACCTTCGCTATGTTGCCACACGGGGGAATCGGTGTTTCACAAACACATCTTTTAGAATCTATATCTTGGTTTCAAATGTTGCAATTATATAGCATCTTAAGAAAGTTTAGAAATTGAAAACTTTTCTTTGATGTTCAAAATCTTATTCTGCAATTTTCCAAACGAATCTTTACCTTTTTTTCACTATATAATACCTTTTTATTATGAAAATTTAAAATCTATTTATATGCGGGTAAAAAGTACATTTAAATACAGTACTCCACAAGATATTAACCTCGGTAGTGGCCAGAGTTAACCACAGGTGACCTCTACACTGTGGACAGATCCTGACTATACGACACTGCATATGTTCCAAGTTATCTAGTGAATTTCCAATAAATCGACTGGAAGTCGTGCACAGACGTGCTTCCGTAAACCCCGAACAGCTGACGATGAGCGACTTAGTGCGGACGGATCTGGCGGAGTATGCTCCGGCATCAAACCTCCTGTTTAATGAACACATCCGGGACTTGATCCAGTCTGGACGGAACATTTACCACTTCGCGTTCGGACAGTCCCCATTCCCCGTGGTAGAATCGGCTGTCCGGGCCCTGAAGGATCACGCCGGGGAGAACGCCTACCTCCCAGTAGCAGGTAGGCCTGCCGAGAATATTGATCACGGCTCAAAGAACTGAACTGTAGGGGAATTAGTTTATTATTCTATTTCTCTGAAAAGTGGCAGTAATTTGCAAGGCTCCGGCGAAAACAGTTGCCATAATATTTTCACATACAGTTTCATTGTCGACATTTTTGTAATATTCCCCTAATGCATTTGTGCAAAATCTTTGCTTCCACTGTAAAAAATGATTAAACAGTTTAGAGGGGAGTTAACCTTCTTTTAATTATATTGTGAAATTCCTTCTTTTTCCCCATGTTTTATGCTGATATAGACCTTGACTTTGGCAGTAAGTTTAAATAAATACGCCACTTCTACGATAAAAATAAATCGGTGTGGTCAACAGCTTATCGGTGTATGTCCTTACATTACTCCAGAAATAAATCCGGTATCTCTCGAACTTATAGTATGCCTATGTAAAATAACCAAGGTTGCCGCGCATTTTTTTTTCCGAAGTGCAAGCTGCCAAAATTGGGAAGGGGCGCTTAATTAGAACAAAAATGTATATTTATTGTTAAGATGTTAATCCAGCTGGAATAGGCATCCTTATATATCCACAAGGATTTAATGACACACACACACACAGAGAGAGAGAGAGAGAATTTTAACGAATAACATTTAAAAAATCGTTCGGTGATCACCTGTGGAGTGGAAAATTTTATAAAATGTGCAGAACATATCAGACTCTGTTGCGTAGAACACGTCTTTTGTATTTACTTATGATAATATTTCCTGCTGAATATAGCGTACGTGTTACCTGATCCAAGTTGGTAACCATTTAAGGTCAGATGACACCTTCCTCAAATACATATTTTGTAAATCTTGGTTTTATATTAAACATTATGCATAATTGTCATTCTCTTGTGAATTCTACATTGTTTTTAAAATGTTTTTAAATATAAGTTCACATAAAATTGTGAAATAGGCCATTCAGAAGATTACCCATAAGGGTTATATAAGAAATATCCCCCTATGGTATCTTGTCCAAATGCCTGGTAAGGTACCCCAATTTTTTGTGAGGAATCTAGTTTAATTACCTAGAATTCAATGACAAATTCTCAGGTAAAATTATATATTTTTGAGGAACGTGTCTTCTGACCTTAAAGCAACACGTTTGAGTGTGAATGTCGAGAAGCTAGAAATCCCCCCCTTTTTTTTTCCATTGGGATTGGATATGGCAACTTTTTTTTTTTATTTACGTGTAACAGCATGAAAATAAGTTAAATAGCATTGAACATCTCTTTTCATTATGAAAGCAAAGCTTGTGAGTAGCTCATAAATCAGATTACAAAATTAGCCATTCATTTCATCTTGAACTCTGCCGACAGTACATTTGAGATATAATTATACGCGTTGAGAATTGACAAGCATTTTATGTACATTTACACTTTTTAACAATGTCAAGGGGCTACCTCTCCAGGACATCACATCCCAGTGTCCAAAAAACCTTCAGGCTGCATATCCTGTGAGGAATTACCAAGTACGCAGGCCCTTCTAAGTCGATCCCGGGTCTACTATACCTATTGGGTTATTCTTACAAGATTTGAATTCTTTGATTTTTAATGGGGCTACAGGGAAGTAGGGGGTCGGAGAGAGGGGTGGGGTTCGAGGTCCCTGTTCCATGCGTTAAAATTGTGTATTTACATATCTTTGATTTGTCTTGATTGTTGATTGATTAATTATGTTTCACCGAAGCGAGTCTTATTTTTATTTCTTTAGGACTTAAACAACTTCGTCAAGCAATATGCGACTTCCACCAGAAATATGACGGGTTCAATGAGGTGGACCCTGACGATATTATCGTGGGCCCCGGGAGTAAGGAGCTCATCTACCTCGTTATGCATGTATTCAACGGAGGTAAAAAAAATATATCGTATTTTCCATAAATCTTGGAATCATGTATATATTTGCTTTAATATTTCCAACATCACCGTGAGTATGATAGATTGCAAAAAAAGTAAAATCATTATTCATTTAATCTTCCTTTCCAGATGTTATAGTGGTATCGCCCTCGTGGACAACGTATAAACCACAGGCCCGCTTAGCTCACCACACACCATTCGTCATGGAAACAGATCTGGATAGCGCCTGGAAATTAACGCCAAAACTTATCAATGAGGTGTTTAATTTTAAAATTAACTAGATACCTTCCTTTTTTTGTATGCAGGTCTATTGGAAAGTTTCTTTTAGCTCAAAAACATCAATTTCTTTGCTTTGAAATTTTCACAGATTTACGCCTAATGAATAATTTTCTCGAGCAATTTAAAAAGTTCTTCACAATCAAAACAGCAGCATGCTATAGTATCTAAATATGTGCACAACCACATGTTTTACGAAACGACTTTGTGCGTCTATACTAGCATATATATATTACTGCATCCAATATCACTGTCGTGATCCCGTGCCGGATTGGACAAAACAAGATGGCGGCGGGAACAAATCGAAAAAGGTAGGTACCTGAGATTTCGGTAAATATTCCCCGTTAACCGTCAGATATGCTTGTTCTGAAGATACTGTCGAATTTCTAGTAAAATGCTTATTAGTGTGTTTAATTGCTACTTTTCCTATCGTCTCTTAAACTTGAACATTTAACGACTGAAGACTGCAGAATTTCTCCGATTGAGTTTGAAGCGGCATGGAGTTGTTTTTTCTTCGATTTTGACAGTTTTATGCATCCAGCAGCAGGAGAGTGGCTAACAAATGATACTTTGGAGTAATTCTGACCTGGTGTTATATGTTTATTTGTTATAACCCATTTTATTACAAAAATATTTCGATTTAAAAATGTTGACATGTGCTGGATTGGAATCGGTTAATTTTAATGGAAATTGTGCCGGATTAGACTGCATTTTTGGTGCCGGATTGGATGATGTTCATTATGGTCATTTGTGTAATAACTTTTTTCTCTTTTATTTTTTAAGCTATGGATGCATAGTTCAATGAAATACCAGGAGGAATTTAATAAAGCGTGTATAGGCATCTGCACTCAGGAGTTTTGTAGAGATGACACTTTACAAGCACATAAGAATTGACCATGAAGCAGCAGAGAGGTATCGATGCATTATCTGCTACAGGTGGAAGTAAAACCTACGACGGTACATGTACATCAAAAACAGGCATAGAGAAATTCAGAAAGTCTGAGGAACAGACACTGACCAAAATATTTTTAGGATCTTAGATAGGTATATCTGTGATTATTTCAAATTCAAAACAATTGTACTGATTTCTCTCATTCATATTGTTTCAAAGATTTTTTATATTATTTTTCTTTCACGCATTTTACTTTTTTTGTTTGTTATCGTAGACACAAAAAATGTTCATGACTGTTATTTTATTAAATTTTAACAAAAAATGTCCGAAATTTTCTTCGTCTTTTTTGAATATCTCTTCCCCGTAGTAGATAAAGGAATGCCTTTGTCACCATTGACATTTTTTTCTAGCAAGTTACTATTTTGCTAAAATTTATTGTAAACAATTTTACGTTAAGTTCATTTAATTTGCCGTATAACAGAAGAAACATTTTGATTTTGTCTTCTGAAATACAACGAAATCTGAAATTCTATTCTACTCGATCATGTGCATGGTTTTGTACAGTCCATCCACGAAGCATCGTTTTTGAAGGGAGGCAGCCAGAGAAATTTCCGCTGCATTTCATTTCCGGAAGTATGCATAACATTTCCGACATTTTTTTTATTTCATTTCCGACATTTTTTGTTTTCATTTCCGACATATTTTTTTTTCATTTCCGGAATTTACCTGTGCGGTGATTCAATATTTTCTATGTAAAAGGAAATGGAATTTTAAAGTATTTATGCCAAAATATTAATAAAAAATAATAATAGAAAAAAAAAATCTCTACATATATGCATACATATAGCACTAAGTCTAGATAAAAGAGTTGAATGAGCATAAAACTTTTTCACCAAATGTAATGTGCACTAAATTAAATGTCAGTGACAGCACCATACTTATGTCCAAGTCACTGATAAATTTACAAAATTGGATTTTAATGATTTATTCCTTTAATTTTTTTTTATAGGTAAAGTTATATAATTTGTTACTATAGGTACTACTTATGCGTTTGAAAAATGTCGGAAATGAAAACAAACAAATGTCGGAAATGAAAACTAAAAAATGTCGGAAATGAAAAGTTGATAATTGCCAAAAATTCCGGAAATGAAATGCAGCCGAAATTTCAATTTCAAAGCCAACTTCTTTCAGTAACAATTTTTTATACTACATTTACCTTAAATCACAAAAAGTTGGGGGCCATCCAGCCCTTCAATGAACATTTACTATAGCATATTAAGTAATGTTGTTTCAGACTTATTAATTTCAACTTAATTTTAATTCATCAAAAATTAAATTAATTGCAGTACTTAAAATGTAATATTTTACACATTAACAACGATACATTTGAAGTTAAATCACATCGATATCGGGATCAAGCGTTAAACTGTAATCTGAAATCAAAAATTAAAATAGGCCTAACTTCGAAAATAAAGAATACATACACATTTTATTTAAATGATATGTCTTTTATGTTAAACTAATTTAGAAAAACAGAAAAAGCAGTTTATTTGCATTAAATTATAAAATTTTACTAGTGTACCCTAAAGCACTCTTTTGTACTAGCCTACGTAGGTACTCTTTTAAGTAGGATCGAATTTCGCCAATGGCAAACTCTCGGGCCTTTCCTAATAGAAGTCTAAAAATAACCTCGAATGTGCATGCACTACATAGACGCCATGACAACCCCCCTTTTCACAAACTTTGAAATAAATGTTGGAAGACCTCTTATCTGTGGAGTAGGAAGTTTAACTTTATTGACTGCAATGATATGACCTAAAATATACAAGAGAAGGGACTTCTAAACCCTTCAATCCTATATTCAAATAAACAGGAAATGTATAAATTTTTAACACCCGTTGATGATGATACATTCGAGGCTGTTTTTCTGTCCTCTGACGGAAAGGCCCTACTAAGTAACATGATGCAATTTCGAATTTCGCCTCCTCATGCACATGAAATTCTCGTATGCTTAAGGGTTTTGCGGACGATTCCTCTGGCTTATTAACGGTTCCTCCTTTCCTTTTTTCTGGCCCCACGAGCTCTTTGAGGTTTACCAAAACAGTGGTCTCTGTAAAAGAAATATGGGTACAATAAAATTTGAGATTAAAAGAAACAGGAAAAAAAAAGATTTTTAATCGAAGGGGGGGGGGGGGGCATAACTGATAACAATCTTACTTCGGTAAGATAAGCTATATTATTTAAATTATATTTCATTAAACGGTGCATCCATATCTTAAAAATTAAAGAGAAAAAAGGTTATTACACAAATGACCATAATGAACATCATCCAATCCGGCACCAAAAATGCAGTCTAATCCGGCACAATTTCCATTAAAATTAACCGATTCCAATCCAGCACATGTCAACATTTTTAAATCGAAATATTTTTGTAATAAAATGGGTTATAACAAATAAACATATAACATCAGGTCAGAATTACTCCAAAGTATCATTTGTTAGCCACTCTCCTGCTGCTGGATGCATAAAACTGTCAAAATCGAAGAAAAAAACAACTCCATGCCGCTTCAAACTCAATCGGAGAAATTCTGCAGTCTTCAGTCGTTAAATGTTCAAGTTTAAGAGACGATAGGAAAAGTAGCAATTAAACACACTAATGAGCATTTTACTAGGAATTCGACAGTATCTTGGAATCAAGCATATCTGACGGTTAACGGGGGATATTTACCGAAATCTCAGGTACCTACCTTGTTCGATTTGTTCCCGCCGCCATCTTGTTTTGTCCAATCCGGCACGGGATCACGACAGTGAATATACTTACAGTTTGTGGAAAAGAATAAGATGAAGAAAAACCGTCTTCTTATCCTAAATAACCCGGATAATCCAAGTAAGACAATTTTGAAATCTTTCTTTAGAGGCAAATATAACATATTTTAAAATATTGTAAATTTATAGAGGGTACGTTCAAATACAAAAAAGGGAGGGGGTTAAAACTTGCAAATCGTTGTTTTGTATTAGCTACCTTGAGCTGTTGTATGGCTAGATATACATGTACATTGTAGTTTTAGTAACTATAAACAGATATATATGATTTCTATGAAATGCCGAAAAAAATACAAAACAAATGATTATCTCGGTGATGTGAATTAGTTCGTCTCACAGGTATTCTGTTTGAATAAATGGAATTCGAAACTGCCTTATAAATTTTTATAGGTTGTACATATTATTTGCATAGTGGTTAATGTTTTGTAACGCTCTACAAATAACGTTCATATTTTGTTTCTCTAACATATATTTTATATTCCTCGGAAGATTTAAATTTTTTATATGAAATTGTAAACGCGATTTGTGTGATAAAACATCTATATAAGAATCTTAATTTAATGCATGGATAATACCCAGTAATATTGCGATATTTTTGATTAACTTTTAATAAGGAGTTTAAGGCACTCCCGCAGGTAACTGTTACCGCGATAAGGCCATTCCAAGTTTTTTTTTTCTTCTATGTTTAGCGTCCATCTATCTTACAAAATCCTACCTTCCTATTCGCAAAAAAACACAGAGACCAAAAAAAACATACAGACACACACCCTCTCTCTCTCTCACACACTCACACACACACACACACACACACCCTCACACACACACACACCCTCACACACACACACAAAGAGACTTTTTAAAGTAACGTCAAGAAATTATTTTTTCTCCTTTCTAGGTCTATACTTTAGCAAAGTCAATGTACTAAATGCTCAAAATATAGCAAATATGAAAACTTGTAGACAGCTTATTACAGGAAATGATAGAATTCAAAGATTTTGACCAGAAAAATCAATATCGGGTTTCCTTATTTTGTTTGTTTGTTTGTTTTTTTTTTTACTGATATTGGGTGTCAAAAACCAAGACGTACGCGGACACTAAACATAGAAGAAACTTGTCCAGAATGGCCTAACTGCTTTAAAAGAAAAAACTCCTTCGACGTGAGGAAAAAAAAATCTCCAGCAGTAAGGAAGACTCGATGAGAACTAAAAAGAAATATTTCAGTCTTGTACAACAAAATTATTGCATATTTAATTATGTTTACATAGTATTTTTAGTAATTTAAAATGTACAAAATCATATATGAAATGAGTGATATAAAAATATCTTGAATATTATACATTACATTTTATTTTGCCAACCACGAAATCTGTAGGCAGGGAAACAGTTTTGCTCAGTACTATTCAGTTTTCGTGATATTGTGAATTAAACTAAGTTCCCTTTCAGCCGGTACAAGTTATTCTGAAAAAGAGCTACAAGATCTCAGGTAAAACGTTCCCCGTAATAAAAAAATAGCATTTATTAAAAAAAAAAAAAAAAGGTTCTTTTCTACATTCAAAATGCAACCGTTTATCAAGTTTACTTATAAAAGACTGAGAAGATTTTTTTTCATACGTACAAATTGTGTATATATCTTACTGACAAAGAATTAATTTGTTATGATAGTCAAACATGGTTTTGATATATGTTTTTGATTTTCAGTGGTGTACTTAGAAAACACAACATCATTGTTCTATCAGACGAAATTTACTCTCGGATACGATATGACCAGAAGCACGTCTCTCTTGCAAAAGTAAGAGAAAATCTTCATAAGATTATAGTGACATATAATTTCACCCCTTTAGCAAGGGAAAATATGTACATGTAATTTGTTTCCTTAAGTTTAAATTCACCGCATTGTCAAATAGACATACCAATGTACATGTACTAAGTATTAAATTAGAATATATTTATTGTTTGTATCTTTTTCGTTTTCCAAAATTATATAATTTTGTATTTTGGTGTTTTTTTTACTTTGATTTTAAATAAACTTTTTTTTTTGGGGGGGGGGGGGGGGGGTTATGAGTATAAGGAAAAATATGCAGATTAGCCTTTTACTATTTACAATACTCTTTATAAGTTGTAATTAAGCTAAATACAACTGTATGCACATAAAAAAAACTGCCAAAAGTACGAGTTTTTTGGTAGTTTCTTTTATGTGCAAATATTAACTCAAGTCCTTCCCTTAAAACTTTTAATCCTGATTAGAGTATTGCTACAGAATTACAGAATACTGAGTTTATAAGTACCTCATATTCAAAATACATATCTATCATTTAGTTTTACCCAGAAGGGACCATCATTAGTACTGGGTTATCCAAATGGGCGAGTGCAGGAGGATGGAGGGTAAGAAAACAGTTAATACAATAGTGTCATAAAATTATTATCACATTAAAAGCAAGTAAGCTATACACAATGATGCTTTGTTTGTAGCTGGGCTACCACATGTATCCTAAACAACTGTCAGATCTGAGGAAAGCTGTGAGGAGTGCTGCTAGCCACACCTACACTTCAGCCCCCTCCCCAGTACAATACGCAGCCACAGAGGTATATGTCAAACTTACAAATAAACCCCTCCCCAATACAGTTCAAAATCGCAAAGCTAAGGCACACTAATATACCATCATCCCCCTTTCATATGGCAGCTACAGAGGTAAGCCCCCCCCCCCCAGTCACTACTGTAAGTCGCACCTGTACATCAGTCACTTTGGCCAAAAAGGTCAGTTACAACCATAGACCAGGCCTGCTCTTGAGTTCAGTATATATTCTTTGAGGTAAACACTAAATGGGGATAATTTAGGACTGAAGCTGAACCAGTGATATGTAAAATGTGCCTGTACTTTAGATGTTCCAGAACCTGGACCTTTGTGACGACTACATCAAGCACTGCTCTCGGATACTGGATGCTGTGGGCTCTTACTGCTACTGGTATGGTACTCTTCTTCATCAGTCTGAATACTGAAAGGAGTTTGTTTTAAAAAAATATATGTACTTAAAGTTGTTCAATTAAATATCTCAAGAGATGATTCGAGATATTCTTCCACCTTCATCTATATCATAACAGGGAACTTACGTCAGTAGGAGTCAAGGCCGTAAAACCTACTGCTGGGTACTACATATTCCCTGACTTTGAGGTCATCAAGGAAAATCTCAGAAGAAGGGGTTATAAAACCTGTGAGGAGATGTGTGCTGTCATGCTGGATGAATGTGGTGTAGCAGTAAGTAAAATTTACATCAGTAAATGTGGTGTAGCCGTAAGTAAAATTTACATCAGTAAATGTGGTGTAGCAGTAAGTATTGTTTACATCAGTAAATGTGGTGTAGCAGTAAGTATTGTTTACAGCAGTAAATGTGGTGTAGCAGTTGTATACAGCAGTAAATGTGGTGTATTGTTTCACAATCCTTTAGTGAGACCATCTTAACACAAATTATCTATGATTACTCCTGTTTGTAGGTAATGGCTGGTGGTCCAGCCTTCCTGAGACCAGTGGATGAGCTGACCACTCGTCTGTGTTACGTTCCGTTTGACGGAGGTAAAGCGCTGACCTACAGTCGTGACTTAGGACTCGAGACAGACTTACCAGAAAACTTTGTCAAAGACTACTGCACTCCAGTGTACAATGGTATCCAGGTAAACTAATCTTAAAATGTACAGGCAGTTTAACTTCAGGTGTGTAATATTAAATATATGTCCACAAAGAGTCAGAGATGTAGTATTTTCTACACTTTAATTAAGGGTATTCACATATATTTCAGGCTCTGAAAAACTGGGTATTGGACCAGAAGAAATACTAAAGGCTACTGATGATGGAGAGACTACTTATAATTACAATCCTACAAGTGTTGTGTTGTATTGTGAATATTGAAGACATCCAGAAGTTGGGAGATGAAGATTCAGAGATAAATCTTCATATATCTTTTATCTAGAATGTACATAAACTTAGTTCTTTTTAATGAAGCATTTATTCTATTTTTCCATGAAACTCTTGTAAATGAAGATTGTACACTTTCATAAAACATTAAAAATCATATAGTTGAACTTTGGTGTCTCAAACATCGATATCTCGAATACTATGGATATGTTGAAGTGATTTAGAAGTCTCAAACACTTATTCTTTCAGTATTTTACCATCAAGATCTCAAATAATCAGATATCTCAAAATTTTTTCTCAATCCCATCGAGTTCAAGATAACAAGATTTGACTGTATATGTTTGTCAATAAAAAGAGAAAAAAAAACCCTGAATGCTTTTAAGTTTATTTTCATCTTACATCCACTCTTCCTCTGCCACATACAAGGAAAATAATATTAAATGAATTAAATAAATAGGATACTGGTGTGAGCATGAACATCACTGACATTAAAGCACTAACCCTTTTCCAAAAGGTAAGTCAAACATAGTAATAGAAAATCGATAGTCATTTATTTTACCAAAATATCACAAAAAACATATAACCAATCAATAACAAATTTCAAATGTAATGATATCAGACAATACTATTGGAAACTACAATATGTAAGAAATTTGATTATGCTGGAAATTACTACATGTACAATTTAAATCAATTTATGTCCTTTTGTTTCTTTTTTCACTTCATTTATGGTTCAATCATAGTTTTGGAGACAAGAATGAAAATCTAAACACACCATACTTGTATGTTAACGTCTCCTATATGTAACCCAAATGTAATACATGTAGGTTATAAATAGATTCATGACATAAGACTAGTAAGTGTAATATCCAAAATATTCTGAGACACATATACTTATGTACCCAGAACTTAGCCACTGCAATTTTTAAAAAAATTTTTCTAAATTTATGTTACTTGTACATATACATGTATATGCTGCAACATTCATTAAATGTCAAACAAGAAGGAAAAATTGGATGAAAAATATAAATGTATTCAACTCTTAAATGCTGTGAGAGAGAGAGAGAGAAAACAGACATCCATACATTTTTGGAACAAATGAATGTAGTAAATATTTTTTTTTTACTTATCTCTTTATCAATAAAACAAAATGGAAACTGGAATCATAAAGAGAGTAAGAAATGAAATGTATAATTCACATCAGCTGACAGGGTTGACTTTTACACATTGAGGTGAAGTATTGATTATCACATATGACTTATGGCTAGCAAGAAAATACAGTATAACCACACATTTTTCATCTTCAATTGTTTACATGAATGGGGAGATGAGGTGTTCTGATGGCTGAGTAGGGATAAACAAAATGAACTTAACTCATATTTTCCAACAGAAATGAAAAACTGATTTGTAGAATCTGTATTCCCAGCAAAGCCAGCTTTTAAATAAAATAAGATTCATAGCCCTGATGTAAACATTTCACTCAATGGAAAATTATTCTTCACCATGCAAGTCAAATGAACTGGAAAAAAAATAATCCCTTAATAAACTGATGAGAAATTTAAGGAAAGTTTTTAATGAAAGAATGTCTAGTCATTTGTTTGTCCAGACGAGCACCATCCATTGCCAAGAGACAAACACAGTTAACAGACAATACTGGGCAGGTTAAGAGGTGGCAAGTCGGTCTATAACTTTCCTATACATTTCCACGTTTTCCTGAAATGTTGTCTCTAAATACTGGTGTCTCTGCTCTTCGGTGATGGAGCTTAAAGTGGCCGTAAACTCGTCTGGACGCAAAACATTCTTCAGCTTATCAAAATCACGACCATTTTTCTGGAGTAAAAAAAGTATCGATCTTTATTGAATAACTTGTCTTACTTTATAAATTACAAATACAAAACATGTGCATCAATCACATCAAAGTTTCTAAAATTTTAGAATTATAAGTATTAATTTTACATTTCATGACGAGTTGATGGCAAATAATTTCATTTCTTTTGTAGTATTTCAAGCTTGAATTTTTATTGTCTCTAAAAAACAAATATCATTGGTTTCCTAGCAAGTACATTTCTAGAAAATTTCACCCTAAAATGATCAGAAAACAATTATTCAGCTTGGTATTTCTCTCTAAAATTTCCTTGGGCTTTGTTCCAATTTGACCTGGCATGCTTGTGATTATTATCTCCCCTTTGACTATTAATATGGAATGTCCCATAGGATACATACCTTGTGATGAGAGGTCATACCATTTTAAAATTGATGAGAGGACATAAATAAATGATTAGCTCAAGTGCCCCCCCCCTTTATGAAGAAAGGACAAATCAGGGCTGCATTCAAGATTGTAATGACTAACCTAGTAGCTACATTGTTGATAGCTATCTCTATTAAACAGACAGCTCGCCTAGCCACTAAGTGATTTTGAATAAAATTTATCATGAAAAACTTATTTTTGTAACAAAAGAGTTTATTTCAAGCAAAGATATCCATGTAAATTTATGTGCAGGCTAAATAGCAGCAATACTGTTCATTTATCCTCCCTGCCTTAGATATGGATATGACTTTAAATGGTGAGAGGACCTTCTTGTAAATGATTACACGCCTTCCACAGGATTTGCCTTTTATTAGATAAGAGGACATACCTGGAATGGTGCATTTAGCCTCCTTTTCATGTCGAGTCTGTATGCTTTGTACTGTTCTTTGTTACTTGTGTCTGTAGCCTTCAACCTCAGAATCTCATACACTCTCCTGGTTTGTCTCTACAATTCACATGAGATACTTAATACATTCTAAAAGAGAAGAGGCTGATTTTTCCACTCACCAAAACTCTAACTTTTCATGCAAGAATAGAATGACTTCCTTAAAAAGCTAAATTTTTTAAATGTATTTTTTTCATTATCAAATGATTTAAATTTTAAGTTAAACTGCAATTTTAAATGTTAAAAGTACATATATGATTATAATTTAAATTCTCATTTAATAATCAGAAAATAGTGATGCACTGAAAAATGGGATAAAATCTGAACAAAACAAAAACCTTGTTGAGCTTGAATTTTTCTCTGGCTTCCCTCTGCATTTCCTCAGAGAAGCCTTTCAAGAGTTTCTCAGGTTGGAAAGACGCAAGGCTTTGGCAGTTCTTAACATCCACAAAGTCTCTGACTCTCTGGAAATTTTCTGAGGGATCTTCAACTGTGTTATGAAAACGAATAAATGGGTAAAAATATTACATTTAATTACATTGAAGATTTAAAACCTGCTTATCTTAGTCATTCAACCAGAAGTCTCTGTCGAGACTGAAGCTCTACTGGTTTGTTCTTATAGCAAAGGAAGAGAAAAGTAGGCAGTTGGAAATTGAAACTTTTCAACAGCAATAAATAGAATAATGATTCTTGATTAAGTCTCTTTATGTTCTTAATGCAGTCTACTTGCATGCCACATTTATATTATAATCAGACTAAAATTGTATTTGGAGTAGCATTTTGAAAGAATTTCACAGAAATTTCTATTTTTAGTAACCACGGCAACACCGTTCATCGAAATCAAAAACCGATATACAGAATTATGTATCTTATTGTAGTCTACTTGTGTGCCAAGTTATATTGAAATCAGACTAAAACTGTAGAAGGAGTAGCATTTTGAAAGAATTTCACAGAAATTTCTATTTTTAGTAACCACGGCAACACCGTTCATCGAAACCAAAAACTGATATACAGAATTATGTATCTTATTGTAGTCTACTTGTGTGCCAAGTTATATTGAAATCAGACTAAAACTGTCGAAGGAGTAGCATTTTGAAAGAATTTCACAGAAATTTCTATTTTTAGTAACCACGGTGACACCGTTCATCGAAATCAAAAACCGATAAAGAGAATTGTGTATCTTAGTGTAGTCTACTTGTGTGCCAAGTTATATTGAAATCAGAGTAAAACTGTAGGAGGAGTAGCATTTTGAAAGAATCTCACAGAAATTTCTATTTTTAGTAACCACGGCAACACCGTTCATCGAAATCAAAATCCGATATAGAGAATTATGTATCTTAGTGTAGTCTACTTGTGTGCCAAGTTATATTGAAATCAGACCAAAACTGTAGGAGGAGTAGCATTTTGAAAAATTGTTTACAGACAGACAGACGGACGGACGACGGACGCATTACTATCGCATAAGCTCTTCTGGTCTCTGACCAGTAGAGCTAAAAAGTGCCACGCCACAGCATGATACGCCCGTCAAAAAATTACAATTATCTTTAACAATTAAAAGTGCAAGAAAATCATGTCAACCTTGATTTTAGATTTCCATGATTTTTCAACTCCTTAAAAAATTTGTTTATCCATCTCCTGTGGTGTAGGCATTAATTATAACATATATTGCATCATTCATAGATTTCTATACTGGTTGTGTTAGACCTTGCCAAAATGCATATCATATTAAACAAAATCAAATTAGTCTTAACAACTTAATCTATACCTAATTAATTTTGAAAATAAAAGGCTGGCCATCAAATATAAAATGACCAACAGTTCTTCTGTCTAATTCCCAAAGGATACACTGTCAGTTAAAATAATGCTCTGAAGATATGATTGAGACAGCTATAGCCTTGCTACATTGAACACATTAATTAATCTTTAACTGGATGCTTGTCTACTCATTACTCCCAAGAGATTATTGGATCTGCACTATCTACCATAAAGCATGTTTAAAACATATAAAACCTCAATGATTTTTTTGTTAGATTTAACTCTTTACCCCTTAATGCCACGATTTGACGCACTGGCCATATCCCTGGGGTGTTTGCCTTGCTGCCCCTTAGAGCATTTTAGTTAAATTAGAGTGCAGTTTAAAACTGAACTCATAAGGGTCAAAATAATTTATTTATACTAAGTATTATATATCATTGGATTCGTTATAAATTAAAGTTTTAAAATCTATTTGCAAAATTTTGATCGTAGTTATCTGTAAATAAATAATTCAGGTGAAAGCAGGTGTAAATCGCAAAATAGATATTTTCAACATGTAAAACGGCTTTAATAAGCCAAAACTATCTGTAAAAATAAAAAAAAATTATGTGTGATGATATAATTGATGGTTAAATTATCATTTATTATCAATTTTATAAGTTTAAGTCATCAGAAATCAATAAATTGCATTGCTACTTCAATGTCAATCTCGCCGACAAATTTTTAGACTTGTGTGCTTAAACTTGATTTCTAGACGTTTTTGGATGCTTTAATGATACAATTTTATTAAAATAATTATTTCCTACACCTTAACATTTATAAATATGTGTAAAATGGAAGATATGTTCCGAATTTGTGAGAAACAGGTGACAAAATCGGCACTGCGCGGTCCCGAACTTCACAAAATTTTCGTAAGTTATGTTGGAGTATAAAACACATATAAATCATTAGAATTTTCAAACCTTTCAAGAAATAGGTAGTTTATAACTTCAATTTCATGTTATGCTTTACTGGATGAGAAAATGTTGCCTATTTACTGAGTTATATGCTCAAAAAACATCGTATGTAATAGTCCGCCATTTTGAATTTTGGTGGGACTTTCCAAGATTCCTTTGTTTGTTTACACAGGTAAATCACGTGATTTCTAACTGTAGTATGATGCAATCATCTATTGTTAACCTGCAGGTGGCCACCTGTGCTCAAATAATTAGTGTACAAGCGGTAATTTCAAGTCAAATCAACAATGAAATACACATGCGTCAAAAGTCGTCATTAAGGGTTGGGGGCTAGGCGTCAAAAGTCGTCATTAAGGGGAAAAGGAGGGAAAGGTCTAAGGGGAAAAGAGTTAATGGCAGACAGGTTTTAATATGCAATTCATATGGACATGCTGATTCCATCCCACCCCCATAAAATTATTTTTTTAAAGTTCATAATATTATGTAATATCAAAATAGTTTATTATGCAAAATCAAATTATTTTTATTTACTTCTCATCAAATTCATTTTAAAACTTATGCTAGCCAACAAGAGCTATTTTTAATCCAACAGGATTACCCATTTGGCCCAATACTCAAGGGATATAGATAGCACCGACGCTCTTCCTCACACTAAACTCATTAATTTCTCTCTCTAATTTGACATGCAATTTTCCGTTATCAAAATTCTTCTTGACCAGTGCTTGATAATTAAACTCATGGGAGTGGTGGAATTTCTTTAACATACATTACATTTGTTATAGATTGCTGTCAAGTATATGCTAAAAAAAATAAGTATTTTCTTGATTTAACATTTTTCTAACAAGGATAGTGCAATACTTTTACATTTTTTGGAGTGTGTAAATGAAGAGAAAAAAAAGACATTTTTTTTTTTAAATTTCACTTTAATTAAAGGTCACAGTGACCTTGAAATAGGTCGCGACACACCTTCTACCTAAGATGCATGAAGTGGCCAAGTTTGATGATTCTAAGTCTAATAGTTTTCTATTTATGGACCGGACAGGATTTTTCCATATTTGGCTATAACTTTTTAATTATAGGTCAGAGCGACCTACTTTTTGTGCGCGACACACCTTCTACCCAAGATGTATCAGCTGACAAAGTTTGATAACTCTAGGCCTTATAGTATTCAAGTTATGAGCCGGACACGAGAAAAGCTAACAGACGGACGGACGGACAGACGGACAGACAGACGGACATGAAGCCTATAACATAATACGTCCCGTCTTAAGACGGGCGTATAAAAACAAACATAGTCTAAACACGACTTTCAAACAAGTTTTTCTACTGTTATCTAGATCTATTCTTTTCGATTGAATATGAAAAGTAACTTCACGACATTTTGTAAAAATTTTGTACACAGTACGACTTTATTTGTGCTGTATCGTTACCTGTAATATCTAACACCTCCTTCTTCCTGTACACATCATTATAGAAAGTCTGTAACAATTCAGCACACAAACCCATCCTCTGGAAGGGAGGCAGGATTAACACTTGGCTGAAATTATTTTATAAACACATTATACAGATGTATCATTTCTATCAAAGCCATTGTTATGATTGATAATGGCAAATTTCATAGGCATCTTGAGTTTCAAATCACAATCTATCTATTTAACAGCATATAAAAAGCCTTTTACAATTTTTTTTTCAAAAGGAAACAAAATTAATTAGCTTCATGTTATTTTTTGAATTACAATAGTGCAATGTTTTACCTGACTCTTGGACGTAACTTCTCTGGGTAAGCATAATAATTATATACAGTCATGTAACCTGCTATAGCATACATTGGATTTCCATTACACATGTATTTTTCAAACCTAAAAGTAGAACATTCTGCAAATGAAATATGCTTTAAGAAAACTAGAATATTTAAAAATATAATGTTGATTTGTGTGAAGAGGGCATTATTTTGAAACTAAGCTTCATCATAATAAATATAGTAACTAATGAGGTCAAGGTCACAGGGTCTGACAGTCAAGGGCAAAGATTACACTAAAGTTGAATAATTCACCAGTGTGTATCAGTGTATGAATTTTGGTTCATATGTCTAGAACAGACTCTTTGAAACTGAGCCACATGTAAATGACAAGTGTGATGGCTGCAGGGCAAAAAGAAGGATGAAGGATAGACAAACACTGCATGGAGGGGGCATAAAAATGGGAACAATTTTAATAGCCATACATGGGAGGGCTGAAAAGGGTTGACAATATGTCTACCAAGAGATTCTGGAGACCAAAAACATTAATTAAACTTAAGGATAACATACAGTAAGAAGAAGCGCCATCGCTCGTCATCCACATCAATGAAGGAAGCAGCATCAATGAAGAACAAAATAAAGGTCTGGAGTCTCTCATGGTACTCTCTGAAGCCTGACGTCTCTATCCCAGTCCTGTAGATCTCAAACTGTCTGTCCCTCCCATCTGTAAAATCAAAACATAGGTAATTAGAGATTACAGAGCTCAACTCAACGAATGTTGTCTTTAAGTATTAAGGCAAAGCCACACAATTACCCAATAAAGAGTGTCCATCCAAAAATGCAAAATTTATGCAATTTTGATCTGACACTTTGGAATAGACCTATATTTAAGCATTGAATTCATATTTTTGGATGTCTTCGGTCCTATAACACACCTGGCCGTGCCGAGAAATTGAATACCGCGCGTTAGCGCGGTATGATAATTTGTCGACACGGCCAGGTGTGTTATAGGATCAGGGATGGGGTCAATTACTTTAAAAAGTAATTAATTAAAAAATTACAATTACTTTGACTTTTTCTTCAATTAAATTACAATTAAATTACAGGCTTTCTAAGACAAGTAATTAATTAAATTACAATTACTTTACAAAAGTAATTAATTAAATTACAAATTACATCTTTAATTTTTTGAAATTTTTTATAATCATATGAATATACAGAACAGGGATCATTCACTTCTATATAAGCGCAGGCTCTGCACAAACAATACAAGAAACAATATGCTATTAGGCATTGTGTATCTTTGTGGTTTAAATCATAACTTTTATTTACAAAACAGTAAAGAACTATGTAAGATCAATTTGATGCAGTTTCCTCCACACAAAACCTACATGTACACAAATTGCATGGGATATGATATTTGATTAAAAGTGTGTATTTTAATGGAGTAAAATAAGTCGCAACTATAACCTCTCAAATTAAATATTTCTTTTAAAGGTAACCCTAACATCCTAAATTGCTATTTATGTTGAACATGTATTTTTACTTCATAAATAATACTTGTACAAAACATAACTTTTCCACATACAAAATTCATTCATAAAATTCTGTTTAGATGTTAAAATAATTATCAAATTAAAAGTTTTTCTTTTCTCAAACTAGCGGGGCATTTTTAATTGAAATAATTATTTCCATACATTGGCTTTGTTATAATCATGGAATGGATACCTCTTTAGAGGGGTTGATTTTGTTTTGATTGCAATTTACAGCTATGAACTGGAGGGCAATTATCTCTTAATACCAACAAGAGAGAACTTCATTAATGAACGCATTCCTTTTCTTGACACACGCATACTTATTCTTCAATGATCAAATAACAGAGATTAACTAAAATATAATAAATTATTTGCTTTTCATAGCTGAGATGGTGAAAAATTTCAGATTTTATAACATTATTAGAAAGAAAGTACATTATTATTATAAAATGATCTGGCTTCTGTATAATTGAAGGACTGAGGATATGTTTTGCAATAAAATGAAAAAAACATTATAATGGGGAGGTCGTGGTGACAATATATCAAGCATGTGTATCGTATAAAGTAATTGAATGTAATTGAAAAAGTAATTGAAATTACATGGTATTTTTTCAATGTAATTAATTAAATTACAATTACAAGTAATTGAAAAAATGTTCAATTACAAATTACTTCCAATTACTTCAAAAAATGTAATTAATTACAGTCAATTACAATTACTTTTTTCAATTACCCCATCCCTGTATAGGATTGAAGACATCCAAAAATATGAATTCAATGCTTATATTTACATTCTCTTATTTTCCTTCTTCATAATTGTTTATTTCGTTAATCTTAAATGTGAATTTAGCGCCCTTCAAAACTGCCGTGGTTAATAGATGTAAGAGCCGTCTGTGATGTCAAATGACGTTAAATGACGTTGCAAAGTTAAATAACGCAAACAAACATTGCGAGGAAAAAAGAGAAAAATTATTTCTTTACACACATGACGTTAATTTTTACGTTAATTTTTCAGGGTTTTGTTTCTCGTTAAATTGAAATAAAACATTTTACATTTTGGTGTTCCTAGAGTATTGAAATTTTATGCATATAGTTCCTACTGTGTATTCTAACAAGCGGTGACACGGTTTCGCGTGTGTTATAGAAATTTGAACGTTGTGGATTTCTAATGGATTTAATAAGGAAAATTACACTGAATGTAAATATAAAGACTTCAAACTAGTTCTCCATCATGAAAATGTAATTAAAATCCAGCATCTGAAGCAAGCTTGAGAGTTTTCATCGCTTGATGTATCATTTGGGCAAGTTTGGTTTATATAAAACCTTATAGTTTCTTGGTAATAGACCTGCACCCATTACTTTTACTTGGTCCATTATTTGGAAAATGTATGTCGAATTCAGCATCTAGAGCAAGTCCATTAGTTTGCATCCTAAGATGTATCATCCATGCGAGTTTGCACAACATTGCGCTAATAGTTACTTAGAATGAAACCTGCATAAAAATTTAACCTCTTCACTCATCCAGGAAAAATGTAGGTCAAATTCAGCATCCGAAGCAAGCCTGGTAGTGTACATCCTTAGATGTATCATCCATGCAAGTTTGGTCAACATAGGGCATATACATGTAGTTACTTGGAAATGAGACCTGCACCAAAAACATTGACCTGTTCATTCGACAGGAAAATGTAGGTCAGATTCAGCATCCGAAGCAAGCCTGGTAATATGCATCCTTAGATGTACCATTCATGCAAGTTTGGTCAACATAGGGCTTATAGTTCCTTGAAAATGAGACCTACACCAAAAAATGCACCAAAAATGTTAACCTGCTCCAAAAACATTAACCTGGTCGTTCCTTCCCTAAAAGTGCAGCATCTGAAACTTTGACTGGTACAATGAAACACACTAGAAGCATCTCTCATGCATGTCTAATCAATATAGGGCATATAGAAGTACTTAAAAAGAAAACTGCTCCAAAAAAAGTAACCTGAGACGCCGACGCCAAGGGTATTACATAAACTCCCCAAACTTCGTTGAGGTGAGCTAAAAACTGATAAGACTGCAGTTCTACAGGTCTGTAGTCTCTGATGAGTTGATAGCTCTACTGGTCTTACTTCAAAAAATGAAAATGGGAAAAATGTACCTGGACTTTCAGCACTTTTTACACAACTTTTACTTTACAGAAATGCTTGTATATATCCTGCTGTTTTCTACATTTTTACTTAGTATGACTGAAATTGTACCAAAACTTTAGGAGTATCATTTTTACAAATTTTCACATGTATACTTTTTTTTTGGTAGCCATTGTATCCTCATTTCTCAAAATCTTCAAGGACACAAGCTTTTTCATGTCACCTACTTGTGGTCCAAGTTCTATTAAAATCGGACCAAAAATGTAGGAGTAGTAACATTTTGAAATAATTTCAGTTTAGGTAACCATGGCAACCTTTATTAAATTACTTCCTGCAACTTGATTTTTATTGCCAGTCATTTAAGAGTAGAATAACTTCATTATACCTTTGTGTACAGTGAAAGAGTGCACAAGTTTTCCAAATGGTTTGAAGTCAGCATCCTTCGGTATTGAGTTGAGGAATGCATCTCTACTGGTTAGGAAACCAGGGGGCACCACCTCTCGTAACTGACCAATGACATCATCAGCCTAAATATAAGCAAAAATGGATACTGCATTATCATTTCTGCCAAACTCACAAATACAAACATAGTAAAGATACCAATACATTTTTAAATACTTTAAATTTTCATACATGTATCTGTTTAAGATACAATTAATTTCTAGAAAAAAAAGGCGAAACGAAAAGTTCCATAAATCTATTCCACATTTTTAAAAACAGAGTTATGCATCTGTATGCACCAAGTTGTTTTAAACAAATCTTCGCTGCAGAAATGGGTTGGTGAAATTTACAAATTCTGATCCAATCAGCTCACTGTACTCTTGTCAATGATGACTTAATAATCTTTGTCCTAACTAGAACTGTCCAATAGGGACAAATACCCCCGTTGGGTTTTTCAGAGTAGGTGCCAATTCAGAAATATTTTATGGATCTAGTAAGAGGTGTTCACTATTGTCTGATAAAGTGCCCAGCCACAGCATGATACCCCCATCAAATATTGTTCGATAATCATAAATTGGTTAGGGTGCAAGAAAATCAAGTAACCTTGATTAACAGATTGACACAGATTTCAATGATCTAATTTCCATTTCTTATCATGCTTAAAATATTGTACATACATCTCTAAGAGACTTACAGTGTAGGGATTAATTAAAACAAATAATACATCATATAATTCTAAACTGGCTGTGTTAGAGCTTAACAAATATCCATCTGCAGCTTTCAATTGTTTATTGCATATTTTATGAAAGAATGGAAATGCTACAGTCTAATAAAAAAAATCAAAAATTAATTATTCTTTAGACTATAAAATTCTAAGTGAGACATGACTGCAATTTGTTGCAAATATATAAAAATTGAAATGTAACTTTTTTTTTTAATGAACACGTATAAATAATTTTAATTATATTATTCAATACTAATTCAGTTTTAATCATACACTAAAACATCAATTTGTTTTAATTACATTACACCAATTGAAAGATCTTTATCTGAACTACAGCCATCAAGAACTCTTAATTAACACAAGCAACTATAATGCCATTTCTTTTTGCCCAACTCCCAAGAGATAAATTAAGATAACACAGCACGATGCTCTTGTTAGTTAACTCCCGACAATGAACTCATTAATTTCTCTCTAATTTGACATGCACATTTCTGCTATCAAAATTTCTCCTTGACCAGTGCTTGATAATTATGCCCATGGGACAAACTGAATTCCTTTCAAATCATTAACATTTGTTACAGAATTTGCTGTAAAGTATATGATAAACAAGAGATGTTTGTAAAACACTTATGCCCCCCTCCCCCACAAATTGGAATTTTTCTAAGTCCAAAAGGGCATAACTCTGTCAACCAGAAGTCTCTGTCGAGACTGAAGCTCTACTGGTTTGAACTTATAGCAAAGGAAGAGAAAAGTACTTAAGCAGCTGGGATTTGAAACTAAATAGAATAATGATCGTTGATAAAGTCTCTTTATGTTCTTAGTGTAGTCTACTTGTGTGCCAAGTTATACTGAAATCAGACCAAAACTGTAGGAGGAGTAGCATTTTGAAACAATTTTACAGACATTTCTATTTTTAGTAACCACGGCAACACCGTTCATCAAAATCAAAAATCGATATACAGAATTATGTATCTTAGTGTATTCTACTTATGGCCAAGTTATATTGAAATCAGACCAAAACTGTGGGAGGAGTAGCATTTTGAAACAATTTTACAGATATTTCTATTTTTAGTAACCACGGCAACACCGTTCATCGAAATCAAAAACCGATAAACAGAATTATGTATCTTAGTGTATTCTACTTGTGTGCCAAGTTATAATGAAATCAAACCAAAACTGTAGGAGGAGTAGCATTTTGAAAGAATTTCACAGAAATTTCTACTTTTAGTAACCACGGCAACACCGTTCATCAAAATCAAAAACCGATACACAGAATTATGTATCTTAGTGTATTCTACTTGTTTGCCAAGTAATACTGAAATCAGACCAAAACTGTAGGAGGAGTAGCATTTTGAAAGAATTTCACAGAAATTTCTATTTTTAGTAACCACGGCAACACCGTTCATCGAAATCAAAAACCGATACATAGAATTATGTACCTTAGTGTAGTCTACTTGTGTGCCAAGTTATAATGAAATCAAACCAAAACTGTAGGAGGAGTAGCATTTTGAAAGAATTTTACAGAAATTTCTATTTTTAGTAACCACGGCAACACCGTTCATCAAAATCAAAAACCGATACACAGAATTATGTATCTAAGTGTAGTCTACTTGTGTGCCAAGTTATACTGAAATCAGACCAAAACTGTAGGAGGAGTAGCGTTTTGAAAGAATTTCACAGAAATTTCTATTTTTAGTAACCACGGCAACACCGTTCATCGAAATCAAAAACCGATACACAGAATTATGTATCTTAGTGTAGTCTACTTGTGTGCCAAGTTATATTGAAATTAGACCAAAACTGTAGGAGGAGTAGCATTTTGAAAAATTGTTTACAGACAGACAGACAGACAGACAGACGGACAGACGGACGGACGCCGGACGCATTACTATCGCATAAGCTCTTCTGGTCTCTGACCAGTAGAGCTAAAAATGGTGTGATCATATGATCATACCCAAAACAGAACTTGACCAAGATATTCATCTGACTAATCTGTATACTAAATTCCATTTCATTGTGTGCAACTTCTGCAAAGCAAATGAATGGAAAGTGCAAAAATATGGAATTTTTCTAAGTCCAAGGGGCATAACTCTGTCAAAAATGGTGTGATCATACCCAAAACAGAACTCGACCAAGATATTCATCTGACTAATCTGTATACTAAATTCCATTTCAATATGTGCAACCTCTCCAAAGAAAATGAACGGAAAGTGCAAAAATATGGAATTTTTCTAAGTCCAAGGGGCATAACTCTGTCAATTATGGTGCGATCATACCCAAAACAGAACTTGACCTAGATATTCATCTGACTAATCTGTATACTAAATTCCATTTTAATATGTGCAACTTCTCCAAAGAAAATGAGCGGAAACTGCAAATAATTGGAATTTTTCTAAGTCCAAGGGGCATAACTCTGTCAATTATGGTACGATCGTACCCAAAACAGAACTTGACCTAGATATTCTTCTGACTAATCTGTATACTAAATTCCATTTCAATATGTGCAACCTCTCCAAAGAAAATGAGCGGAAACTGCAAACAATTGGAATTTTTTTAAGTCCAAGGGGCATAACTCTGTCAATTATGGTGCGACCGTACCCGAAACAGAACTTGACCTAGATATTCATGTGATATACTTGTATACCAAATTTCATTTCAGTATGTGCAACGGTTATGAAGAAAATGAGCGGAAACTAAATGGACCGACAGACCGACCAACCGACCGACCGACAGACAGCAGCAAAGCAATATGCCCTCCCTTCTTCGAAGGGGGGCATAAAAATAAGTTTTTACTTAATTTAGCATTTTTTTAATAATGATACAACTATATTTTTACATTTTTTAGGATTATGAAATTTAAAATTTTAAAGACTTATTTTTTTTTTTTAAAAATCACTTAAATTAAAGGTCACAGTGACCTTGAAATAGGTCGTGACACACCGTCTACCCAAGATGCATAAATTGTCCAAGTTTGATGATTGTAAGTCTAACAGTTTTCTAGTTATGAGCCAAACAAAATCACAAAATAAAAAAGAAAAAACGCCTGTAAAATGCAGAAAAATCATCCAATCATGATGAAAATCCCAGGTGCACACCTTCATATGGTGAATAATAAGTGTATAAATTTTCAGACAAATCCATCCAACAGTTTCTGAGAAACGGTCCGGACAAAATCTTGTCTACAGACAGACGGACATGGTGATTCCAATATACCCCCCTAAACTTCGTTTGCGGGGGTATAATTATTTTGTTCTTTTGGATATTCTCTTCACTGAATTCCACAAGGATTGAGGAATATATAATTCCCTTCTACTCAAAATGTGCAAAGTTGAACTTAAAATCTTTAATATATTTAGACGAGAAACAAAAGTAGACAAATTGAGACCAGGTTGGACGAATCTAATTCTGAATTAAATTGGAAATGAATACCTTTAGTCCTTCGTGTAATTCTGGTGAAACTTTGGTGATGTATTGTAGATTTATGAATGTTGTTAGTTTAGCAGCAGTATAGTACATCTCTACCACCAAATCCTTGTATCCAAAAATACTCTCACTGTTAAAAATATGTAAAGAAAAAGTAAAAAAAAATTACATACAGTACATTTACATGTACATGGTTAGTCTATGCTAAGTCATGTACTAGAAATGCAATGCAGTGTATAATCTATCCAAAATGGTGACTTTCTATGAAGAATCAATTATTAATGCGAATCACCACAAATTATGATTCAAGACATAGGAAGAAGCAAACATACAGTGATCACTAAAATATCCATTGGAAACTCATCCTAAAAATTCTGCTTCATACATGTAAAATTAAAAATACATTAATTCTTAATGGTCCTAGCAAGTTAAAGGTAAATAATGGCTTACTTCTCTCCAAAAACCTGATGTGTCATCTCTGGTAGGAATGTTGATGTATCGTCATCCAGGTCTTCTTCCTTTCTAACTACAAACATAACGATGAAAATTCAATTAATTTTCTCAACATTTCTTTCTCACTTGAAATTTACCTGCCATGCTTACATTCGGAACACTCTAGATTATTCGTACGGAAGTAAATGTACTGAGTTTGAGTTATCACCCATGTTCATTTTGCTACATAGTCAATACATGGAACAAATTCTATCTATATAAAGGGTGCATAGGACAATATCATTTAAATGATAGAACGTTTCTATCTTCGTTTATACTTTTATACTTACCAAGTTTGAAATGTATGGCTTCATTTGCGGAACACTTGTAGACATCAAATTTATTCTTTGATAAACCTGAAGTAAAAAGATGGAGATATCAGTAATCTGTTTTGAACATCTCTAAGTTTTATTTCTTTCACTCTTAATTAATTAAGAAATAAAATATCATTTTTAAAGTTTCATTGGGGTGCGACATGAAGTCGGTCACGTTATCAAATTCTAGTAGATTTGATCATGTACCGACTTCATGTCATTCCCAATGAAACTCTAAAAATGATATTTTATTTCTTATATTTATATTTTACATTTTTTGTAGTGTTACAAAGAAATAAAGGCATTATTAAGACTTTGCTTTGGAAATGCAATATAACGTATCTACGACATCATTTGACGTCACAATTGGAACTTTCCAAATGGCTCATGCAGTTTGCTTTCCATACTCAAGAAAGTCTGATCATGTGACCAACTGCATGTCACTGAAAATTGAATTTCCATTTTATTAGCATTGTTATGAACAGGTTGGGCACAACCTACCAAATGGTCCTTTATCCCCCGTTTGGTAGACAATCTACCATACTAACCAAATGGGGGACTTTTTTATTCTATTGCAATTTTTATTAAAATAAAACAAAAGCGCATTTATTTAGGCATTGGGAGATTGTAGTGAACATATTCCTCGCACAATTAACATAAATCGGTCGAATTTCTATGTGCAATCTGTCCCCAACTTCGTAAAAACAATACCCATAGTTGTCTGTAACAGCTGAACTTCTTGATCAATCGATCAAAAAAAATCTTTGTTGTGTCCAGGGCTCGACATTAACTTTTTTTCCTACTTGTCCATTTGGACAAGTGACCAAGATATTTACTTGTCCGAACTTCGACTTCACTTGTCCAAATATTTTTCAATGAATATCTTGAAAACAATTACTTTAAATTAAAAAAATTAAACGTGCTTGATTTATTAGTGTTGTTATTGATAAATAAGACAAACACTTATAAAACAAAATTTTATCTAGATTTCCTGACCTGAGAACAATGTAAATGTTCGCAAGTGAATCTGTTATATCAATAAAATATATTTCAAACCCGCAAACGTCGTAAGATCCACGCCATGCAATAGTATGGCAGCAATTAGTAAACATCAATCCCGTTCAAGTGTGAACTTACATGTACATAGCAATTCATATCGGGATTAAAATTCGGGTTTATGTACTGCTTCCGTTTTTATTCGATAAACTTAATTCAATAGTTGTTTTTTTTGTTTTAAATATTATTATTATTTGAAGACTTTTTTTACATAAAAAATCACTTGTCCAATCGGACAAGTGCCCAGCAATATTCACTTGTCCGTAATTTTTTTTCATTGGTACCGGACAAGCGTTAATGTCGAGCCCTGGTGTCTTGTTGAATAAAAATTCAATTTGATCTAGTGATTTAACTCTTGATGAGTTAACTTTCAATCTTTTTTTTGATCTTTGTCAATGTTTATATCCGTAAAATCCTGTTAAACACGAGCTCCTCATGCCTTACCGGTATGGTGAGCACTTTCCGCTATTAAGTTAAAGTTTTCCATAGTTGAATGTAACATTTGTGCTCATTTTTCTTTTAGAATGAAGCTGCAGATTCCATGCGATCTTTTGGGGTTTAATATGCATATTACTGGTGAATTTAATAAATCTGAAAAATAATATTCAATAAAAGATGTACAAAATGACTTTTGCCATTATTCTTGTTTTTGTCCCATGTACATCGTTTTAAAACAATAATTATATCAGACTCCAACTTCATTTACTATTTTTATGAAGAACAAAGCCATTGTTTTCAAATAAAATAAAGGCGAAAACTTATTTTTCTTCTGAATTCCTAGTTGAAAATTAACACAAATGTGCCCCCCTAGTTAAATCCGACTTTTCATCAGATTTAAAAAAGATCACCATTTTGATTGGTTTGTACTAATTGATTGGTTGCCTGGATAATCGAAATAGAAAGTAAAGGACATGATTTACAGGTGCAGCATCGTTGGAGAAGGAGAGAATTTTCTTTTAAAGTAAAAAATGGAGAAACATTGCACTTGTTCACATAAGCTACGTTTCTGTCAAATTTTTGAAAGACTCTGCGCAAAAAATTGCATATAGAATTCCTGATTTTTTTCACCCAGAACACCGATAAATATCTATATTTCATTCCACATGGTTTAAAATTAAGAGCAATTCCACTCCACTCCATGGAATTACACACAACCAATTTTGTCCCCCATTTGGTCAGTAAAATTCGTTACCGATACGGTAGATTGTCTACCAAATGGGGGATAATATACCATTTGGTAGGTCGTGCCCAACCTGATGAAAGGAAAGACATCAGCAAATGTAAATCAGCAAATGTAAATACTAAATATTTCATAATTTCTTACATCAGAGACTATGATTGGTACGGCGTTTTTGTACTGGCAGGTACAGCTTTGAAATAGTTACTTTATTATTTAGAATGACAGTAGTGAATTCATCCCTCTGGTTTAGGTCTAATATTGATAAAATAGAGGAATTTCGAATTAACTGAAATTAACAAGTACCTTTTTCAACAAAGTTATGAATATAATAACATCATTCATATGCCACAGAATAAGTGAAATGATTATATCTCGATTTTAATAATAGAGTTTTTAATTATTTTCATTGCAGGCACAGTTTCTGTCAAAAAATGAATGAGATTCCGATATTGACTTACCCGCCATTTTTATGAGTTCCGAAAGTATTGCTTTTCGAAACCCCTCTAAGATTTAGGATAGTTGTCATTAAATTGACCTTGACACGTCTGCTGCGATCACGGAATTCGAAAAGAGGATAACCAATCATAAGAATCTGAGGGCATGATCTTTTCTGTTAGCGAGACATGGCGGCTAATGGCAAAGACGTGAGTGGTCGCGAGTTTCATGTTTTGCAGGAATATATGTGCAGATTATTAAATCTACCCGTGAGAGTAAAACGGCAAAGATATCAAATGTAGTTTGATCTGAAATATAAATATTAAATTGCATCAAACAGCACTACGTTCACTGTAATCTTAATTTATTTTCAGCATCCCTTTGAAATTGTTTCCAAAGTTTGGCCCATCAAAACTGCAAAATGTGAAAACAGAAAGGTGAGATGGAAATAATTCTTTTACATTCAAATTCTATATTTTTCTTGTCGATTTATTTTTTCATCTAGCATGCATGTTATTCATATGATGTGTTGAACTTGAAGGGCATGACTTGTTACCTTGAAAGAGTTATTTCCCGTTGGTAAACAAAACTTGTCTCAGTTCAGTTTAACAAATATTAAAACTCAAAATGAAAGAAAAGAATTTAATTTTTGAATTAAATTTTAGGTGGAAGTTTTTAATCGAGCAGATCCAGAGCAACTGAAGGAAATATTTTTGAAAGTAAGGAAGAACTTATTAAGTTTTTAAGTTACTTAAAAAGTTCTACAGTCTATATTGTTAAATTATTGCCTTATGCATTCGAATATCAGTTTAATGATAGAATTTGTTCTGCGTATATATATATATAGTGTAACATTAGCAAATTAGTTTCAAATGCCTAGGTGGTGTGTAAATTTGAAGTAAAAAAAAAATCCTTCCTGGTACTGTCATTCCATGATACCTACACAAAATTTACATTTTCTTGATGGTTTCTTTTACTTCGACAGTATGCCAGTGTTGTGGAGGATGGAGAACATTATATGACCTATAGAGATCTTATTCAGAAGTACTTAAACTTTCTGGGCGAGAATTGCGATGAGTTCACCCTCAAATTATTTGCTTCCAGCGTAGACACTTCTAGAGATGGGTAGGTATTGACAATTGTACATCTATTGATAATAAAAAAGTTTGGTGTATAAAATTCATTCCTTTCATCACTTACTGTATAAAGAAGTGGTTCTTGTTATTGATAAATACTTGATTAAACTTTATGATCAATTGTTAAGGATTGAATTTTTAACCACATATTCAAAATGAAAAAAATCAGATCCTTGTTGCTCTCTTTGGTTAAAAAAGGTGCAAAGAGGATCTGATTTTAATCATATTGAACACATATTAAATGACTGCATTTGATAGCTAGACACTCAACGACAATATAAAGTTTGTTTTAATAAATCTATAAATTTCTTGATAGGATATTTTGGACTATTTTGCAGGAAGATTTCGTTTACAGAGTTCCAGGCTTTTGAGGCTGTTCTGTGCCTGCCTGATGCCATGTATGCTCTGGCCTTCCAGGTGTTTGACAGAAATGGAAATGGGTATCTTTCCTGCGGTGAGTGTTCTGCTAGGTTATGATGTAACAGTGATTCTGAGGTCAAGGTGGCATTAGCTTAAAATATTTGCATCACAACTGCAAGGAAATTATAGTATTGCTACATGTTTTATTGAAATTGTGATTAAAGTAGTGTGGCATATCTTTTTTCAAAAATGAAATAAAATTAAATAATTTTGGGTCATATATTGTGTTTTAGCAATTATTGGTTTGTTTAGCCTTTTTTATACATGTTATATAACAATGTATTTTGTTTTGTAGATGAATTTGAAGATATCATAAAACACACAACACTGAACAGGGAAATACCATTTAACTTCAGTAGCGAGTTTATAAAACTTCACTTTGGGAAAGACAAGCAAAGAAAAATTACATATCCAGAGTTTACACAGTTAATTCATGTAAGTATATTATCTGCTTTTAATTCCTACTATAGAGATAATTGTAATTTATCGTCTAGATGACAAGATTCTATGAAATATCTCTTTATTTATAAGGATTTTCATGAGGAACACGCTTTACAAGCTTTTCGGAGGCGAGATAAAGGAGACACAGGCTACATCAATGCTAAGGACTTTGAGGAAATCATGTGCAAATTAAAAAGTTACCTCTTGACCCCATTTGTCAAAGAAAACCTGGTCACAGTAAGTAATCTGCCCCCAGTAGTATACTGTATTTCATCAGCATCCTGATGACTATGCATCAGTTCAACAGTTATTTTTGCAATGCATAGCTTTAGGGAACACACAAAGTTTTCAATTTTGTGAGGATTTTAAATTTTTTGTAGAACAAGGTCTTTTTAGTGACATTTGGTGAATTATCTACATACAGTACATCATAAAAAGAATTTTATGTGCACATTCAGAAGCTTGATTTATTATTATCACAAGAAAAAATAGCCTACATCATGTTAAGTCCACATTTATAAGATAAGTTATTGTTTTGTAGGTGGCAATGGGAGGGGGGCACAGACAGATCAGTTACTCCTACTTTACTGCTTTCGTGTCCTTATTGAACAACCTAGAGCTGGTCCAGAAGGTTTACCTGGCCTGTACACGACGTGACAAAACTATGGAGGTTACCAAAGGTAGGATAGGGCTGTGTATGGGACTGTTATGCACGAACATTCAAGATAAAACTCTGCATAGTAAATGGTATCAAGTCTGTGTTTGTATGCATAATTTAAAAAGAATGTGAATAAAGCATAGGGAGTGAACATGAAGTTATTTCGGATTTTCCATATGCATGTACATGTACTGTAATATATGTAAAGTTTTTTTTCCCAATTGAGATACGTACATGTAAGATGTACAGATTGATGCACAGTCTGTGTAAACAGAAAATGATAGAGCAGTAGAATGAATCATATCTATTTTTAATTAGAGGAGATGTTGTACCAAGCCCAAGAATTTGCTCAAATTACGCCGCTCGAGATTGACATCTTGTTCCAGCTGGTCGGACTGAAGCATCAGACGGGGTAAACATGGGACAGTCTTTTGTTATAATGCATAGTCAAATCAAGACACAACATGCACTTATTTTTCACTTTCAGCTGAAATGCTGCATTTTAATTCTATAAAACAAAAAAAAAACAAAAATAACAAATGCAAGACCAGAAGCATTTATCAAGAAGTGCCCCAAAAAAATATAAATAATAATTTGAAAATATCTAATTATTAAAAAAATAGTAAATTTTAAGATCATTGATAAATTTTGCTATTCATAATAAAGAAGACTTATTGAATACTTGTGCCTACAGGAGGGTAACTTTTGAAGACATCACAGACTTGTCCCCAGCAGAAGGAAGGGAGACACCATATTCTATTCAAATGAGGATAGCACAGGTAAATACTGATGATTCCGTAATGTGTCTTATTGTTAAGAAATATATGTAAGGAAAAGAAACATACTTGACGTGTTAACTGTGTTGAGCAAATAAGGTATTTTGTTGCAATTTATAAAATCTGTCAGAGATGCTATGGTTAGGGTTCACGTAATGTGTTAAATGTCTTAGGATGTCAGATTCTCCTTCTGTTTCTTCATTGTTCTTCAGTGGAGTAGTATTAATTCACAGTTATGAAAGAAAAAAGAGAGAAAAATCACAAAAGTCGCTTTCTAAAGAAAGTTTGGGTATATTGGTATTCTTTTTCATTTTTAAAAAAATATTCACAGATCTAGAAGTGAATAGGATAGGACAGCAGGCTCAGCTGTTTTAGCCCTCTCCCTATGTATTGATATCCTTGTGTTTCTATATACTGTAACTGTCATATATTGTCACTGCTCTGTTCGCCGTTCCTTTTAGAATAGGATTGGCCTAGTGATATAGCCAGAAATAAGGTTTTGGTTTATGTTCCCCAAAGGGTGCGAGTCTTAGGCACGATTTTTCTTCAATATATGAGGAAGTGTTTTCTTCAGTTTGGGGAGAAATGATTTAATAATTTTCCTTAGATAGTATAATGTATGTTTTAATGATGGTTTTGGATATGCATGTTAACTTCTTTTCAAAGTGAGTAAATAGGTTAAGTGCTTTTCGTGTAGTAGTCCTTTTAATATCATTAATATTTTAAAAAACATGTTTTAATTTTAAACTGTATGTAATTATTTTTGTGGGGCATAAATAGGAAAACTTGAAGGTATGGTATTCACACTTTTATAATCAAAGCTTTTCTCAGCTTGCTTTTTTATGTCCTTAAAACTGGAAAGAATTTATCTCAAAAAAATCTTGTCCAATTTTTGAAGCCTCCACTGTCAACTACATTTTCAACCAATTCTGATTGGCATCATTGATGAAAATACATAACTTGTGTCTACTGCTAACAGAAAACAAACAATTTCCCAACATTTGACTTGTGTACAAAATCCTTTCTCTGTAAACAATTGACTGAAGTATGCACTGGATAATATTAAAGGTGGGAAGCGCATGGTTGTTGTTCCTTTGAGTTTAATATTTAATCTACCCCTGGTTATTTCTAAGACAAAATTTAGACAGTCCACACACTAAAATGTGTTGACAAAGCACAGAGGTAAAAAGGTCAGATTAGAAAAACTTTTAGTTGCACTATCTTGTATGGTTCCGAATATCTATATATAAGAGTTGTTTATGTAAATCTGTATTGTTAACAGGTCAAACTACCACATCTACATGTATACTGTAGAGGAACTAATTTAGTCCATACTCTAAAAAATATTTGAAAAAAAAATATAGAAGCACACTGGAAAAATATGTGTAGGTACACTTTAAGGTCATATTAGAAAGACTTGATCAGTTGCAGGATCGATGTATGGGCAATCTATATATCTATATATCTGATGTTGTTAAATGTGCATTTCTATACTGTAGACAAACTCGGTACAAACTTACCAACTGGTCAAAACATACATTCTTGTATATATACAGTGTATAGGCATAGTTTATGTACCAGTATTAAATCTATCGCATGATATCATCACACATGTAAATTGTAATAGATAAAAGTTTGATTTAGTTTATAATATTTTTATTTACAATTTTTATTTACTTTGGCATGTGATTCTCACTAAAGCTATTACGTACTGCAAGCTCCTAATTGTTTTTACTGCTGTGTTGTTTAAAGTCAAACAGGTGTAGTTTGAAGTAATTCAACTTAAATGAGAAAATGATTCAAATCTAACACATTCTTGTATTTAATTAAACTAAAAATGGGTCAGTTTCCTCCTGTATCTTACTGTATTGACTTTCTGTTGAAGATCTTGGAAATAAACTGTACTTAGTATATGTACTTAGTGATGGATGCAACAGCTTTAGCTCTCCAAATCTCTTTTTATTCATTAAACATGTTCACATGGTCAGGCCTAGGTATGCCTTTGCCAGTAGGTGTTAAATTAAATGTGGAAGAAAGAAATTGCTTTTGTTACATACAGTAGTAATGTATTACTCAAAAGAATATGCATATTAAGTATTAAAGTGTATTTAAATTAGATGTTCATGTACATGTGCACATTACGTTTTTAATTGTATCTGTATATCCAAAATATCTATTGCAGCAATATTACTTACTGTAAATGTATACTATTTAGCATGTATATCATTATGCAGGGATTGATTTTTGAATAGGATAGAGTAGATTTGATTTAACATATTTCTTCATATTCCTATGTCTATATGCACAAGACATTTTAGCATTGTACTTGATTTAGTGGTTGCTGTGTTCCGCCAAAGCTGCTAAGAAGAAAACCCGGTACACAGCCAAATATAATCTGGTTACATTATTCCCCAGCTACTGGAGATTTAGGGATTTAAAGTTTTTGGTCTGTCTGCCCTCCCCCCCCAATCTTCAAACATTGGCCATCACCATAAGGGTAGTGTTAGTTCTAGGGATTTTTTTTCCACCTGTGTATTTTTTGTGACAAGACATATCTGGGTTTTAACATTTTTTGACAAATTACCTTTGGTTTTTAGGGGAATTTAAATTGTTAAAATGGTCATGGGACTATCCTACTGCCAACAGGGAGATCAGTGACAAAAATTTTACATTTTTCTTCTCAAGAACCACTGTGTTTCATGTCTTGATTTATTAACATTGGCCATCATGAGAGGGAAGGGCCCATAATTAAAGTTTTATATAGAAATATATATATAAATCTTTTTTGAAAATCTTCTTCTCAGACAGTTAGATGTGGAAGCATCCTGGTATAGTGTAGATTTAATTTTTCCATACCCCTAAGGGCCTGGGAAATGAAAGTTTTACATAGAAATAATAGGAAAAATCTTTGAAAATTTATTTTTGAACCACTGGGCCAATATATAGCTGAAACTTATGTGGAAGCATTCTGGTTATAAGTCTGGGTTTTAATCAAAGTTTTTAAAATATATTAAAAATCTTAGATTAATAATTTATCTATTTATCCATGTTTCAGAAAAGCTGAAACTTATGGATAAGCATCTATATACATGTATTCATTTATTGTTAACATAATGATTTTTCCAAGGGCTTGGCCACATGGGGAATTTTTATATAGAAATATATAGAAAAATCTTTGAAAATCTTTTCCATCAATGAAACTGGGCCATACAAACTCTGTGGAAGCATATTATAGTGTTTCATTGTTCTTTAAATCAAAGTTTTACTTAGAAATATATAGGAAAAATCTTTATAAAATCTTCTTCTCAGTTTGTTACCACTGGGACAGAAAATTCACAACTTATTGGAAGCATTCTGACATAAACATAGTGTATATTTATTTTTTCTGCACATGACCCCTGTTTTTACATAGAAATATATAGGAAAAATCTTTAAAATCTTAATTGCACCACTGGAATTTCATGTGAAACTTTGATGGAAGCCTTTTCCTGCATTCAATGAAATTCTGATCGTTAAACATGATTACAATGGGGAATTTAAAATTTTATATAAAAATATATAGGAAAAATCTTTGAAAATCTTCTAAGTCAACCACTGGGCCAGACTAAAATTAAATGGAAAAAATGTAGGTTAAATTGACATACCCCTGATTGTTTAAGAAGTGAATATAAATCATTTTGCATATATGGGCCATTGAAACTTATGTGGAAGCATTCTACTTAATGGTTTCTCAATTGTTAACATCATGATACCTAGGATGACACTGTTATGTTCAAATAAAATTTTTCATTATATAGAAAAATCTTTGATGTTTTAATGAACCACTGGGCCAGAAAAGCTTTATGTGGAAGCATTCTGGTATTTTTAATTCTAAATTGTTCAAAAAATGATTAACTGGGGAATCAAAGTTTTATATAGAAATATATAGGACAAATCTTTGAAAATCTTCTTCTCATAGCACTTCCAGAAAAAGTGATTTGCTTATGTGGAAGCATTCTGTATGTAAATTCTGATCATTAAATTTTGACCACTGCAGGAGAAGTTAGCGTTAGGGAATCAAAGTTTTACAGAGAAATATATTTGAAAAATCCTAGAAAATCTTCTTCTCAAGCTGGGCCAAAAAAGCTATCGCTGGAAGGATCATGGGGCTTTGTAAATTATAGAATTGTCTTAATTATGATCAGTTGGGTAGGGTGGGGATGCATTATGTATAACAAGGTAGAATCTTCTATTCAAGAACAGAATGGTACAGTGTAATGTGGCCCATGAAATCTTCAAACAATATATAGTGTTCAATGTGTATTTTTTGTGATACTTTATCAACATTTTTTGACCTATTACCTTTGATTTTTACCAGATTTGAAAGACTTAAAATGGTTCTATCCTACTGCCAACAGGGACATCAGTGATACAAATTTTACATTTTGTTTATAGACATGTGTGTACTATGATTTATTATGTAGAAAAAGGGACACTTATCTGAGAGGGAACTTTGAAAAAATAATTAAATGAATACTTGTAAACATATATATTTCCTTGGCTTTTGAACATTTTATCTAGACAGTCAGCATTCCCAGCTGTTAAACATGCTGATAGTAGAACCATAATTATTTGCCTATAAGCTGGTTTGCTTATGACAGTGTTTCTAATATAAATAACATGCTGATAAATTTATTTTTGATAATAGATTTATATACATGATATACTTGCCTATACGTTTAGATTGGTTCGCTTATAAGTTGGTTGTATATGTATTTTTTCTAGATTATTTTGGAGGAATTTGCCAAAGATCTGCTTATCAGTTGGTAGAGTTTTTTGCTAAAATCTGTTACCAATGTTAGATTAATAATTTATCGTATTTATCCATGTTTCAAAGAATGCTTTGGATATTACATCTATATACATGTATAATCATTTATGTTAACACCACACTGTATTTTTAGCTCTAGATTTAAAATCTTAGATAAACATGCGATATGTTACTTTTTTCAAGTACAGTTGAATGATTTCAATATAACTTGGATATAAGTAGATTACACTAAGATACATAATTCTGTATATCGGTTTTTGATTTCGACGAACGGTGTTGGCGTTGTTACTAAAAATAGAAATTTCTGTGAAATTCTTTGAAAATGCTATTCCTCCTATTTTGGTCTGACTTCAATATAACTTGGCACTCAAGTAGACTACACTAAGATACATAATTCTGTGTATCGGTTTTTGATTATATTAACGAACGATGATTGTTACTAAAAATAGAAATTTCTGTGAAATTCTTTCAAAATGCTATTCCTCCTACAGTTTTGGTATGATTTCAGTATAACTTGGCAAACAAATAGACTACACTAAGTTACATAATTCTGTATATCGGTTTTTGATTAGCGATTTGGTGTTGTTACTAAAAATAGAAATTTCTGTGAAATTCTTTCTGCTTTCCTACAGTCTGATTTCAATACAACTTGGCACACAAGTAGACTGCACTAAGATATAATTCTGTGTATCAGTTTTTGATTTCGATGAACGGTGTTGCCGCGGTTACTAAAAATAGAAATTTCTGTGAAATTCTTTCAAAATGCTACTCATACAAATTTAGTCTGATTTCAATATAACTTGGCACACATTAGACTACACTAAGATACATAATTCTTTGTATCCGTTTGACTTCAATGAACATATATTGACCTTGGTTAATAAAGATACAATTTCTGTTACTAAATTTGCTACTTCAAATACAGTTTTAGTCTGATTATAATATAATGTGGCTTGCAAGTAGACTACACTAAGAACATAAAGAGACTTATTCAAGGATCATTATTCTCTTTTTTGCCTGTGCAAATTTTCAATTCCCAACTGCTTAAGTACTTTCCTCTTCCTTTGCTATAAGTACAAACAAATAGAGTTAAATCTTAAAAGACTTCTGGTTCCATTACTTTTAGTCTTGAATTGAATGAATTTATTCAATTGGTATACACTGCTAAATATCACCTGTGCAGATCTCTTTAGCAGTTGGCTTTTCCATCAATGAAACATACAATATCTTACACAATATTACAATATTTCATCTTCTTTATCATACTTTAGATAATAAGTGGCACAGATAAAATACTTGTATAAAAAAATGTCTTTATTAGTTTGTTAGTATGGGAAGCAACATTCCAGCTATTGAAGAAAAAGTGACATAAACATGCGAAATGCAGGATATTTATTTTTTCTGCAACAGCTGCTAAATTCATTCCCGAACTAACAACCAAAGAAAGCATTTTATGGTTTAAATTACATTAATTCAAACAAATATTTAATCATTAATTGCAGTAAATCACTTGAATTTCATGCATATGGAAACCTTATGATAATCCTTTTCCTGCATTCAATGAAATTCTGATCGTTATAACATGATTATCAGAAAATTGTTTAAAATTCTGCTAATAAAAATTAACGATTTTTGTAGAACTCGCTTATAAGTCAACCATAGAGTTAAGATCATAAAATTAAATCCGAAAAACACTGACTTATTGGCAGGTTTAAACCGAAACTGAGTTCACCCGAGTTGACCAACCTGATTGTTTAAGAAGTGAATATACCAATGTATGTTTTCCACCAATAAAAAAATTGTTGATATACTGGTACCAATACAGTGCATCATACTTTACTTAATGGTTTCTCAACTTACTTTAGATACTAGGATGACACTGTTATGTTCAACATAAAATTTTACATGCTTTCAGAAATACTGGATGTTTTAATGAAAGTTGGAGAACAGATTAAACACCATTTGAAACTATAAGCTTGGATGAATATTTTTAATTTGAAATTTAACTTCTATTAACTGTATGTTTTCTCCTTTATGATGCAGTAAACTTGGACAATGTTTGGGTATACAGGGTTTTATAGCAGTTCAGTGATTTGCTTTGTACAGTGTATGTCAGTCTCCTATCATTAACTTTTGTCCACTGCAGGAGAAGTTAGCGTTAGAACAAGGAACAGAGAGGACCATTTTTCTGGAAGTCCTAGAGAGTGTCTACAGATTTACCCTGGGTTCTATCGCTGGAGGTGAACTATCTACCTTTTGTTTTAAATTATAGAGCTTTATGTTGCATAGTATATTTCCCTTATGTGTGAATTGACCAGCCAGTACCGATACCTGGTACTTGTATTGATTCAATAAATTTGACCAGCATCTCTTATTCAGAGAAAGTACATGTACATGTGTAATTACTCTTTGAATATTTCATATGATCTCAATGTGAAATTTTTTCTTCAAAAGGTAAATCTTACAATTTATATACATTTGACTTTTGTGATTAATGTACTGGTTTATATCCACTGCATTCTGTAACATTAAAATTTCAGCTACCGGAGCGACAGCAGTGTACCCAATAGATCTGGTGAAGACTAGGATGCAGAACCAGAGAACAGGTCCGATGGTAGGGGAGTTAATGTACAAAAACAGCTGGGATTGCTTCAAAAAGGTGATCCGTCACGAGGGAGTGCTGGGGTTATACCGAGGTCTGGGACCCCAGCTCGTAGGGGTGTGTCCAGAGAAGGCCATCAAACTTACGGTAAATGTCTAATATACAATAATATGGGTGAAGGTGGAATGTTGTAGAGTTTATTAACCATAATAGATGAATTGAATTTCATTTAGAAAGGTAGAAATACATGTAGAATGCCAAATTTCCAAATAAAACTCACCAAATCTGAAAATGTTTGTGAAAACATTTTATGGTTAGAATGAAGAAATATCTTTTCCCTCAGAAAAAGCAAAGACTTGCCAATAGACTATAAATTTAGTTGAAATTGACTGTATTTGCTATAAGATTTAAAATCTTAGATAAACACAATGTTGATGCTCCAGAGATCAATGTTTTTCACTTTCATTACAGATGAATGACTTGATGAGAGATAAGCTGACACGTAAAGATGGTTCTATTCCTCTTTGGGCAGAAATGATTGCAGGAGGCACAGTAAGTTCATCAGAGACAAGTTATATGTATAAAATTCAAATATTTCTAATTTTGTAAAATATTGTCTGATCCTTTACTGGTAAATCCCATAACAAATATGTTTGGTTCATGTACATTAAGAAATAAAATCTTGTTTATTTGACAATTATATTAAGGGAATGGACTGAAAAAGTATTCATTAAATATAGTTTTCAGTGTATACTTGAGAAACAAGGTATGAAACTTTTTGGGGGAATATGAAGGTTGGTCAACTGATCAAAACCCAGAAAACTTCACAATTTTTATAGTTTTTTATCATTGAATGAATTCATTAATTTGTCAACAGGCTGGAGCCTCTCAAGTCATGTTTACCAATCCTCTGGAAATCGTCAAGATTCGGCTACAGGTGGCAGGAGAGGTTCATGGGAAGGCCAAAGTCAGCGCATTTACCGTCATCAAGGAGCTAGGCTTCATGGGATTGTACAAGGTATCCAAGTACTGGCTCAATTTCTCCTCAAAAACTTGGTAGTCATAGAAAGTTTGGGACTTGTGAACTTGCTTCCATTTCATAATTTTTTTTTGTCTAGCAAAATTTGCTAGCAACTTTTGACATAAAAATACTTGAAGGTTTAAGATGTATATAACCAATCAGACACAACTTGTTAAGAATACATCTGATGCTGGGTCTTTTTGGTCAAAACTAACCAAAAAGCTAAATAAATGCAAAAATTTAGGAAGCTAACTGTAAAATCACATTTTCATGGGGTCAAATATTCTTGGTTTGAGGAAAAACTTTGGTTCTTTTGATTTTGAGGATTATTTAGAAAACAACATTTCTAGATGGCCAAGAATTTGTGGGTCTCTTCATACCTCAATAACAAAAAATTAAAACCCCACATAAATGTGTAATTTCACAGTATCTAGAAAACAAGCAGCACTTGTATAAACTGTGTTAAATCTTAAAATTTATATTAATCTACAAACGGTAGGAACTATTTAGCATGAATAGAAAAAGATGTTTTAAGACTGAAATGCATGAAATACTAAATTACTTGTTTGATGTGCTGTAGGGATCCAGGGCCTGTTTCTTGAGAGACATACCTTTTTCAGCCATTTATTTCCCAGCTTATGCAAACACGAAGAAAGCATTGGCTGATGAGAATGGCTACAATTCCTGGGGAACACTGCTTCTGTCTGCCACAATAGCAGGTATCTCAACAACAATGTATCCATAACTAAAAGGCATATACATGTACATGTAATGAAATGTTTGAATTTTAGAAGTAATTGAAGTTACCAAAATGTTGTTGATTGTAAAAATCAGTCTTAGTTCTCATACAGTATAGTGGACAAGCACTGGTCAGATAAACAAAAGCTGATACTTTGATAATCTGTATGTAGGTATGCCTGCTGCTGCTATCCCTACACCAGCGGATGTAATCAAAACCAGATTGCAGGTGCAGGCTAGAACGGGGCAGACAGCGTATAATGGAGTCATAGACTGTATACGCAAAATCTACAAAGAGGAGGGAGGCTGGGCCTTCTGGAAGGGGACACCAGGTAAGGAATCTGTGACACAGCTGTCTCACGAGGTCTAGTAGGGGTTATACAGGAGATGCTTAGTAAGAAATCTGTCCAAGTTCTAGTAGGGATTAATTACTGTAGAAGTACTTTTTTCCGCGTGGTATTAATTTACGCTATGTATGCGGTCACAAATTTTCCGCGGAAATTTGTACAAGCATTCTTAATATAAATGCAAGGCATATAGTGGCAGTCTGAGAAATCCGCATAATTTTCAACCTGCTGATTAAACGGAAATTGAGATTCCGCGGAATTATGACCCTATGGAAAAAAAAGTATGTCTACAGTATACAGGGGACACCTGGTGAGAATTCTTATACAGCTTTTAGAAAAGGTCTAGTAGGGTTATACATCATTAAGGCTGGTTGTATTAAATATTTGAATTCAGTCTGAGTTACGGAAATCATACATAATTTGCTGTTAAAAAATGATTGCACATTAAGTCAGAATGATATGTAAGGTTTATTTTCAATCTTTAGCTGTTTTGATCTTCTGCCACAGGTAATATTAATTGTTTCCATCATGCATGATTAGAGAGTTATTTTAGCAGAGTTAAATTTGTTTCTGTAATATTTAGTTTTTTGAACACATTTTATTTAAATTTATTTGATACTTATTTAGACATTGATTTTTGTGTTTGTTTACAGCCCGTGTGTTTAGATCCTCCCCCCAGTTTGGTGTGACACTGCTGACCTATGAAGTTCTCCAGAGATTGTTCTATGTGGACTTTGGTGGAAGGTAAGAACAGCATGTATAAATGTTGTAAATAATCATGATTAATGTTTTTAACTCTGTAAATATTTGGAAGAAAGTTTTAATTTTGCCCATTTAAATGCATGTGCCTGTTTACTTGCCAAGACGAGATTCTGAAACACTTGGCCGTTCAGATTGTCTTGGAGGCTAAGTGTTAGAAAAAGATAATTATGCTTAAATACAGATTTCTGAGGTGAGTGCATAGTCTTTGCTATGTTAGAACCAGATATCTATGAAAAGATTACCTTGATAGTTACATGAGATATTTCTGTTTCAGACGTCCCGAGGGATCGGAGCCTCAGGCCACTCAGCTGGAGAAGCAGCTCTCGCGTAACCCGGATCACATCGGTGGCTACAGGCTGGCTCTGGCCACATTTAATGGAATGGAATCCAAGTTTGGACTGTGTCTACCCAAATTCAAAAGCTCAATACAAACATGATCCGAAGGATATTAGGTTGTTTTTTCACAAAGAATTAGTTATTTTATTTTAAAATTAGGATAGGTGTTGAACCATTCCTTACATCCCTGTGTGTTATCTACAGATAGACAGACGTGTCTATTGTGTGTTATCTACAGATAGACAAACTTGTCTACTGTTTTTATATTGTTGCTATTTATAGATTTGTTGACTATGTTATTGAAATGTTGAATGAGGTAAATGGGTGAAAATTGAAATAAGAAGGTAATGATTATATTTCCAGTTGGTTTCTTTTCTAGATTTGACTGCAAAATTGTGATTTTATGGACCTTATAGACATAAGAAAATTTATTTTTGTGACAGTCCAAAACTGATGATATAAAATTATATTTTGCCAGTATGTGTACATTTAGTTAACCAGTAGCTCAAATTGAAAAGCTTACCCACAATTGAAATGTATATTGTTATCTTGGTTTTTATTTCCATGTAATGGGATGTGTCAAAGGAATGCATCAGTCCTTTTTGAATGTAAGGTCTCGACTTTGATTTAAATGCCCACTTCTTTGGATGTTGCCAAGATTTTTATTTGGCATACAAAATTCAAAGTACCCCAAAATGTATTATAGTACATGTAGATGCTGTAATTTATTTTCTGCTAAAGTGCTATTATAGAATCAGTATTGCTAAAGGTTTACCATAGCTTGCATTTTTTGAGTTATTGTATGATAGATGGAATATATGATTTGAAGTAAATGAGACACTACATTTTATTATGCTTAAAGCAGAGAGGGGAGGGGGGTTATAGTAAGTATACTAGGTATTTTTTTCTCTGTAAAGTGAAAAGTATGAATGGTGATGAGCCATCTCCCTCAAGTTAACAGTATGGTACAGTCTAGTGCATCTATTTGCATGCACAATGTACATATACAAAAACATCTTACTAGATAAAATGGAGATTTGCAAAAACAGTGAATAAACTTTATTATTTAATTGAAATAAAGTCGTAGATTTGAGCTGGAAAAACTCTGAGCTGCATCTGAAGCAAAAAGTAAATTTCCCATTACATGTATGTTCCAAGTTTAAAGATTTACTTAAGAACTGGGTATTGACTTTAAACTATCATCATTATATGTAGTCAATTAAATGTTTCAATACAGAAGCATAAATCTCTTGAGGGTAAGTGGTGTTTATGGAATTTATTTTATTTTAAACAATATGCATTTTCAATAGTATTTTCATGATATTTTTGGAGGGCCTTAAATATTCTGTGTGTTTGGGTATTTGTTTGATTTTATGAACACTCAAGTTAATTGCATAAAAAACGAGTCAAAATCATTGAAGGTTTTAAACAAAAATGTTAACATATTGTAAAAGTGCCATTAATAGCACTACCAAGTTATTTTCCAGATATTTGTGTGACAAACTGGACTCAGATAAAAGGTATGGCGTGAAAAGAAACGGTTTTGCTTTGTTTTTAGATATATCTTGTATCTTGAATATATATGTACTGATTTTCTAAGAAACCTTATTAGTACCCTAATTTGTTCACGTGGAAAATCAGAAAAGATAGAAGTCTTTGATAAAGAATGACAAAATTAAAATATCCTCTCTTGATCTTGAAAAATTTTATTTAAAATAAGATTTCTTGTAGAAATGAATGTAATTATTTTTTGATTTTGAACAACTTGGTCCTGATAAAGGGGCTAGAGCTTCTTGTCAGGTCGAGTTTTAGTAGAGAATAAAACAGGAAATTTTCTTTACCCATAGCTCGTATCGGGCATCATTTCACATTGTTATTTGCTAGTCGTATACTTCCTGACATCAGCAAGATGTAGAGAAGATTATTTTAAATATGAAATATCTGGTACCTTTGGGTATGTAGTTTGGTATATTTAACAGTTCATGTGAATGAACATTGAAAAAAAAAATGAATTGTGAAATGTACTTTTTTTTCTATTCACAAAGTTGAAATGAAATGAACTAAAGACATGCATAATTCAAATTCATTTTCTGAAACTTCCAATCAGAATGATATTCTTTTATTAGTTTTTGTTAGTTTCATATACATATAATAAATAGTCAGATTTTGAGTAAACTGACTTACATAAAGTCTCCACAAATCTAGTTTTCTTTATTAACTTTCACTTGAGTATTAAAGCAATCAGTATACGGTAAAACTTGGTTATAACGAAGTCGTAGGGACCTGTGAAATTACTTCGCTATATCCGTAATTTGTTATATCCCTATAAGGAATTCGTTAAATTTTTATAGCTAGGGATCCTAGATACCTTTGCTATGTCCGTGAATTTGAAATATCCGTGTTCGTACTAAACGAGTTTTACTGTATATCACAAGCTTGATTCTGCACCAACTTTTGAAGTAATTTGCCATAATGTGAACTGCTTTATACTAGGCAACTATCAGTTTTTCCAATTATTTATTTTTATACGTAGTCATAAAATAGTTTTAAATTTGATCTTGCTCCCAAACACTCCAAGAGTTGAAGAATGTAAATTCCATGAATGGTTTTGATACTCAATGCTTATTGTACATCATTGCCATGTTTTATTGTTTGCTGTCTAGAGTAAATATGGTACTGAAGTGATATATAAATACAAAAAGGACAGAAATATGAAAGAATAATAAATAATTTTATATGTTTTCATGACATGGTTTTGTTTTTATTTGAGCTATAGGATATTTTACGGATTTCATCCCTTGAAAATTTTTACAGCAGTGTTGTACATTCTTCATGTTCTTGTCTTGGAGTATAATCTCCATGGGATGTGCATTGACCATAGATCATTCAGAAATGTGTTTTACGCAGGTAATGATCACCTTAATACTTTGCAGCATCTTTTATTGATGTTTCAGCAAGCTTCTGGCACTAAATTGTTGCACCATGTCGGCAGATTTTCAGGACTTGCTACATTAAGATGTAAACAAAGCATTTTGCTATCTGTTTTTGTCGTGCGTTGTGCGTCGTGCGTTAACATTTAAACATTTTCAGCTTCTTCTCTGAAACCACTGAACCAATTTCAACCAAATTTGGCATATAGCATCTATGGGTGAAGGGGAACAAAAATTGTGAATTTCATGGTCCCTGCCCCCCTGGGGCCTGGGGGGGTGGGGCAAAAACCACTAAAATTAGTGCAATCTTTAAAAATCTTCTTCTTTACCCCCAGACATCAAGCATTCAAACTGTTGGTATGATTGTAATCAGCATTGAGTCCTCTACCAAAATTGTGAAATTCATGGCCCCAGGGTCAGGGGTTCTGGTGTTAGGGCGGGGCTTTATTGATTATATAGGGAAAATGGATTAATTCAAAAATCTTCTCTGCTCCTGGGTATTTAATAAACTAATTAAGTTCATAGTTATGATGAGCAAGAATGCCTCTACCAAAATTGTGAATTTTATGGCCCCAGGGTCAGGGGTTCTGGTGTTAGGGCGGGGCTCTATTGATTATATAGTGAAAATGCATTAAATCTTTGAAAATCTTCTTCTCTGCTCCTGGGTATTTAATAAAATAACTAAGTACATAATTATGATGAGCAAGAATGCCTCTTCTAAAATTGTAAATTTCATGGCCCAATGGGTTGGGGGTTCTGGTGTTAGGGCGGGGCTTTATTGATTATATAGTGAAAATGCATTAATTCTTTGAAAATCTTCTTCTCTGCTCCTGGGTATTTAATAAACTAATTAAGTTCATAGTTATGATGAGCAAGAGTGCCTCTACCAAAATTGTGAATTTTATGGCCCCAGGGTCAGGGGTTCTGGTGTTAGGGCAGGGCTCTATTGATTATATAGTGAAAATGCTTTAAATCTTTGAAAATCTTCTTCTCTGCTACTAGGTATTAAATAAACTAAGTACATAGTTATGATGAGCAAGAGTGCCTCTACCAAAATTGTGAAATTCAGGGCCCCAGGGTCAGGGGTTCTGGTGTTAGGGTGGGGCTCTATTGAATATATAGAGAAAATGCATTAAATCTTTGAAAATCTTTTTCTCTGTTCCTGAGTATTTGATAAACTTACTAAGTACGTAATTATGATGAGCAAGAGTGCCTCTACCAAAATTGTGAAATTCATGGCCCAAGGGTCAGGGGTTCTGGTGTTAGGGCGGGGCTCTATTGATTATATAGTGAAAATGCATTAAATCTTTGAAAATCTTCTTCTCTGCTCCTGGGTATTAAATAAACTAATTAAGTTCATAGTTATTATAAGCAAGAAAGCCTCTACCAAAATTGTGAATTTTATGGCCCCAGGGTCAGGGGTTATGGTGTTAGGGCGGGGCTCTATTGATTATATAGTGAAAATGCATTATTTCTTTGAAAATCTTCTTCTCTGTTCCTGAGTATTAAATAAACTAATTAAGTTCATAGTTATGATGAGCAAGAGTACCTCTACTAAAATTGTGAAATTCATGGCCCCAGGGTTAGGGGTTATGGTGTTAGGGCAGGGCTCTATTGATTATATAGTGAAAATGCATTAAATCTTTGAAAATCTTCTTCTCTGCTACTAGGTATTAAATAAACTAACTAAGTACATAGTTATGATGAGCAAGAATGCCTCTACCAAAAATGTGAAATTCAGGGCCCCAGGGTCAGGGGTTCTGGTGTTAGGGTGGGGCTCTATTGAATATATAGAGAAAATGCATTAAATCTTTGAAAATCTTCTTCTCTGTTCCTGAGTATTTGATAAACTTATTAAGTACATAATTATGATGAGCAAGAGTGCCTCTACCAAAATTGTGAAATTCATGGCCCCAGGGTCAGCGGTTCTGGTGTTAGGGCGGGGCTCTATTGATTATATAGTGAAAATGCATTAAATCTTTGAAAATCTTCTTTTCTGCTTCTGAGTATTAAATAATCTAATTAAGGACATAATTATGATGAGCAAGAGTGCCTCTACCAAAATTGTGAAATTTATGGCCCCAGGGTCAGGGATTATGGTGTTAGGATGTGCCTCTATAACGATTATATGGTAAAAATACATTACATCTATGAAAATTTTTTTCTCTACTCCTGGGTAATAAGCAAAATGAACTATTAACATAGTTATGATGGGATGGGCTCTTCTTCCAGAATTGTGAATTTCAATGCCCCTGGGTCTGAGATACCAAAATGGGGAGGGGGGGCTCTACTTATATACTGAAAAAGAATTGTTTGAAATCTGCTCCTTGGTATTAATCAAACATTTTTGATAAGCAAGTGTGCCTTTTCAAAAATTGTGCAATGTGTAGACCTAGGGTCAGGAGTTCATATGTGGTAGGAGAACTCTTGATTATTGCTGAATATTACTGATTAGTTGACATACTTTTTTGTTTGCCTACCCTGCTTATCCATATTAAGTAAACAAACTAAACAATTGCTAAGTGTATAATTATGATTAGCAATGGTGCCTCTTTCAGAATTGTGAATGCCATAGCATCTAGCTTAAAACATGAACCAAATTCAATCATTTGAAAGTTGTTGCATGATGCTCAGGTGACCTATAAGGCCCATGGGCCTCTTGTACTTTGATGAATTTGATTGCTCAAAATAGGACCCATGAAAATAACTTTGAAAATGCTTCTGTGAGTGAAATATGGATAAGGGGAGAGAAGATATGCTCCAGACAAGGATTTTTCATATAATTCTGCTTTGACCCTAACCTTAGACCTTGAAACATGTTTCAAGGTCACCGCACACCCTTTACCCAAAGACACTCGGTCTGTGAAGTATGAGTCAGATTGGGCTCAGGGGAGAGAAGTTATGCTCCGGACAAGAGAGAGCAGAAGGACGGATAGCCAGACTAATCACTATGGGTCGCCCGCAGAGCGGGGCCCTTGTAATGAATATGGCTGGGGCATATAGTGTTTGTCATGTCCGTCTTCTGTCTTTCCATCACACTGCCTTTAGCTCATTTCAAAACTAAGTTTCAAAGAAACTATCCAAGATATTTTCATCAAACTTCATATGCTGATAGATATTGATGAAAGCCATGCAACTGCATCAATATTTTTTTTACCTTGACCTTTCCTTTGACCTTGATCTCACTATTCTTAAATTAGCATTTAGCTCAGCTCTCTGGTCTGTCAACATATATTTTTTTGGAGAGCTACAGTTCTGCAGCTACATTTTGACCTTGACCACACTTTTCTTAAGACCTTTCATTTGACCTTGACTTCACTTCTATCAAATAGTGTTTAAGTCAGTTTATTGAAGAAATCATTCAAGATATTTTTATCAAACTTCATATGTTGATTCATATTGAAAGATATTCAACTGCATATTCTGATACATACTGATGTAAGCAATTCAACTGCATCACTATTCAAGATATTCTGATCAAATTTCATACACTAATGCAAATTTTCATATTACATTACTAATACACCTTCGGCAGGGCATTCATGTCCTATGGACAAATTTCTAGTTTACTATAGTATAAAGTATGAATTCTCTTTAGAAATTCCTCTTCCTACAAAATGATTTAAACAATTTCCACACAAGAAAGAGATACAAGTGTAACAGTATTTATTGTAGCTTTTCTTTTAGACTGTCCTTGTTATTTTCCATCTCTACGGCCGCCTTCACGCTGTGACTTTGTTCCTCGGACTCGTCCTCGGTATAATCCGTCATCTCCTCGGGATACTTGGGATTGTATCGATGAACCCTGAAGGGTTCCAAGTCCTCTAATCCCACCTCTTCACTCTCGGGTACCTCCTGTTTCCACGTGTGGAGGAAGGAGAAGCCTTTCTTCTTCCACTCCGGTGTAACTTTACCCGCAATCCTCCATCTCCCCTCAGTATCCGAGATGTGTTTTTCAAACACAACATACTCCAGTACATAGCGAGGCTGTTCCCGATCACCGTACGTCAGTCTACCAAAGCGGTTATAAATAGCGAGTTTCTGAAAATATATTACAGAAAAAATATTACCCCCAAAACTTGTAGAAGACTCTACTTAGCTCTAGGTACCACATCAAGTTTACAAATGATGGTATTGCATCTTCAAACATAACGTCCATGACCCACAAGTCTCATCTGAGTCACCTAAGTTTTTCTTCCTAACAAACACACTGTACATGTGTACATACAAATTAAAATGAAATCCCTCATTGTGACCATCACCTACTATTTCAGCAGTTAATCAATTTTTTAGTTTACTGAGGCTCATTATTTGTATGGAATCTTCTACTTATTTTGAAAATCTTTCCTCTCCTAATACAGCCCATCTCTAACCCTAAGATAACTATACATTATTTAAGCATTGAATTCATATTTTTGGCTGTCTTCATTATGATAAATTTGTCGGCACGGCCAGGTGTGTTATAGGACCGAAGACAGACAAATATATGAAATCAATGTGCTTATTTCGTTAACATTTAATGTGAATTTAGCGCCCTTCATAACTAACGTGGTTAATAGACGTAAGAGCCGTTTGTGACGTCAGATGACGTTAAGTGACGTTGCAAAGTTAAATTACGCAAACAAACATTGCGATTAAAAAAGTGACAAATTAATTCTTAACGCACATTACGTTAATTTCTACGTTAATTTTTCAGGGTTGTAGTTTTTCAGTAAATTGAAATAAAACATTTTACATTGTGGTGTTTGTAGAGTATTGAAAATGCATATAGTTCCTACTGTGTATTCTAACGCGCGGTGACAAGGTTTCGCGTGTGTTATAGAAATTTGAACATCGTGGATTTCTAATGGATTTGATAAGGAAAATTATACTGAATGTAAATATAAAGGAATGTTACATATTCTGTGAATACGGTTAATATAAAGCATTTTGCTCTTCTGACAGTACAAAATATTTGATTACACTTTATTTTCCCCCTAGGTATCAATTTCCATCAGAAACTATGACCCCCTTCAACAAAAGGATTGCATAAAATGAAAATTACAGTATAGGACAGTTGCACTGGCTTACCTGTAAGGTGTGAAATCGGACGGTAATCTGAGCGTAGGTGTTATCCTTGACCAGTAAATCTCCGCCCGCTACGTTGACTATTCTAGGCTGTTCCATCGACTCGATAAACTCCCACTGTAGAGTCTTGTCATACATGCCATTCGTCATTTGCTAAAAGTGAAAACATTTCAAAATTTGAAACAGAAATTACATGTATGAGTAAAACAAAATATTCATTGCACCAGATACACATGATTGACGATGCAGATTTTTAAAGCTTATAAATGCTGACTTTATAAGGAAGAGAATTTTTTAATTGATAAAGAAACAACATTTCAAATAATAAAATGTTAGAGATAAATTACCCCAAAAACATCCTGAGTTACATATTCCAGTAATTCCTCATCATCTTCTCTGATCCTACAAACAGCCAAAACAACCAGAATAACTCGAGAATACACAATCTCAAAATCTCCTAACTAAGGACAGGCACATCCTACACATCTATTGAACATCAATGAATTACTAAAACAGTAAATACAGGACAGGCACATCCTACACATCTACTGAACATCAATGAATTACTAAAACAGTAAATACAGGACAGGCACATCCTACACATCTACTGAACATCAATGAATTACTAAAACAGTAAATACAGGACAGGCACATCCTACACATCTATTGAACATCAATGAATTACTAAAACAGTAAATACAGGACAGGCACATCCTACACATCTATTGAACATCAATGAATTACTAAAACAGTAAATACAGGACAGGCACATCCTACACATCTATTGAACATCAATGAATTACTAAAACAGTAAATACAGGACAGGCACATCCTACACATCTATTGAACATCAATGAATTACTAAAACAGTAAATACAGGACAGGCACATCCTACACATCTATTGAACATCAATGAATTACTAAAACAGCAGAGGGGTCTTGCTCCTCCGATTTCATAACGGTGTAGATATTCCAGTTGAATTTTGATATCTCTAACACTGATATCTTGAATATCATGGATATGTCAAAGTGATTTGGATGTCCCAACTGATACACATTAGTTTTTTATCCTTTAAGTAGTTTATATCTCAAGTCCTCAAATATCTCTAAGTATTTTTTTTGTTCTCATCGATTTAGAAATATAGAGGATATCTGTATTGTGTGATTTGATATTGGCTTTATCCAACGAGTTGAAATGGTGTATATATTCGTGAGGCTTGCCGAGCGAATATACACCATTTCAAAGAGTTGGATAAAGCCAATATCAAATCACACAATTATAGATGTTCTATTTATCTCATACAACTTTCGTTTTAACAAAACTTTGAGACTTCCCCTGCGAAACTACATGAATCACTGCCAATTCAAATTGATGACGTATAACTTGATGACGTAGCACCGTTGATGTTTACATGCCTCCGAGAGAAAATAGATCGAGTTCAAAATTTAGAATTTTTGCTATCTGCATCCTTGAAAACATCATGTGACAATTGCTGGGGCTTTACATCTAACGAACTTCTGACTGAAAGTTGTTAGGACTATGGGGATCGTGAAAATCAACTCTTTTTACGATGGCAGTACAAAACGTGCTAGGCAAGGCTAGGGGCCTAGTTGTCTAGATTCATTGCTGATCCATGGTAAGTTACACCTACATTACTAGGTAGGCATACGTAGTATGATATAAGAAAGCATTGTTGAAGATGTCAAAGGAGTCTTATAACAACAACTTAACTGGTAGGCTTTACTTTCTCCGAAACCGATTTAAAGAGGGGGGGGGTAACATCTGTCTTCAAGTAGCCAATACGGGTTCCTTGATAAAATAAGATACTTCTTTGACATATACCAGTCTTTTTCTTGCTTTTAACGATATTATTGCCCTTTATCATTCATTTTATAAGGGCAACAATTTTCACAATTAAAGTTTCAATAAATAAATCTTGAAGCGAGGGATTGCTATTGATAAAGCATCTACCCGTTGATAAAGCATAAATTTATCCAACGGCCTGTATCACCAACACGTATGAGATAAAAAGAGGGCTGACAGTATGCTAAATTCATCATCATTGCATATATTTGCGTTTGTTGATGTGTTAACATGTTCACCTTGCAATAATTTAAAGAAGAGTTTGTTAGTAGTTAAACATGTTCAACTTGCGATACATTTATCTGAGTTTTTTTGATGTGTTAACAGGTTTACCTTGCTATACATTTATGAGCTGTAATATAGATGTGGTGACCCGGTATATTATATTCCTCATTACATTTCAGAGTTCTTTGATAGTTTAACATGTTTACCTTGCGATACATTTATGAGCTGTAAAATAGATATGGTGAGCCTGTATATTATATTCATCATTACATTTACCAGGTATTTGAGTTTGTTGATTTGTTAACGTTTACCTTGCGATACATTTATGAGCTGTAATATAGATATGGTGAGCCTGGGCCAGGAATTCCTTCTGGTTATGTCCTTTATCAAACTTCTTAATGATCCTTGTAAATCTTATATTGCTGATTTTAGCACGTGTTCGCTTTCTGAATTCTTCAAATGACTGCAAAAAAAAAAATAATAAAAATAATAATAATTGTACATATTATAATGTAGAGAATGGACCAGGTACAATTAATAATTTGATACTTAGTCTCGTAAATCAAGCAGTTTTAAAAAAACAAAATATGACGTGAATGAAATATTCAAGTCGTTATAATCTTCCAAACTCTCTTACAGAGAATGATCCTTGGAATGCTAGGAATTAGCAATATAGGACAATATAGAACATTGACCTGAAAGCTTACCTCTTTTTCACTCAGAGATTTTCTGACATCTTTTTCCATCGGAATATAGGGGTTCATAATACTTCCTATAAAACAGAGGGCAGATGTAATTGACTATAACTAAAAATAAAAAGTTTACACTGGAGGTTAAACCTGTGACATTCCTGTAGTGAATGATAATGAAAACATATATATTTATTTATGGGAAAAAATTCTGTTTTACTATGTAATTCCAGCATGAGCTCATTCTAACATCACACAGCTCTAACTCAACCCATTCCAATATTACAGTCATACTCAGATAACAATTAATTCCAACTTTAAAGCTCTATCTCAGATATATCAACTCTTTTCAACACTACAGCTCCAACTAAGATATATCAACTAATCCCAACATTACAGCTCTTACACAGATATATCAAATCAATCCAACATCGCAACTAAATCTCAGATATATCAACTCTTTTCAACATTGCAGCTCTATCTCAGATATATCAACTCATTTCAACACTACAGCTCCAACTAAGATATATCAACTTATCCCAACATTACAGCTCTTACACAGATATATCAAATCAATCCAACATCACAACTAAATCTCAGATATATCAACTCATTTCAACATCATACTTGTAGCTCTATCTTTAATTTATCAACTCATTTCAACATCACATTCTATCTCAGATATATCAACTCATTCCAACACTTCAGCTGTAACTCAGATATATAAACTCAATCCAAAATCAAAACTAAATTTCTGATATATCAACTCAATCCAACATTACAGTTTTATCTCTGATATATCAACTCAATCCAACATTACAGTTCTATCTCTGATATATCAAGTCATTTCAACACCATAGTTCTATCTTTGATTTATCAAATCATTCCAACATCACAGCTCAAGCTCAGATATATCAACTCATTCTAACATCACAACTAAATCTCAGATATATCACTTACTTCAACATCACAGCTCTATCTCACATACACTTGTATATCAACTCATTCCAACACCACAGCTCTAACTAAGATATATCAAAGTTCTATCTCAGATATATCAACTCAATCCAACATTTCAGCTCTATCTAAGATATATCAAGTCATTCAAACATCACAGCTATATCTCAGATATATTAACTCAATCTAACATTACAGCTCTATTTCACTCATTAATTTCAGATACACTTGTATATCAAATCATTACAACATCAAAGCTCTTTCTCAGATATATCAACTCATTCTATGTCACAGCTCTATTTCAGATATTTCAACTCAATCCAACATCATGGCTTAATCTCAGATATACATGATATATCAACTCATTCAAGCTTATTTCAAGATAACATCTCCAACTCAAGTATGTCACCAATCTTACCAACAGATGTGATAGCTATTTCCTTGGTTTTTGTATATATGCGGGTTGGTTCTTTCACAAGATGTGGGTGTGGCTTTTCCTCTATCTTAAAAATTAAAAATAATGAATTGCAAGATTTAAAAAAAATTATTATTTATTATTATTATTAATTGTCAAGTTCCGTGCATTTTTGTCAAGATTACACTTGTATATATATTACTCTGTATCATTTAAGTGTAACAATTTCATAAACTGTTAGCTATATAGAAGTTAAACAAATAAAAAATATGATTTCACAAACCACAAAATGGCCCTCATACAGAGCAGAAAAAATATTTTCTACTGAACATGCTGAATAAATATAATGATATATATTAACAGTATCAGCTTCCAAATTAAGAGAATTTCTGAACTTACAAATTCCCACATCTGTTTCATGGTTTTTCTGGTCCTGTGTTTTTTAAATTTGACGTTTGGATTAGGGTGGATATGTGGGGATGTGAACTTATATCGTTCATGGCTTTTCATACAATTAACAACTGCTGTGTGCTGTAAAATTTTGACAGATGTAGCCAGTCTGCACAGGTCACCGCGACACAGAAACTGAAAATAAAGACAGTACATGTACTTTAAACACAATTCATTTGAATGTAACTGAATTAAAATAATTCATAATGCATTTCATTCATTATTTACTTGATAATCATATTTTCTAACAATGTCTCTATATTACAAAAAAAAGTTACAATGATTTATGCATTAATTACCCTTAGCCTTTGTTATTGAAAAATAATTATTAAGGTGCTCATTACCCATTGTTTCAAAGTTAAATTTTCCTAAAGTTGCATCTTCTACATTAATTGTGTCAATGTTGAAATATCAGCCAACACTCTAGCTGCAGAGCTGTAGCTCTCTGCTTGAGAAAATCAGGACAGATAAAGCAGAGAGCTACAGATCTAAGCCTTGTAAAATCCTTCAATTCATGCCACCGATTTTTTTGTCACTACTTTAGGTATTATTTTTTGTAGTTTAATATTTCCCTGGCTTTTAGAATTCTTTCATATAATTAATCATTAATTTAACTCTTATTTTTGAAACATAATTGACCTTTACGGTCCGAAACAGTCCTGTACATGTATATAGTTTTGTAATGTCGGTTTAAAAGAGTCAGATTTCGATGTCTGTAACCACAAACGGCCTTTTGGTAGCATTAAAATGCCTCTTATATGTATATGATTAATTATTAAATACTATTTTTTAAAGCTGGGGAATGTAAAAAATACAAGAAATAATAACAGAAAAGAGCGACAAAAAAAAATCAGCGGCGTAAATCAAAGGTTTTTACAATGCATTAATCTGTAGCTCTCTGCAATATCTGTCAGAATTTTCTCAAGCACATCAAGAGCTACGTTCTGAAGCTACCAACACCAGGGACCTATATACTAACGGGATAGGCAACTCCTTCATTGCCATGTTTATCTACCCAAAACATCACGCACAACACTACAAGTTTTTCAATTTACGTTTATTCCCAGTAAACAGGGTGTTTTCTGATTATTACCATTTATTCCTTTTATGTATTGGAATTGATTTATTAATAAATTTTAAAGCATAATAAAAGTACAATTTAAATATAAAGAAAACAAACACCGAAATCGGCAATGGCCGATCGGGGCATGTGCTGATTTTACATAAAACAAAATTACTATTAAGATAAGGAGTATAATATGTGCTAAAAACAAATCTTGAATGATTTTTTGACAGATATTTGAAGGATTTAATCTCAAATATGCGATAGCTTTAGAGATATAATTAATTAAAGCTGACTTACGAAATCCCGCGACTTATGAGATATTGCGAGACTTGCGGCAGTTGCCTATCCTATTAGTATATAGGTCCCTGCCAACACTCAACATTGAAAATATATGACCTTCAAAATTGTTTCAACGTTGCAGTATATAATTTAATATATTGAAGAAAATACAACATTGAAAATATGCTGCAGCTTCAATGTTGTTTCAATGATGTAAAAAGATAGGGGATTTAATGTTGAAACCTCTACATTGAATCATTAACATGATTAATGTTATTCAACGTTGCAATTAACTTAATTACATCGGATTCCACCTATAGCTACGTTCAACATTGAAATGTTGTGTGCCTGCTGAGCTAAAGCAACACTACATATTAGCACGTTTTCAGGGTATCGATGAAGCAACTTTTAAAGTGTATTAAATGCAGATTCATTTTTTTCAAATTACATTTTTCATACATGTCTACATGATGTAGAATTCCTCATCTTTTAGCTAGTTAATTAAATATACTGAAACAATCATAAAATATTTTAATAATAATCAATTCAGAGACATGCATACGATACCTATTACTAAATTATTTCCATGATTACTCAAAATTTGTATATCGTAATCCTGTCCCTCGTCAGATCGAATTTCCTCTACAAATTTTTCAAATAATTGTTTTATTGAATATTCCGTTATTTTTTCCAAGATAAACTGTTTCGCACAAACTAATTTTTATTAAATTGTATAATTGGAATGATTAATTTTATGCTATAGTAATTAGATAAACTAAAAAAAAAAATAACATAAAATTTGTTTACCATGCCCAATGCTCTTGGTGTCGCCATTTTCAGTATTCCAAGCCCGACGTAAATTAAATTTGCTACAAACCTTTATAGCTCACCTGACCCAAGACTCGAATCTAAGTGTCTTGCCACAGTCTGTCCTTTTTTACAAAGTTAACTTTTGGTAGAGGAATGACTTCACAATAACCTGACATTGTGATATTGTGTTCTGTTTCCTGAACTTCTATATTTATTCAAGTTCTTCTCCATGCATGCAGACCATAAGTGAATTGAGAGTTGGCATGACCATCAATTTTATCAAAAATTTCAATAAAAAAATATAAATGTTATATTTTTATAATTTAACAGGCCATTAATTTTTTACCTTACTGAAAATTTGAAATTAATAAGTATGCCAAATCCTGATTTACAAGTTGCCATATCAAGGACATGTGCTTCAAGGTTCTTTGCAAAGCTCCATAAATTACTTCTAATTTCATATCATGTTAATAAACACTGGTATCAAAAAATGCTTTTTCGGGATAAAAATTTCTACTTTTAATTAGACCTTTCTGAGAAGTTCAAAGAACCTTGAAGCACATTGAAAGGCATATAATAAAAATTGTTGCATGAAAAAATTTAATTTTCAAGCTTCATTTAAAGACTTTTTGAATTAAATTATAAATTAAAGAGTTGTCCTTCCTGGCTGAGGGTCGAAGTCCGTTAAAAACTCTATACTTCACAGATATAAAGTCTTCTCCCTTTTATTTCACAGTTAGTGAAAGGGGTTGTTGTGGTATCTACATAATACATGTGAGTTTTTTTCCCCCGCCAGTCAGAAAGGCCCAAGAAGGTTTAATTGCCCCCAAAAGACAATTTTTTACTTCTTCACAAAGATTATTATTTTCAAGATAAGGCAGATATACATGTAAATACATTTATTAATTCAATAATTTAATAGTCGTGACATAATATATACAACACTGATAGACAAAATATACATTGAAAGATTGATGTGTCTCTGTAGCATGATCACAGGTCATTAGAATAAAACAATATATACATCAGGGAAGCCACCATCTCTTGCTTTCAGACAAGCAGATCTATAAAGACAATATTGTGTCCGTTACAGTTCATCATGATCACAGTTTATCACGATAAAACAGTTTATAAATAGCCTCGGAGAAGATTGGATTACATTGTCCCTTCCTTTTACAGGAAGCTTTGTGAGAGACCTTGAAGAATCGATCTGTAAAATGGCCGGATTGTCTTCTCCAGATTTAGATATCAGGATCCTGAAAAAAAGAAAAGAAAATGTGATCATCTTAGATACATTTAGGTACTAGTACTAAACAAATAAAAACTTGTGTTCAGTAAAACTTAATCGGCTGAAATCTAGAAGATTTAAAATATTTCACACTGTATTGTTGTGTATACTCAATTAAGATAAGTACAGTAGATTGGCTTTTAAATTACTATATTCATTTTCATTCAAATTTGATCCCCTGACAATATCAAGGTCACTGAGAATCATATCTCTCATTTCGTATCCTGAAGGATTAGAAGTGAGTATACTGTCTTGATATTATTTATGCATTATTATTTTGAACAGACCTAAGAAAAACTTTTGTGAAAAAAAAGCTTGAAACTAATACAGTCCATAATTTATGTGATTGATTAAAATGTGCATGCAGCCTTTAAAAAAACATTTTAGCTAGCAATCTAGTATTGGTTCAAAGCAGCCAAGAACTCAAAAGAAAATTACGGTAAATGATGATTGAATATGTACATGTGCAGCAGTGCATTTTAATATATATATTCTATCATAAATCAGTTTAACCTACATTATTCTAAATGAGACACTTATATTTATGTACTTACACAGAATTCATGAAATGCATACAAAGCAAAGAAACAAAAGTTCCATTCAAGCATATGATAATTAAAGTAGCCTCCTTATTACAAAGACATGATGTGAATTTGCAACCAGGGAATTTAATTTGAACAAGTACAGGTAATCACTATAATGTATGATAATTATGTAGTAAGCAAGAGTGTCTTTTGAAATACATGTATGTTATTTATTCCAAAGGATAAGTGCATATTTTAAAAATTTTTATTTATACTATTTTGTGTTAGTGAGGTGCAACTGTGCAATATTGAAAAAAAAAGATATACAATGAAATACATCTTGTCCAATACAAACATTCCCCATCACCCAACAAGTTCTAACCTTCCCTCTTGTGTGTCAGTGAGTTTTGTTACCAGCCACTTTGGATACCAATTTAGGAATGTTCACCAATGTTTTGTTGACCAGTTTCACCCCTTCGTTAGCAAGGCGTGAGTTTGATATGTCTAGAATGTGAAACAAGCATGCACTCAACAAAGCATGCCCACAGAGGTTAACTTAATCAGTGTTTTAATTAGGACAATTAGTTTTTTAATAGGAAATCAGTATGAGGTAAGGGTACTTGAAACTTTCGCGATGTTAAAAAAAATTCAGCACAATTAAGTTGTTTATCTTATATTCAGATGGATAAAGTCTGTAAGAATATATTTGGTAGCATACTCATATTACAAATATTCATTTATGGATTAAAAAATCCTAAATGGAGGGATAATTCTTTATTACAACTAGCATTTTGTCTAGCAAAATCTGTACTGGCTTTTAGTAGCTAATTCTACAACAAGTTAGATATGGCACACTATAGTCTCACAAATGACTTACCCGTAGGAAGTTTATTATCTGTCACCTTATTGACGCTGTTTATTACGGGGTGTTTGATTATGGGATCAGAATCCAGGACTCGAGACAAGTCTGCAATATAACTCACATGATTATAAGGCAAAACATACCCAAAAAAATCATAAATGTAAAACATCAGTAGATATTTCAGCATTTCACTGTTTAAACATAGTCAGAAAAACTAGATTTTCAATACATGTATTAAGTTTAAAGTAATCTCTTCAGCATATAACAAAATACTGCTGGGACCGTAAGATACTAATGGTAGAAATAAATCATAATTATTTATTCTGAAAACTGAATTCCATAGCTGATCAAAGCCAAAATACAGACCTTCAACAATCTGATGATAAGCAAAATGTAGATAAAGCAGAAATAAGAGATGAATGGCTGCCAATGTACAGGCCAGAATTATCTGCTGAGATTTCCCATGAGTTCGTGATGCAATCACTGCTACCTAAAAATGTCAAATCAAGAAAATATTGGAGTAAAACAATGGCACTTTTTCTCCCAGTGAAGAAAAATTTATCTATTAGAAAACACCATAAATCTGCACCAAACTTTACAATCTAATCCCTTCATTGAAGAGTATTAAGAGACATGAAAGGGGATGGAAAGCTTCATTTATAACAACTGAAGCAGCATCCATATTGTTAAGAATCCTCAATAGCCAATCAAATTTTAGGCTCTTCAGTAAATTTAACAGGTATGTGTATAAAATTATTCACAAGAAATTTCGTATTTTGACCCCTGATTTGATACTTGATTCTGTTTGATATATGTTGTAAACATTACCATTTTTAATGTGGACAGTCCTCCAAACACTGCCCATAAGAGATAAAAGAAGAGATGGTCATGTGACGTGTGAATCAGAGTCCCGAGCAGAATGACCACACAGTGACCAGTCAGACCGTAGCCCTGAAAGTTAAAATACACATCAAATTATGACATACAAGTGTAAATTGTGTATATTCTGAAAGTTAAATAACACATCAAATTCTGATACACGTATACCATTACTAACAACAACTTACAAGCAGTGACAACAATACGTACATAAAGTGACAACAACAACTTCCCAGCAGTGACAACAATAAACCAGTACCAGCAGAGACAACAACTTAACAGTAGTGACAATGATACTGTAAACCAGTACAAGCAGTGACAACAACATACAGGTAACTTTCGATACCTCGAAGTCTGCGGGACCGAGGAAAAACTTCGAGAGATCAAGAGTTCAAGTTTTCAAGAGTCCGGAATTTTCCAGGTTTGTTTGACAGGTTTTAAAATTAGTCTTACCTGATGTAATGATTTTCATGCAGTGCTAACTTTTTACAAGTGGTTTTTATAAAACAATTATATATTTTCGTATTTTAGATGAATATTTATTAAACTGAGTAAAGCAAAAAATGTACATCGTCAGTTCATATTCATTTATTTATTCTTTATAATTACGGACATCATACTATGCATTCGTTGTATGAAAACGACATTTTACAGCGTCGCGTGGTACACAGCATTGTGACTTTTCCAAACATATGCACTGAACGAAGTTCTGTAAGTACTAGTATTTATCCAACAATAGTCGTAATATTGATATTGAGGCTGTTTCTGAATTTTCATATTCCATTAAACTTTGACACTGATTCGAAATAAAAATTAAATTTATTAAGTGTTTCGTCTTGTAATCTGCAATTACAATTTCTCAGTGACACCGCATTTCTAAATTATGGTAATACAGTTGATGACAATTATTTTAATAGCATATAGGCAACATAAGATTAATTATAAATCAATTATCACCTTACAGTATAAGTGTCACCTGAATAAACATCCCGTTTCACGAGACCCGCGCCTTCTGCCTGGGGCCATTAAATGTCCAGGTAAAGTTGCTTATTATGTAACTTTGTATACACATAGCCGCTTCAAGGTATCGAGAGTAAATTTCAATAGAATATGCATAGCGGGACTACATTTTGACTTTGAGGGATCAAGGGTTTCGAGAGATCAAGAGTTCGAGAAATCAAGAGTAAATTTGCTTAGTTATATAGGGGAAAAATTTGGGACCGGAGACTCACTTTGAGCGATCAAGAACTTCGAGAGATCGAAGTTCGAGCCATCAAGAGTTACCTGTACTATTACCAGCACTAACAACAACTTACAAGCAGTGACAATGATACCAGTGCCAGCAATGACAACTACTTACCAGAAGTGACAACAGCTGGATGCTGGTGACATGTGCATTACAAACATAGGAGAGGAACCACATGAGAGCTGACGTCCCCCACCAGTACGTGAAGCACACCCCAAAGGCGGTTCCCATCAGTGTGCCTTCTTCCTGAAATTATTAACACGCCAAGTGAATGCAGAAAAAAACATACAATAGAATTGAAAGCTACATGTATGATTATTTACTGTCATTACCTTTTTTTACACACTGAAAAGAATTTTACACAAGATTTACACAAGAATTTAGCTTTTTGTAGGAGTTTTCTGTGTTTGTGTACCCCTACAAATTAAATATCTTAGGAAGATTATTTGATAATTTCAATCTTACCACTTTGTGTTCTGCAGCTTTCATCTGAAACAGGAGCAAAGCTATCAGTGTGAAGACCACCATTAGAGGTCCATATAATTCTCTGTAGGCTCTCTACAAAAAAAACCCACAATATTATCATAAATACACTGCATGCTTTACAACGTTATCAAACACGTTTCTTTTTATATAAACTTAATAACACAATAGAGTTCTGACGAATCATTTGTTAATACACAAATAAACCTGCCCATGTATACTTTAAAATGATAGTTTCACACAAAATTTACAGCTACAATTCGACAAAAACTCTTACATTTAAATATCTTCAGATCAATACCTGTTTTTCTGATGAAGGCATTCTGGGTATAAATGAATAAACAAGTCTGAAATAAAAAAAGAAAAGAATTCCCAAAATATATTCATCCAATGATGCACCTTACAAAAAGACATATCCTCCCCCTACCCATGTTTATCAAATGAGAGAGTCACCCTCTCCCCAACTCTTATATTTTATTTTCACATAATGATAATTATAAAAAATGGTTCCCTCATTTTACTTGTACATTCTCAAATCTTTCCGTGCACAGAAAGTAAAGTAATATAACAAATATAACACAGCTATATCTCATGTCAATTTTATCAACTGTTTTAATAATAAAACAAGAAACAGCTTTAATTCTAATCCAACCTTGTGCGAACTTCATGAGGTTCCACGTTAAAGTAAGGTCGCAGTATATCAATGTTTCCATACAGGCTCCAGGCACGCTTAGCTTGTTGAGTTCCTGCATTCCATACCTAGAAAAGATACCTAACATATCAAAATCATGTACAAGTGATCATTATGATTATCATTTAAGTTCTTATATGAACCCCTCTCCCTTTCTTCAAGATCTCCACTAAATAATGTAATAATCAAGAAGTTGCTCCTCTGACCGTGATTACCAGAGCAGGAACCCCAGAACCACTTAGAAACTACACACAACTCAGACGAATTCTTACAATCAGCAGCAAGATTAATAAGTGTTTATACCATTTGAGTAACATTGTCTGTCAATCTCTTTCTGGCATCCTCTTCAAAAGTTCTTTCTCTTTTGCTTTCTCTTGGACCTTTGGATACTAAAAATAATGTTGAAATGTTAAATTGGTAATAGACATGACATATCAACACATGTACTAAATATATAGCATATGCTCCAAGGAATCAGCCCATGAAAAAAATTATTCAACAATTTAGTTGCTTTTAATCCCTCTAAGTGCCACATGTAAGTAGGTCATGAGGTGATATATATTGATTAGCTGCAATAATGTAGCCCCCTCTTTTGTTTGGGAGAGGGTCAGATTTAAAAAATTGGAGAGGGCTACATTATTGCAGTATTGATTTGTATAACTTGAATGAACTGAGAGTTTTTAAAACAGAGACATGCTTAACATTAACAGTTTAGACCAAAGATTGGCCTTGACCAAAGATTTTCAGTATTAGCCCTCCCTTGTACTTTGCACTTGATCATGTTGATCAGGTATGTCCAGGGACTTTGATTCCTAGGCCTACATGAAGTTTTTTACCCTAGATCATTGTGCATGTGCTAACAGGATGGGAGACTTCTTTATTGTCATGCTTATTACCCCAAAATGTTGCACAAAACTTTACAGATTTCTTAAACTGCAATTATCCAGTGAAAACTTTGGGTGTATGATAAAATTGTTTGCTTGTTTAACAATATCCGACCTGTTGCTTTTGAAACTGTTGCAGTTGAACAACACACTCGATCATAAAATAATAATGAATGATAAAACAATAATTTAAAAGTTTATTTAATGATTAATGTTTTAGACCCTCCTGGTTTAACCACAGATACTTATATGGCAAACAACAACTAACCATCTGTTTCATAATCTGATCCATCATCTGGGTCATTCACATCACCAAGTTCAATGATGGCAGACTCATTCTGCAAAAAAATATTAAATCATGAAAGAACTGAAATAATATATATGTCTATTTTAAAATGTTAGACAGGCTCCAAGACCATAAACTAAGAGCAGACTTAAGTCAAAAGTAAGATTTTGAATATTTTCATTATTATTCAACGAACATGCTTTAAAACTTGCAGGTTTGTTTAATATTTTGATACAAACATAACTTGAATATTTTTTTTTATATTAAAATTTATTTTAAAAGTTACATTGATTTAAAAATTTTGACTTACGTCTGTTCTCAGTTTATGGTCTTGGGGCCAGGTCTCACACAATCTCTTGATTAAGCTATATAGCTTGAATTAGCTTTATTAATTAAGCTATTCAGAATACTGTCTGTATACACAAGTTAGTGAAGTGCATCACTCGTGAACTGTCATGGCTGCTGAGTAGAGCGACTGGTAAACAAGCATGGGTTTCGCGTTTAATGGGCTATGATGTTGATGTGGATGTAGGCGAAAGCCCTCTCCAGAAAATACCAGAGTAAAAAAAATTGGAGAGGGCTACATTATTGCAGCTAAGTGTTATCAAGTAGCTTAATTAGCCTATAACATGTAGGTAAATAAGGTAAGCTATGTAGGATTGTAGGTAATTCAAGCTACCTAACTCAATGTAATGATGGTACTGGACCCAATAGCTAAATAACAGATCAAGGAATTTTGCTGGAACCTGTTGGATGTTAATCCATGTTTCATGCTATGAAAATAACTTTTATTGGACTATTGGTTGAGGAACATGCTCACATATGGGTAGTCAATCAAGTCATATGACATATTTCTTGAGAATGCATTATTCGTTTCTGTTTAGTATAAAAAATACCTGCTGAGTTGGCCAACCTTGTCCCCTGTCCGCCATGTTAGCTTTCACGAAATTCCGGAATATCAGAAATACAAATAATCAGGGCTAATGGTCCTGAAAATAAAAAAAAAACGTACCAAGAATACTTTCAAAACAAAAATATATCATTAAATAAAATAATTTGTATTGATATTGAACTAGTTATTCACATAAATAATATTCTTTTCAATGTGAAATAGAAATAGGATCCGTTCAACTTTTATTTTCTATTCAAATCGTTTGAGTGTTTGAGAATATGAAACCCAGATATTGAATTTGCTCACATTATATTTACGTAGATCTACTTTCATTTTGACAAATGAACCAAGGCGATTTCAAACATTAAAGCATGTTTGGTCTTATAGTAGCAGGGCGTCTAGTGAGTAGCTTGTTTATACGTTTTTATATCATCAAAAATCACATAAAGACAGAAAGTATTTACCCTTTTGTATGACATTCAAATGTTTTTAATATGTTTTACGGTGTGACCGTTATTCCGTCTGTATTTTAGCTGTGACGTCATACGACGTCACAAAGCTCGTCGGAGCTTACGAACCTTTTAATTTTGTTTTTGTCGATTTGTTTACTGTTTTGATGTTTTGTATTTGTTTACTGTATGTATGACTTGCACCACATGTGGTTTTTGTCAAATTAATTAAAAAAATAAATAAAAAAGTGAATCCTGAAAATACTTATTCTCTTTAGAGAAGTGGACAGGCTTTCACCTACATACAATTCTCTTCTCATTAGCCTTCATGTTAAATTGTGTTGTTATTCTGGAAAACGAAATATGTTTTACGGTGTAACGGTTGGGGCAAGCACAGTCCTATACACAGTTTACAGTTGAGTCATTGATCCACCTCTTCAAACGTCAAACTGCATGAGACACAGTCTAGACTGGGACGTCACACAACTTAGGAATTTACGGAGACTGCTGAGTGTCTCATGATTGAACGAGACTACAGGTCTTGTGTAATATTTAATGAAATACATTGTAGAGTAGAAGAAAATATTTTTTGTCAGGCCATAATAAAAATATTCCTATATTCTCATCCCCGCCCACCCCGATTTTTTACCCTCGCCTCGATTTTTTTTTATTTCTGTTTTTCTTCATCCTAATTCTGATCAGGACCAGTATTCAACTACCACTCAACTTTCATTTTAAATCCCGCAATGTCTGCATGATTTTGACAGCTGAAAAGATGGGAATTGGTTGTGAAGGATTGACAATCAGAGCTCCAGATAAGGTGCGTATTTGCAAAAATACGCATTAAAATTTACAAAATACACATTGAAAATTAAAATAGAGCGTACAATTACACATTAGCAGTCATAGATACGCATTACACCACGAAAGTACTGCGTACAAGTTGAAGAATACAGGTACGACTTACTTAATAATACGATTGAGGTTAACTCAGTGTTTGATTTTTCTCAAAACGAAGTACAGATTTAAAAGCCTTTTAGTGACCAGGAATATTCTCTTAATGACGACGACGATTTCCATTTCGGGAGGAAGAATCGGAGATTTAGATTAAAATCAATTTCTGTGTAGAAAAACTATGCACTTGGCATAACTTTTTTAAATATGGGTTCATAGCCAATTTTTCATCTCTCTCAACTTGCCATATTAACGAAGATTCTTTCAGTTTACTCTTGATACGATATCTTAAATGAAGGACTGAAAAGTTTTTCTGTGTCTCTGACTCTGGTACAGTGTACCTTGACCTACTGTATAATCTTCCTTGTCAAAAAAGAATGCTTCCCAATCTTAGCAAAAAGTATTGTTGGTATTTACAAATTTTAATTAAATAAATGCAGGAACTGACCTTTGAAGTTTTTTCCCTCTTCAAAAATTCGTACTTCGATTACAAGCTCAAAATAAAGGTCAAAACATTTCTATATAAACAAAATACTCTTCAATCAATCTGCTGAAAATCAAAATCTGCATTGATTTGAAAATCAGGGAGTAAATACACTTTGGGGTAAAAAATTATCAGGAGCTCTGGACGATGATGTGAAGTAAAAGATAAATATGAATGGACCTCTACTATGTCTTTTATTCGGGTATTATAGATAAATCTGCACCAATTGACCAGGTCAATAAAAAATCTGCAAAATGGAAAAAATAAAAATTATAAAATAAAAGCCACCCACCAACCTCAATTTTAAAAAAATTTGGATGAGAATCTAGGAATTTTCTTATTATGGCCTTACTTTTAAGCTTTATGCAAATAAAGAAAAGTAAACATATTTTTGTAAAGAACAATTATTCTTGGTCTTCAATTGAATGTTTTAAAAAAATTTTGCATGGAACCTTGGTAGGAAGGAATTCTGAAATTTTTGACAGAAAAATTTGTCTGACTTATGTACAGATTTCATTTTGAATTTCCTCTATTTTTACACGTTAGTCTATTGAGCTCACTTTTTTGCATTTGCTATAGATGTAGAATGGGACAGGTATACATTTCAACAAACATTTCATCTGAAATGTGTCTGATTTTTTGTAACAGATGTGTTAAATTAACAATTTCAACTTAAATACATACAACTGCCACAAGAAAACAAACCTTTATTTGTTCTTAATCCATTTTCACAAATTCTCTACCCCAGATTTAAATTTTGAGCAAGTAACTCTAATGCTAGTAGTAGGACACTTGGAGCTCCTCAGGTGGCTTGTGCCTTGCACACTGAAAGGAGTGTAGATTCATGTTTGTTCAAGAATTGCTGATGGTGGTAGTTTTAAAAATATAGCAATCTTTAAAAATTTGAATCTGGGAGGAAAGATGAGAATTTGTAATCATCCTCAGGTAGTGTAGATTCAAGGTTGTTCAAATCATGACCCCCAGGGGTAGGGTGGGGCCAAATTCACAAAGTTTTACATAGGAATATATAAACAATCTTTAAAAATCTTCAAAAACCACTGGGCCAGAAAGATGAAACAAACTAGGTTTATCGGTTGTAAACTATAGGGTGGGGCCAAAATGGCCTACGGTTTTACATGTAATATATAGTTAACAACGACTTCAAAGCCATGCTATATTTTACATCCGTAAACCATAGTTAACGTGATAATCTATGTTTCACAGTCAAGGGCATCATGGAAACAAGTTATTTTTTAAATGATTTGTTTAACAGTGTGTTAAATTAACAATTTCAACATTTTGCCACAAGAAAACAAACCTTTATTTGTTATCCATTTTCACAAATTCTGCTTTTAAATTTTGAGTAACTCTAATGCTAGTTACTGACACTTTAGCTCCTCAGGTGGCTTGTGCCTTGCACACTGAAAGGAGCTTAGCAGAGTCAGCCAAGAATTGCTGATGGTGGTAGAAAAGCATTATTTGAATCTGGGAATGAGAACTTGTAAATATGGATACTATAGCACGCCAAATTTACAAAAATGAGCTAAACATAGTTTCACAGTCGATAAACTAGGTTTATCTGTTGTAAACTATAGTTTACGGACTGTAAACTATAGTTAACAACGACTTAATCTATATTTTACATCCGTAAACCATAGTTAACACGATAATCTATGTTTCACAACCGTAAACTATACTTAACACAAAACAATACATTTGCGATTGCAAAAAAGATTATGTAAGACTTAGATTTGTAAACTATAGTTTACAAAGATTAGTTAACGAAAATTAGTTTCACGATTTGTGAAAATTGATTAACAACTCTTAACTTGACCCCTGTAAATGTTTACAAATTGTCATTATTTTATCAACAAAATCTATGTTTTTATTAAATATCATCTTATCATTTGTAAACTATAGTTAACATATTAAATATATGATTTTATTAAAAGAAGTACATATATTTACAATTTCGTTATATCATCTTTAATCAGCAGAAAACTCGACATATTTATGTTTTGTAAACTATAGGCATTCTACTTTTTAAGAGTTAACTCAAATGAACCTTTGTTTATCAAATGTGAAACTAGGTTTATAACTCATTTTTGCCCCTGAATTTTCACAACCGTAAACTATACTTAACACTGCAAACAATCATGTAAAGGTTGATTTTCACGATTTGTAAACTAGTTGAGTTTATTTATGTTAATAAAATATGTCACGATTTGTGAAACTATGTATAAACAACATATTTCAGGTAAAATGTTTACAAAGTTGAATCTATGTTTATCAACAAAATCTATGTTTAACGCTTATTACAGGTAAACTTATACATTATAGTTAACAACCGTTTATAGTTTTACAGAAAAAAACATGAAGGCCTGCGAAGTTAAATAGTTTACGGTTTGTAAACTATAGGCGAAAACCTAGTTTATCAAATGTGAAACTAGGTTTATCTCATTTTTGTGAATTTGGCGTGCCATAGGATACACTGCAAACAATATGTAAAGGTTGATTTTCTTGTGACAGTTGAGTTTATTTATGTTAATAAAACATGTCTGTTATGTATAAACAGACATATTTCAGGCAAAATGTTAGTTGAAATGTAGGCCGTCACCGGTTATACATTTTACAATATATCATAACATGATGGCCTGCAAGAGAAATGGCATGTACCAAATGTCACATCTCGGAATTGAAAATATACTTGATTAAATGTTGTTTATATCATGATTATTGGAACTTGCTTGGTAATGCAACTTACATACAATATATCATATGATGTCAGAGTCTAGGCATACCAAATGTCACATGCGGTTTGATTTATTGATTAAATGTTGTTTAACATCCCTCTCGAGAATTTTTCACTCATATAAAGATGCCACCACTTGCGGGTGGAGAGCTACAACTTTTGTCCTCTGTGCGGCACTCAGGGCCAATGAGCAGGGAGGGATCTTTTTCATGCAAGCACCTGCTGCGACATGGGACCTGCGATGTAAGGATCAACTCCTTGCTTAGCTACTCTAAAGCAGACACTCTAACCACTGCGGCATGCGGGCGACTATGCACTTTGAAGAGACAATCTAAATTAAATCTGAATAGGTATCTTAGCTCACCCTAACGGTCAGCATTGTCAACATATTATTCGTCATGGTTTTGGATTCAATGTTTTATACCAACAGGATCAAATACATTGAATCCGAAAAGAAAGTTTCTATTATCATGATTATTATCATAATATTGCAGTACAACAACAACAACAAATATGTATAAGGTTGTCTTAAACCTTTTTATATGTGACAAACAGGAAGGCAAAAGGTCGTCACAGTGGATTTAGTTCCTTGCATTGCTGGAATTAAATCAGCAAGTTATTTTTTCTTGGTCATTTTTCATCGTTATGTACATTTTGCATGTAAATGGAAGTTAATTAAAAAAGAAAATTTCTGTTTTTATTGTCTTTGAAGATAATATTGCAAAACATTATTACTAAAAAAGATATCACAATACACCATATTATATAAAAGATATGTGCACTCACACTGAAGGATAGTTGAAGCTGAATTCACCACTGATTGCATTGTGCAAGTGCTCAGGTGAGCATTGTGCTCTATAGGCCTTTTGTTTAAGAAATGAAGTATGCTCGATTGAGATTGTTTTTTTTTGTTGCATAATGTAATGATGCTTAGTTGAGATCTAGATATCGCTTATCACTAGACCATATTTTTGCTGTCGTCTTGTTTCATACCAATTGTAAGGCCTTTGATTTTATACTGAATTTGACTATGGAATGTTTCATCTACTTGATCAGTACATAAGGGAAAGCTTACTCCTCCTAGGCATCTGATCCCACAACTGGAATTCCAAGTGGTTAGGGTTTTATGATCTCTTTACAGACTTATATTGTTTATAGATCAATCACAATGACTCTTCTTTGTCTTTACCTTTTTATTTTATCTATTTAAAAAAGGAATTACAAGGAATACTTAGTATATATTGAGGGTAGGGTGGGGAAGGCATTTTTAACATTTACATATTTTGTATATTGGTCATGTTGGTCAGTCTTTGATCTCTCACAGAAGATTTCAGCTTTACATGCATTTATTATAATTTACCCAAATTTGTCTTACCCCATGTTCCCTGATTAAAAAATATCAATAATTCTCTGCATATTTCATGTTTCTTACATTTTATGTTTTGGCTCTGTTGTTGTTTCAAAACAGGTATCATACTTAAAAATCTGATGATAAGCCATTTTAAATCTTGGCTTTGCAAATGTGGAAAAAAAAATCCTATCCCTTTTGAAAAATAAATTCCATCTCCAACAACAAAACATTGAGTGCTCTCTATCATATCCAGGTCCAGACTGACGTGACACAGGTATCAGAGAATCAGTTTTTATTCAACATCCCAGATGCAGACGACATCAATCACTTGGTGATCTTTCTGACCGGTCAGATTCCATTCCCTGATGGCCTTGGAGCAGCAGGTAGGTTATTTTTTAGTAGACATAGATTGATACATAAACCTCGAAAGTTCAGCCTTAAATGATCCGGGCCAGGTCAAGTACCTGCCTGTAACACCTAACCAATACACACTGTGTGGTGGGTTATCTTCATCAGTCAAGCAGTGACCAAAATAAACTGCAAGTTTATTTTTATGCCTGAGTCTGAATGCTTTATGTGTCTAAATCTCTGTCTCACTAGTTATCTAAATTTTTCAGTGTATTTTTCCTTCCCTAATCCACAAGGACAGTCCTGGGCCCTGCTGGGGCATATTACCAACACAAAACCAAGTGCAATATTCAAAATCACCAACATCAAAAAAAGTAAGTTACAATAATGCAGCAATGTATCTTTATAGAAAATTAAGGTATATGTTCCAATTGTGCTATTAAGAAGGGATAATTAATTAATGGTTACTTCTCTTGGCATGAATTGCTTGGCCTTGGGGAGGGTTTATTTTTGGTCATGTTACTGAACGGGTTATGAAAGTCACAGGGTCAAGTTATGATTTAAATGCCTATATACAAGAGTACAAAGTATACTTGTTCTCATCTTTGTATACTTTTGGAGATTTGGGTTGTATTATTTGCAAAAGTAGGCAAATTTCTGCAGTTTAAGTAATATTGGAATATTAATTTCTTTTATTTTAATTTTGCTATTCAATTGGCACCATTTTGATAGCTGCCTAAATTATTTTCTTTGGAAGCAACATTTGTCCACAAACAAATTGTCTTCTTTTGTTTTTTAATTTATTTATTATGTTTATTTAGGAAAATGCACAAAGAAATAAAATAAAATTGAGATATGAAATCAAAAAGAAAAAACTCAGTAATCATAAAATCTAAACATTATTGATCTCATTTTGAACAATTACATTTGATTTTTACCTTTTTTTAAAACATGCATTTATTTTTGATAGATTTTATTTTAAAAACCTGGAAGCGAGTTCCACTCCTGAATACCATTACTGACCCTGTTTTTACAATTTTTAGGGACCAAAAAAATTGAGCTTGCTGGATATTGTTGTTTTGGTGTATTGCTTGTAAAAATTTATCTGAAATTTTAGATTAATAAAAAGGACATTTATTTTAAAAATATAGGAAATTGTGGAGACAAAGTTTACAAACATTCAAAAGACCAACGTTTTAAAAACTGTAAAAATTTTTTTATTTGTCTCCAATTTATCATATTTATCATAGAGTGTAAAGCTATTTAATCATGCTAATCTTGAGTTGTTAGCTCATGTTAAAAATCACTGTGTCTTTAAGCATGGGAGAACGTCACAGAGATATAAACTTGAGGATTGGGACCAAGAATTCCTATTCAATGTGCGGCATATCTTAAAATTGTATCAAGTAGTTGTCAGATTCTAAGTAATACCGAGTATTGATCATATTACAGGTTCTATGATAAACGAGAACCCATTCTCCCAGACCATGCCTCACGTTTCACACATGGGTCAGGTGGGGATCTCTGTCGAGCCCCTCACTCAGCTGGCTCAACAGACCCCTGAGGCCGGAACCAATGTCTCCAAAGTAGACTCGTTTGTGGAATTCTCACAGAAAATGCTAGAGAATTTCTTTAATTACGCGACTTCGTTTGCCGTCACTCAGTCTCAGATGACAGCTAATCCTACCGAGGCCTACGTCACATTGAACGTCGTCCAGAACTGGTTCCAGAATTTCCAGCGAAGGTTGCAGCAAAACCCGTATTTCTGGAGGCAATGAGTGGACATGCATGAATGATCAACATATTGAATTGTGTGCCTTGAATGTTTTTATGTTACTGGTCGGGTTTAAATGGATCAGTTTTTCCTGCATCATCTAGTAACTTACTTTGTCATGTATGACAGAAACTGTGCCATGTAGTGTTAACCTTCTAGTGCTAGTAAAGTATACATTTTGATGTTGTTTACACTATATAAAATATTTAAGATTTGAATCCTGGATTTGTATGTGAAGCAACACATGGTATTCTTGAGGTACTGTAGCAGTACTTGTATATATGTGACTAAGGCATTGTGTTCATTAATATGCATGAAATCCTATATGAAAGTATTTCAATGCAAAACCAGAACCTACCATTTTTACTTACCTATGAGTTCTGTTTTCTAGTGTGCTTCCTCTTTTTATTTACCTACATAACACAGGGTTCATGTCAAGCCATTTCCTTTGTGTGTATTTTTAACAAGGATTTAGTACTAAGTATATTATTTTTTAAAAAAATTGTTAGTAGAACCAAAACCATGGAAAACATTATTGAACATTAAGAATGTAAGTAATATCCAGTGTTGTATGGGCTTCTTTTGACTTGATAGTTCTAATTACACTTTCAGCATTTGATAGAGATATGGTAATAAAGATTCTAAAAATTGTCAACCTAAATAAAAATTACTCAAATAATTGTGAAAAAATAAACAAAACACCTTTATGTACCATATATATGCAATTTTAACATAACTTTCACTTTGTACAAAAGAAAGTAATTATTTTGCCAGGGGTTTACGGTGTGTCATAATTAAAACCAGGGGGCGACGGAACCTGTAAGCTTGTGTCAAACTCTTAGGTCTGCTATCAGATGACTATCAGAGCAAGGCTTTCTTATTTCTCCTAGATAAAACCAAACGCAAAGTACAAAAGCTGAGAATATCATGCATTCATTATTAATGCACAATCTTATAATTCTTCCTTTCTTTGCTTATTTATATTTTTTGTGCCTTAGAATCGATTTCTTGTATTAATTAACCCTTAATAATGGAAAATGTTGATCAAAAGGTATAACTTGTAATATGAAAGCTGTTGTTGATGTTTCTGAAATACATGCATATTTTAGTTGCATATCTACGTTCTGATGAAATAAATGTGAGCTGATTGACTCATACAAGGAGTGTTCACAAAAAATAGTGCTATCTTTTGTTCACAAAAAATATTTCTATCCTTTTAGTGTTATCTGATTGAAATAGTGATGATTTACGTGTAGAAAGTTGTGTTCAGCTGTTTTCTCTGTTATCATATTTAACCTGCACTTGCTTGTTTCAAAAGTAACTGTCTTGAGAAATGAAGTATATGATTGTAAGTACCGGGATATTACCTAGTACATTGTACATGTATTCTAACGTATGGTAGTCTAGAAAACACCAACAATAATTTTCAATGTTATAAATTTCAGATAACTTAAGTAAATATTTTGCATTTGAATTTGTCTTGTTTGCATATCATGCAGTAGGAAATAGCAAAGAAGTGGTTAATGTCATTTGAATATTTTTTTTCTTTCAAGTTATCTAGAAAAAAAGACAAAAGTTGTGTGTAAGAACTTGTTTGTGTAGTGAAAATTCAAGTTGTTCAGATCACATTAAGTTTTCATTATATTGTAATCTCAGCAAGATTTGTTGAGACTATAAATTTTGTACTGACATATCTTCCTATGCAAAAGAGACATCAGTACAAAATATATAGTCTTAACAAATCTCACATAGAATACATATGTTGTACTGATTTGATTTTCTAAATTGCTTTGGAATTGTTAAGGATTTTTAAAATTACCCATTCTAAAGGAGCTTTTGTAGACCTACACTTGATATACTTTAATGACTTTGTAAAAAGCTATTCCAAAAAATAAAGTTATCCTGAAGTTACAGAATGTTCTCATTCTGATTTAGTGCCCGTGGAAAGTAAAAATTATTTTTTAGTAAAGGCAAACAGAAAGTAAGTTCATATTTTACTTTCTGTCAGAATGTGACAAGAGATGTAGGCATTTTTTGGGTTACTGAAACATAGGAGAAGGTTTTCAATTATCAGCCATGACGAAATTTCCTCAAATTTAATATTCCATATCAGAAATACATATTTTTTATTGTTAAATTTTCTGAAAATTGAAAAAAAAGGATGTAATTGAGTTTGATATTGTAATGTAAAAGTTATTTCATTACTCATTGTCTATGGTTAAAACATATTTTAAACTTACTAAAACTATCAAAAGACAATTTAAATATGATCAAAAGGCCCCCTCCCCCTTCCAAAGGCATCTTGCAACTAGAATTTACATCTGACAAAAGTACATATATGTTTGAAGAAAACGACCAACTTGAACTTGACCAACCATGCATGATTAGATGTTTTTGTATTGGGGATAGTCCCAAATGGAACACAAAAATGCAAAGGCAATTATCTTGTGTTTGTGGACACGTTTGGTGAAACTAAATGCCCAAAAAACTTCCTTCATGGCTGGCATATAAAGTATACGAAGATATATGCAATATAATTTATGTTGTCGTACAGTAACAAATCTTTTCAGAGAATTTGATTCTAATATTACCAATTTTGAAAGTTACTTATAATGCTTGTTTCAGACATCAAACATCTACAGATGCTATAGAATTTTATTGACATGCAATTCATTTATGTACATAAAATAAAATGATGTATATATTCAACTTTATGTCAACATGCGATAAAATTATATTGGCAAGCTACTTTTTTGATCCATACATTTGCTAAAAGTTCACATAATAATTTGCACTGAGGTTTCTCAGTAAGTTAATGATTTATTTTAAAAGATCTTTTTTATTAGGGCCCCGCAAGGATTTGCGGGTGCCCTATAGTAATCACTCTGTCTGTCCGTCTGTCATTCTTCCGTCCACAAATTTTCTGTTTTTTCCTAATAACTTTTTTTATGGTTGCCCAATTAAGATCAAATTTGGTATGGTAGTTCAATAGGCAGAAAGACATATTTTGATGCTAAGTTTGTTTCTCTATGTCCCCTGGTTTGGAGCTATATTCCTTAACTTTATATAAGAATGCTTTGGCAAAGAGAGATAACTGCTGAAGATGTTTCCATTGTAAACTGAATGCCGCTATGAGTCCCTTAGGATTAATTAAGTTTCCTCCTGAAGAAAATCCAAAGCATTATCTTTATCTGTCACATTGAGATTAATTATCACCTCTGTCTGCAAATGAAGTTTGTTTTGAAGTTTAGTCAATTTGGAAGGCTATGAACACTCTGTGGATTTAGATATAAATGTTTATACTTTATTTTGGTTAAAATACCTACACAGTGAGTTATGATTTCATTGAATTCTAAAAACAAGAAATAGATTAAAGAAGACATATCTTTTATTTTTACTTTTTTTCCCCTTTATGTAAATTCAAGAATAATATTAATTTTTAAGGTAGTTGGATTAAAAAAAACATTCTAATATTAATACTGAAAAATTTCTTATTGTAACTTTAGAAGAAAATGATGAGAGAGGTACAATTAATCCCTTGGGATAAATTATCTAGCCTGCTGAAGAAAATTTAGTAGGCCTATCTTTATCCGTCATTTTAAGATTAATGAAAAACTTTGTCTGCAACTGCTGTTTGTTTTGAAGTTAAGGTCAAGCTTTCATGATACATGTATTTGCATTCATTGAAGACTGGCATTTTATATACTGGTAACACTAACACAAACTTCATTATTGTTTATATATACATTCAATGTTAGGTTGTTCTTTACTGCCTAATGTAAATATACAAGGATATTATTTACAAGTTTTTGGATATTCAGGAATTATGTTGAAAATTTCCATAAGCTGCATCGTTATAATTCCACCCCATGGCGGGGCCCTTGCCGACTGGTCAGTTTTCTAGTTTAGATAAATCTCTGCATGTTCGTTATATTCACTTTTTACTCTTAGAACTAAATTAAAAACTTTAATTTAGTTCTAACAGTAAACTTATGAACATGCAGAGACTAATCTTAAAAAAAAATTAACAATACAATTATGTGAAGAGGGCTTAAAACATAGACCAGAGAAATTCCAGAGGTGGGATCAGATACCTTGGAAGAGTAAGCGTCTCCAGTTGTCCGGTCACACCCTCCGTGATCCCCCTGCATTGATCATGCCGACAGGCATTTCTGTGTTAAATTCAGTTTAGAAAGAAAGGCCTAACAATCAGTATGCAACAAGTCAGGCAAAATACAACCAAAATGGAAGGTTGTACTTGCTTAGAAATTAAAACGATCAGAGAATTCGAGAATTGTTAAATTTAAATGAGGTTTCTTTACTTCTCAATATGGTATTAACAGTATTGAAGGAGAAAGCTTAAGAGTTCTGTGCAACATTATATCTCAGAAGTGGTTTAAATCAGATGTGGATACTTAAAAATTCCAGGGAACTTTTGGATTTCGGAATTTTTGGAACAATTCGAAATCAGATTTTACCAAAATCAACAGCTTAAAAATTTACGACTTTTCAACTTTATATACTACCATTCCCAATGATAAATTAAAATCCAAGCTTTTTGATATCATTGACAGCTGCTTTTTCAATAAAAATGGAGCTCGTAAATTAACTTACCTTGTCTTTGGTCATTTGCAAAATAATTTTGTAATAAAAAAAACATTCTGATTGTACACACACGTACTCTGAAGTTGACGTCAAAAAGATGCTTGAGTTTTTGATTGACAATATCTAGGTTGTTTTTGGAGACCAGGCCTTCCAACAATCTATTGGAATTCCAATGGGTACCAATTGCGCCCCGTTATTAGCAGACCTAATTTTATATTCATATGAAGCAGAATTTGTGCAAAATCTTATGCGTGAATAGAAGAAAACAATGGCTATGGCCTTCAATTCAACATTTAGATATATCGGACGACGTATTGTCAATTATTAATGGTAATTTCCATTCTTATGTCGATACGATAATATCCTGGTGAGCTTGAGATAAAGGACACCAGAGTCTGACATATCTGTTTCATATTTGGATATTTTACTCTTACTTATAAAATTACAATCAGAATGTTTTGAACAAAACAATTTTGCAAATGACCAATGACAAGGTAAGTTAATTTACGAGTTCCATTTTTAATGAAAAGCAGTTGTAAATAATATCAAAAAGCCTGGACTTTAATTTATCGTAGGTAATGGTAGTGTATAAAGTTGAAAAGTCGTAAGTTTTTAAGCTGTTGATTTTGGTAAAATCTTATGATTTCAAATTGTCCAAAAGTTCCCTGGAATTTTTAAGTATCCACATCTGATTTACACCACTTCTTGAATATATTGTTGCACAGTACTCTTGAAGTTTCTCCTTCACTACTGTTAATATCTTAGTGAGGAGTAAAGAAAGAGGCTTGGTTGAACATTTACTGGAACCCGCTATGTATCTTTGTAAGGATTCTTATGAAGTTTCGAAATTCAATATACATGTATATGGTAGCTCAAATTCATTTTGGTTCTTTGGGAAATGAAAGATATTAAAAACAGACATATGATTTTGAAGAATTTCTTCCTTAGAAAGGGAACTATGAGTATAAGTTTGATTTCCACTTGTAAAACTTAATCCAACTTCTTTTTGAATACAATATATATATATATATATATATATATATATATATATATATATATATATATATATATATATATATATATATATATATATATATGTAAGACTCTAAAGAGCGATGGTGACGCCAAAGTCAGATGGTCTCGCCAAACCCCGATGGCCTGCGCCAAACCCCGATGGCTCGCTGTTTTTGCGGACCCCAAAGTCCCAGGCCTTTCAAAATCTGCCGGTACCCGGTACTTTTACCCGGTTGGATTCATTCATGGTACCGGCCAAAATATTCAGTGGAGAAAAAAGAAACATCGCGTGAAAATACGATAGGCCCTACCATGTTTTACAAAAGTTGTGGTTACGTAGCTTTGTATTATTTTTTAGTCCGTAATGGTATCTAATAACGTTTTTGATTGGTTAGTCAAGAAGATCATTAAAGCGTTTGAATAAATGAAACAAAAGAGATTGCGTAACGCGTCTTATAGATCTTGTCGAAAACGAAAGTAGATTTCGATATCAAATAATTACAAGAAACATATATTGACGCAAGCGTCAAAAATCGGCCGCAAACCCATTAATTGTTCTTTTGATAAAGTAATTAGAAAATGAAATTTGCGTGACCTGTTTTTAAAATTTCTTATATTTATCTAATATGTTTTACGGTGTGACCGTTGGGGCGAGCGCAGTTTATTTACTATCATAAACCTACACATGTACTGTCTATCATTCAAGAAAAAGAAAGCAAAAAGAATAAAACAAAACAACAAAAAGAAATCATTTCCCAAGCATCGGGATCGAGATTCGAAAATTCTCGGAAGTTTCCGACAAAATCGGAAATACCCGAACCGTTGAAGTGACGAAAGTCTGACGTCAGAATGAGATAAAAAGTTCTGTTGACTTAGAACGCAAACGCTAGTTTTATGGAAAAGAGATTGCATTAAATCGTTCTTTTCATGTAAGTTGTTGCTATGTTTTAGCCGAGTTTCACGGAAGCAACCGACATAACTTCGTCAAAATTCGTAAGTTTCCGGTGACGTCATTTGTATCATTTCCGAAGGGCAAGGTGAAGGCCGGTGTTGTGGCATGGGGGTATTTTTTTGAATAAGGTAAGGCAAAATCATTTCGTTAAGATTTCGATAAGAAACAATGTTCCTTTGATTTTTTTTATTTTTGATTTATTCGCGCAAAGGACATTGGGTAGTGCAGGAATTCTGGGAATGTTGCACAGAGAAATTTGGCTGACGTATGTACAGATTTCAATCCGAATTTCCTCTGTTCATACACGTTAGTCTATTGAGCTCGCTTTGCGAGCGTCGCTTCGCGACGCTCGCTGCGCTCGCTATTAAAATATCCTCATGACATGAAACACTTGCATGCGACATTGCCGATTTTCTTTATGCATAATGCATGTACAATATTACATGTATATGTATAAGCAAACTGTCCATAGACTTTTGCGTCTCTAAATTGTAAACGAATGGTTCTGGTGGAAGTTTGATGTTTTATAAGTAGTTTTAACATAAAAGTACAGAACTAAAATTTAAACTAAGCTTTAGTTTTACTTTAATAAAAACGCAACAAATATGTGGGGCTCCTTGCTCTTTCTTAGAGGATATTAACTTCCCCCCAACTCCCTCTAGATCCACCACTACATTTCTCTTTTGGTGTTGAGATGTGGCGGGAAAATGCATGGCACATTGTAAAACGCGCTTTATCCTAGTTTCTTGGACCAAAATGTTTTAAGATTCTGTGCTTTTTTCCATAGAAAATGTATAAATATACACGTCATTTCAAAATAAATACAACAAATCCCGTTTAGGCTGTTTAAAAAGAGAAAGTAAAATTGTTGATTTAGAACGTGGTCTTTGTTTTAGACTATGCCTACATATAACTTCGCCGCACTTCAATCATTTCGGAGTATGTCAGTCAGGATTGGATGAAACACTTACCCCCATTATTTATATGATTTTAATTTTATGATTATTGTGCATTTTGTTAAACATTTAAAAATATCTTTGTTTAATATTCTATAATATGAACGTTAAATATTTTTATTTAAATTGTTCTAACTCCGCAGAAACGCACATCGACTTCAAACTTTCATATCAAGTAACCGACCGCCTCCTGGCGGCCGGTAATAACACCGTCACTGATTTTGACAAAATCTAATGACTAGGAATATATTTTAAATAAATACGGCCAATAAAATAAAAAAAAACCAGAAATCCAGGTGTCAGAAATGAAAGTGTCAATTTAAATCCATGGTAATGAGTTTCACAAAATTCTGAAAAGATTTTAAGATACAAGGAACTAGACCACGGAAAGTCTTCAACATCAATTGACCGATAGAGAGACGGACATGAACAGTAGATAGTTCTTTGACCACCTCTGTACATTTTAATAGCCTCAACTCTTCAAATTTAAGTGTCAAAATACGCAGCTGACGATATAAATTACTTACAGTCTCGAATATCTGCAACTTTCTGATGAAACAAAAGGACATAAAACAGAAACTATTTCTTTTGCCACACATTTAATTCTTTGATTCAGCAGTTTTCTAGTGGTCAAGAGAATGACATTGCGGACGTTAACTTTCTTCCAAATATTGTAACCATATCCAGTAAAGTGAGGGAGTCATATCTAAATTTTTTTGTCTCCAGTCTTGATGTCATCTTTGTCTAATTTACACATGTATATTATCTTATATGTACATGTTCCAGTGCATGAAAAATATGCTGAATTTATTGGTACATGCTATGCATCATGCAGTGCTTCTTAAAATCTTTTTTTTTTAAATCTGCACTTTACTGTAGAACAAAAATTAATTTAATTTAATGCAAATACAATTTCATTTCTCTTTTATTAAATTTAAATTTTGAATTTCCATTTCCTTTCGTGACTCAATAATTTTTTTTATATTTAAAACATAACACTTACAACTCAAACCTTGCAAAAAATTTTTGAACACATTTATATAAACAAATATAGCATAGAACTTAGAAGTTTTACCTAAATCTTATTCTTACTCTGCTCAAATAACTATTTTTTCTATGTAATTCCACCCATCCAGTGCTAAACTTCACATGTAATGTGTATTGACCAAAAATAAAGTTTGAAACATGGCATAAAAATAACATTGATAGCAGCATATTTCTATGTGTAAAGAAACCAGGAAATGCTGTCTGGTGGCTTCTAAATTTCAAAATTTTTCCGGGGGGGGGGGGGCATGCCCCCGTACCCCCCTAGCAGGCTAACGCCTTCGGCGTTCGCCAAGTGGTACCTCCTATTTTTGATAAAGTACCACCTGGTTCAAAACTTTTTGAAAGCCCTGAAGTCCGATGGTCACGCCAAAGTCCGATGGCTCGTTTCCTATGAGCGTTCTCACCTCGAACTCTAGTTTCGACTCGGATTACGAGAGTTCAACGTAAAGAGCGAGAGTTTGAACGCGGGATTATATCGAGTTCAACTCTCACAAGATGCTGGGTTTGAGAGAGCAAAGATGGCGTCAGGCGGCAATGAGCACATGTGAGTTATATCTTTTTTCTTATATTTCGAATCGTCAAAGGGATTTTTTAAAGATTTTTAAAACGTAAATACAGAAATGTTAAATTACTAGAAAGATTTATGTATTCAATAAACGATCGGCAACGAAATTGCCGTCTCGTACCATGATATTTAGTTATAATGAACTGTAGTCCGAAAAATCTGACGTTTTCCTGGCTTATTCAGGACGTAGCATCGTTTTTGAAAGTGGGGGGGGGGTCAGCCAGAGGAAATCTTTTATTTTACTTACCTGAAAAAGTTAACAAGCAAAAAGAAAGGGGGGATTTGCCCGAAGTCGAAAATCCTATTTCGTGTGAGTGTGTGTGTGTTTGTGTGTAAGTGTGTGTGTGTGTGGGGGGGGGGGGGGGTAGAGGCCAACTTTTTCTACATTTTTCTAGATGGCCACTACTTTCAGTACCAATTCCTATACTATATTTTCCGTACATCACTAATAGGGGTGGGGGGGGGGGCAACCAGACTTTTAATTAATATTTCCTATAGTATAAGTAAGGTTGGGGAAAAAAGTGTTTGGGGGGGGGTCTGCCCCCCCCCCCCCCCCCTGTTGCTACGTCCCTGTTATTTAATTAAGAGTTGAATAGAGCTGTCACATAAAAAAAATTAAAATCGTTAATGAATAGGTTTAATATTAAGTTTTCTGTATTAAATGCATGAAGATCTGAGCAAGAAACACGTGAGTTCTATAACTAATAAATTTTAAATGTAGATCTTGTTTATATCAATTTTTAGGGTACACATACAGATAGACGGGCAATACTGTTTGTTGGACGAGAGTTTGGCAGCAATTTTTCTGTCAGAAGATGGTGGTATGTATACAATTTAAATATTTTTTCGTAAATATATATCTCAGTCAGTAACAGATTTTATGCGACTGAAGAAACATCATCATTAATTTTATTTACTTATTTTACTAAAATTGTTTTAAATGAAAAACTTACTTGTTGAAAAATAAAAAGATCCATAAAATATTTAAGTCATTGGAAAACAGATTATTTGGATTCGGAATTTGTTTAGATTAAATAAAATCTTTACTTAAATTTAGCTTATGTATTTTTTTAATATGATTATGAATAACTTCATTTTCATGCATAGATCCAGAGACAAAAAGGGCCATCAGGGAGGCAATGCGTGCATCAACTTCAGGGGAATCAACTTCTTTCAGCGGATGTGAGATCCCCAGGCCTTCAGAGTCATGCTCAGCTTCACCGGAATTTGTATATGGCCGTTCTACACCCTCCAGTGTCTCAACTTCCAGCTCCGACTCACAGGTAGACTGGAATTTTGCTGAAAATCATTCAGAGAAAATTCTTCCTGAAAAAAATCTCGACTTTTTCTTAATGTCAACATGTGCCAGTACGAAGTGCTTTTCTTCCCTATTCACAAATTCATTCTCTAGTCAGTCTAGATCTGAAAAAGATGTTGATTTAAATTGTTCTGAAATTAGAGTGAGAGTATCTAATGAAATTTTTCAACCTGTCACGAGTTTCACAGTCTTCTTTCTGAAAAACTAAATTTACTTACAGAGTACAATCCACGTGTGGACGGAGAATGAAGAAAAATGTTTAATTGATTTAAGGCTACAGAGAGAGGAGAAGTTTACAGGCACAAAATCTCATGACTCACTATGGGGAGAAATAGCAAATGAAATGAAAAAAAATAATATCCAAGTTTCCAAAACACAATTGATCAATAAATGGAAGGCACTGAAGAAAAAATACAAGGAAATAAATGATGAAAATAACAAAACTGGAAATAAAAACATTCCTGGAAATATTTAGATCAGTTCAGCGAGGTCTATGGCAATAAGGCCTCCACAAAGGTAGCCATTTCCTTTGACACAGGACGCCCTAGAGAAAAACTCAAAATCGACAGAGCATTGGACAAGGATGAAGACATAGTTCCTGAAGAAGAAAAGCAGTCAACATCAGCAAGTGACACAGATTCCAAATCCACAACTCGTACTAAAACTATGAAATTAAAATCTACCAAACGCAAGATATCCGATAACACCAAATTAATTGAGAATATCCAAGAACAAAACAAGGAACTTATGGACTACATGAAAACACAGCATGAAGACAAAATGCGACGCATCGATCGTATGCTGGAGCTAATGGAGAAGTCTTTGGACAAATAATTATCTCTACAATGTACTAGTTACAGTTTGTGTATGTTTTTATTTGAATCAACAAATTCATGGTTTTGTGCAGTTTTAACTTTGCATAAATTTTGGTGAAATCCACACCATTGATTTCATTTATTTTAATTTTTGCAGGGGTTTTTATACCTTTTGTGATTCAAATATGATGACATTTCAAACTATTGTTGCTGTGAAAAGAAGCCTTAACCAATTTTTCAAGTGAAAATACATTTGAATGGGGCTCAACAAATCAAACTTATAAGATATAAAGACATGTCTTAGCAATCAAAATTATACCCTTGGCCTCTTATTTTGTTTAAATGTGCATTGTATTGTTGACAATTTTTTCTCTATATTTGATTTGTTCTTTCACAAAAAGTGAATAAAAGATTGACAACATTTCAGAAATCTTTTATTTAATATCTTGAACATATGTGCAATATACTGTAGAAAAATCATAATCACTTTAAAACCAGTGTCAATGAAATCAGTTACAATGGCAATGTGTTAAGTGTCTTGGACACGAAAAAAGTTCACGCCTGCATGGTGTTCATGATTTGCTGCCGAAGTGCTACTCCATCCCCTCTGTTAGCATAGATATTTGGATAGGCATTTGGGTGGCCATCCTGATCATTTTCAATGAAATCCTCAACATCATCATGATGTAGTATGCACAAATTATGTAGTATACATCCTGAAATAATGAGCCTGACTATTCGGTCCAACTTTCGAATTGGTAATTCTCGCAACCTACGGAACCATCCTTTTAGATGCCCAAATACACGCTCAACAACCTGTCTTGCAGAAGACAGTCTTTTATTAAATCGCCTTTGTTGAGCATTCAACCGACCATTGTCTCGAAAGGGAGTTACCAGCCAGTTTCTCAGAGGATAGGCGCTGTCTCCAACAATGAATTTCCCTTGAGTCACACTCTGTCCATTTTCAGCTTTATCAAACAATGACGAATTACGGAGTACGCGGGCATCATGCGTACACCCAGGCCATCCAGTATATGCGTCACGTATGAGCATGTCACTATCAGCAACAACCTGTTAAAATAATGGGTACTTTGCAAAACGTTTGAAAGAGAAAAATATATCCTCCTTACCATATTACCAAAATTTAATTGAATTCTGTCATTTACAAAAATGGATAAATCGTAAAAATTGCATCATCTTCACCTGTAATTGAATTGATGGAAAATTTTTCCGGTTGTAATAATCGTTGTCGCCGCCAGGTGCTGCACTCAAGCGAATGTGAGATCCATCAAGACAGCCAATGATGCCTTGTATGCCAGAATTAAGTTGAAACTCTCGAGACAGTACGTTTTGCGTTTGAGCATCAGGCCAATTTATAACCTACATAATAATGAAGGTGGTAAGATTTGTATAAATTTTATGTAAAAAAAAATAATGGCTGCATGAAAAGGTGCCTGTACTAAGGCCAAAAAAAAAAAAAAAAAAAAGAAAAGAAATAATAGTCTTGTCTCCTGCTACCCGACCTACTCTTCTTTTGCATCCGACCCTAAAGTTTTTTTATTTTATTTTGGGGGAAAATCGGGAATTTTGTGAATTTTATGTTTCAAAACTGAAAAAAAATATATACTAAAGTGGTATTTCATAAAATACTATTTTTAAATATGGCCTTTCAAAAAATACACTTGAGTTGTTCATCAAAATGCATGAAATTTAATATTAAAAGGCAATATTGACCCATGCCATGTTTCATTTGATCTTGTATCAGTTCATATACAAAAAACACTGTTGGAAAAAATAAAAGAAAATAGAAAAAGAAAATTATATCCCTACCGTGGCCAACCATATTTATTTTCAGGCTGGTAGCAAGAAACAATATTATTATTTTTTTGGCCTAAATGATATGAGATGCTTGCCTCGATTAGGTTTTCATTAACAGCCGTTGAAACTCGGCTAACTATCTCGTGGACTGTCGTAACACCAACTGCAAACGTATTCCACACCTCTCGTAAGGATTCCTGGTTTGCCATATACCAAAGGAATATAAGGAGCTGTTTCTCTGGTAAGATCGGTTCCGAACCACCTGGCCATGGATTATCGTCAAGTGAATGTATGATACTATTCAATATAATATGAAAAATTTCAGGACTAACTCGAAAATGTCTGAGAAACTGTTTATCGTCAAGTTGAGGGACGATATCCTCGGAAAATCCGCCTAACCTTGGAAAATGACAACGTTCCCGATTAAGGACAAGGGCGAGGATGTGGAAAGACCAAGTCTGCTTGATCAAAAGTGTTTCGTATTCATTTTCATCTGAAATGATCAATTCTTGAATTATTTGTTTGGAAACATGCTCCATTTTGGAGAGTTTCTAGAGGTAATTTACCTGTTTATCTTAATACATGCGTGCGCATTAAAGGGTTAGGTATCTAGAGTTAAACTCGAGTTCCAGAAGAAAACGCTCTATGAGACGCGCGACGCTAAAATGCGATGGTCTGACACGCCAAAGTTCGATGGTGCGAAGGAACAATCAACGTTTATGACGTCACAATAGTCCGACGTCATGACGTTGTCCTGCATTCAAAATCCATTGATTTTGTATTTGTCCCGCTTACAATTTTACTGATTTTGTTTATTGTTTTCGTCCACAAGAGCTATTAGAATAAGTCCTTGAACACCATTCCACTGATTGGGTTAGTTCTTGAACACCAATGTGTTTCTTCGAACTCACCCAAGAGATTTTATAGTTAGTCCTCGCACACTATTGGACTGATTTGGATTAGTCCTGCACCCATCCAAGATACCTAGCGTATGGTTGTTACACATTTCTCGACTGATAAGTGTTAGTCTCGCACCAATATCCAAAAGATTAGGGTTAGTCTTTGCATTTAATATTTATTTGTATTTATTTTAAACAATCGGGCCTTTGCGCAGTAGTACTATGACGTCATAAACGTTAATTGTTTTCCGCACCATCGGACTTTGGCGTGTCAAACCATCGGGGTTTGGCGCAGACCATCGGACTTTGACGTGACCATCGGACTTTGGAGTCCCATCGCACTTTGGTGTCCTACATATATATATATATATATATATATATATATATATATATTAGGGATGTCAACGAGTACCCGGTTAACCGGGTACTCGATCGAACGTCCGAGTATCGAATACTAAAATCGGTACTCGGTTACTCGGATGTATATTTTTGAATATTTCTAATCTTATTTATTAATGCATTAAACAATCTGTTTAAAAACATAAAATGCTCATTGCACTTGTACATACAGTAATTAGGGTTTACTACGACTCTAAATGACCGTTATCGCCTGTGGCAGTGTTTATACGTTACAGTAATTATCGTGACCAAGCACCTGGGGTACCTGGCTTTTCTCACCTTCGGCTGCCTTCTTCCTTATTTGTCCCCCGCTTGAAAAGTGGGGGATATTAATTTGGGTTTGTCCGTCCGTCCGTCCGTCCGTCCGTCTGTCCGTCCGTCCGTCCGTCTTTCTGTCTGTCTGTAACGCTTTTGTTTCCACACGATATCTCGAGAACCCATTGAGCTTTTGCAATGAAATTTAGCATAGCAACTCCCTATGGACTAAAGAAGACCCCTATTGATTTTGAGGTCAAAAGGTCAAAGGTCAAGGTCATAATTGAGCAAATTCTGTCTGTTATAACACTTTCGTTTCCACACGATATCTCTAGAACCATTTGAGCTATTGCAATGAAATTTTACATAACAACTCCCTGTGGCCTAAGGAAGACCCCTATTGATTTTGAGGTCAAAAGGTCAAAGTTCAAGGTCGTAAATTTATACATTCTGTCTGTGTGTAACACTATCATTTTCGGGCGATATTTCAAGAAGATTTTGAGCTTATGCAATGTAATTTTATACCAAAACTCCCTAGGACCTCTCTCACCCCTCTCAAAGTGCCCTGCCCCGTTTGTTTTATTAGTATTTATAGTATTACATGTCGCTATTTTTAGCACAGGGGCATGCGGAGAGTTATTGCGTATAAAACAGGTTCTCAGCGGACTTTATGTTCTTATTACATCTATTAGAACTGTTTAATACAGGCTAAATAAATCAAACACCATGGATTGTGTAAAATTTTGAGAATGCCGAACATGAAAACATGAATATATACATGTATGTGACTTCAGTTCTGCATATACTTCACACTTTGTAAAGCGACACCGTGGTGTAGTGGTTATGGCTTTCGCTTCAAGTGTGAGAGGTCCCGGGATCGAATCTCGGTCGAACCTTTCTTTTTTTTTTTTTTTAAATACCTTTTTTTTTTTTACTAAATGATAGTATTCAGCATGTGAAATGAAAAATTTATGAGGTTATAAAATCATCATTACAGTGTGATAAATATTCCATATAAAGAAATCTTCTATACACATAATAAAGAATAAGCAATCAAATCTTTATATGCATATTGACATACATGTATTTTATTTGCTTCAGTATACATGTATACATTTAATAATTCTACAAATTCAGTCAGGGGGAGCTGACTTTTTCCCTAAGCGGGGGACACGAATTCTCTGAATTAGCTTGTTTTTGTTTGGCTTTAATTATTTGTTTTCACTGAACATCGTTTAAGATCCATTATGTTTAGATAAATTAACTAATTTTGTCAATTCTCCGAGAAGCCGTAAATTCTCGGGAGACGAGCGGATGATATTACACCAGAGACATATATATGGTTTTATATATATGTCTCTGATTACACGTGCGATTGTTGATATGTTTGTGTTTGATTACATGCCAATACAACTGGTTGAAGGCAAAGGCTTTAAAAAAACTGCTGTCCATCGTTGCATCAAACTACATGTACAAAATACCGTCCCGTAATACTATATAAATCTCGGATCGAACAAGTGAACTAAAATCGTGTATCTGCACTGTTAGGAGAACTTGATCAAGTTCAAGTTGATACTGTACGTAGCTCTGACGACTGATACCTGGTCGTCAAACGCGACAAAGAGTTACATTACAATTACGGAGCAAATTATTTTTTTTTAAACAAAAACAATGTGAACAACTTATGATTTTATTTCTTGTGTTTATCTGATAAATGAATTGAATTTAAAAATTGGTACCGGTATGTTAAATTTCGTCGGGCACGAAGTACTCATCATTATTATTACAACAGAAATACATTTACGGATAAGCCTCCATCAGTGCATCTGGTTTTATTTCTACAAGAGTTTACAATGTTTTACAGTCTTCAATTTACTTGTTCATATTTATTTACACTTTTACCGAGTACCCGGGTACTCGATTTTTAAAAAAACGTCCGAGTAACCGAGTATTGAAAATTGACCGATTTGACATCCCTAATATATATATATATATATATATATATATATATATATATATATATATATACGAAACTTTGTTTTGGCGTGGAGACTTTGGCCTTTTTATCAGTTTCTCTTGTAAAACCTAAGAAGTAGGATCAGGTGCAGTGGAGGAGTAAGCATCCACTGTCGACAGGTCAAACCTATACCACGTACTACTTGTCATGATTGTGCAGACAGGGAAATCTGAAGACAATTCAGTGAGTACATGTAAATAATGACGAAACATTCGCAGAAAAAAAAACCGTCAGTCAGCATTCGATTTAATGGAAGATTGATTGAAAAGACATTGTATCAGCCCTTAGAATTTGTAAATTCTGACTTTTAATGTCTTGTTATCCTTGTTTAATCTATTTGTACATGAATAGTTAATTGCCTTGTGAATAACGAAGTACATGCTTTTGCGATTCGGATCAACTTAGAGACAAAAAAAACTCTACTCTTTCAGATGATGATAGGATTTGCTTTATAAATGCACCTATTAGAAATGAAATTTGACTATTGAAAACTTGAAGTCATCACATTTATCATATTAATGTCTTTTTCTAGTAAAATATCCAAATTTAAATCTGATATGTCTGACTCAGTTGTATCTTTCATTCTGAGTTCAAAGAGATATATATGTCGTATCGATATATAAATGGAATTAATTAACTTTATATCAAATCAACGCAGGAATAAAAATGAATATTTTAAATTGATAAAACTAAATCAATATACGTATACCTTCTTCACCTGAATAAGGGGTTCATCATCTCTCAGTTGATTCGATATGCAAGAGCATGCTCTACCTATGAACAATTTCTACAACAAGATAAATTATTGACAGACAATTTGATGAAACAGGAATATCGGCAGTCTCGTTTAAAGATCTTATTTTGTAGTTTCTATGGTAGATACAATGGCCTTGTCAGCAAATACAATCTATCATTGAGTCAGATGCTGATTGACCATGTTCATACTAATTGTTAAGCCATTATTTACACACTGATGTTACGACGATTTTTTCCATAATTTCCCAATCATGAAGAGGAGCACACAGCGGGTGTGCATGTGAACGGTCGGCAGGGGATGCTCACTCCTCCATGGCATCTGATCCCACCTCTGATTATTAGAGGTTCGCTTTGTCCTGCTCCAGATTTGTTTTGCTTAATGGACTGTTGAGCTTGAATACTACGTTATCTCTATATATTCCATTATAAAGATTTGAGAACTTGCAAAAGGCTAACAATGAACAAAATCGTAAAAAACTGTTATATTTATTTATTTGACAGTAACTTGCTGCTGATAAAAAACGTAATAGCGATTCAAATCATATTCTTTCGTATCCAATCAGACATAAACATGAATAAAGTATTACTAATCATATAAATATACTAGTATGAGATTGACAATTTAAAAAAATACCCGATGCCATCTCTATTGCCATAAGGTTTAGTTATTAGGATAATCTGGGTTGTTTCTTTATCCGAGTTTGCTGGGACATATCCAGTTTTAAACATGTATTTTGTAAACTGTTAATTATTGACTTGAAGATTTTGCTAAAATGTTCAATTCTGGGTTATCAAACCCCAAAGAAAAGAAAATATCAATCATTTTATGATTCTGTTGTTTTTTTTTTCACTTCGTTTGCAAAACACATTGTTTAAAGTAAAG